ACTCTAAATTTCTAAGAAATAGTAATTTAGTAGGAGAAACAATTAAAACCTTAGCTTTGAATATCCAAACTATTGTTAAATGACCGACCGGTAAGATATATCTGTTCGCTATCAATTATTTTCCGCATGTTGAAAGGTTTAGAATTCTCTGTCGTTTCCTTTGCTTTTTTCAACTTTAATCCTTAAAAATAGATCGAAAAGGCCGACCTTATCTAACCTCATCCTACGCTTCATATTGTTTGATATGTTTAAAGAGAAGGAAAGGGGCGGGGAAACATTTTTAGATGCTTTAAAAGGCCATCTATTTTATGAAAAAAAAAGTGCTGTAAACTGTTACAAATATATCTATATATTGACATAAATATAATATACTATATGTAATTTTAAAAGCTAAATAACATATAAATTAGCCAATTTTTACAAAATAGAGAACTATTGAGAAAGTGAGAGTGATAAAAGTTCTCAAAATGCAATAAAATCTTTGGAACTAAATAAATTTTCAATTACAGATGCGCTCAATCTCTCAAAATGATATCGGATAAATCTCTTTACGTTAATCTCATAAAAAGCTACAGTAATCTTTTCAGCAAAGATCACTTGGATAAATTTATTCCGAATCGAAATATTCTTAAGCTCAGTCGTCATATTCAGCAAGAGAATATAAAGATATGTTTGATTAATAAATATTCTTTTCTAGTTTAGACTTTTTAGTATTATATGTTGAATGTGTGATAGAATATCATTCTATTTCATATATTATACTATAGAGATTGAAGATATATGTAGATCTGAATAAAAAGTAGAGCCTACAAACAGTATATATCTTAATAACCCTTGTTATTTTTCTCTTTCTTCAATCCATCTTTTAAACCTTCGTTATTAAATCCCTTAACCTCCCTCCTTAATTCTATCCCCACTCCGACATTTCAATCATCCTTATGTTAACTTCAAACAAATGTAACAAATATGAGTGATATGTATTATTTATTAAGAGAATATCAAATTTAATCAAGATAATTTTTAATGTTTAATTTAACGAGAGTTCAGTCGTTTATTCTTTTACAAAATTTTCGTTTTTTTATGTTATAAATATGTTACTTTCTCTTTTCTTGTTCTCTCTCTCCATCTCTCTCTCTTTTTTTTTAATTTTTTTCTTTTTCTTTTTCTTCTTGTCAGTGTATTATGCTTTTTAAAAAATTGAAATAATAAAATAAAAGGACAACTTTAGCTTCCTTTCTTGAGTAAAAAAAGAATAAATTCATTCTTTACACCTAGCAATTATAGCTAGCCTCTTTAAAGCAAATAAAAGCGACAGTTGTTTAATTCTATTGATCATGATACGAATTATAAATTTCGTTCTTATATATCAAAATATAGAAAGGAATACTTCAGTATTTTAACAAGAAATACCGTTTTAAGCAATCTACGTAAACTGCGCCAATCTTTTCCAGTTTTTTGTACATTCTTAGAAATATATTTTTATTTAATATTTATTATTTAAATAGGACAGCAGTATCAACATATTGCCCTTAAGAGAAGAGGAAAATCACGAATGAAAGACTTTAATTAGAAACACTTACGTGTTACCTCCCTTTTACTTTGAAGAACTACAAACAGCGATCTACCAGCACGTTTCCTTAACTATTCCCGTTTCATTAGGAGAAAATGAGGAAGAAAAGATGATAAAACTGAAAAAATAGGTGTATGATAATTATTAAGATTACAAACTTTTGATTATCTTAATAAGGACAAGTTTATATCGTTTTGTGTAATAATATTCTCTTTCTTGTTTCCTTAGCGATTAGCAAACTAGTAAATTAAAAACCTTTTAACTAAAGTCATTTTTTTTTAAATTTTATCTACTACTTAAGGAAAAGAGGATTCAGGACTTTTTCTATCTGTCACTCTCCCCTACCCTTCTTTCCACTTTACCTCTCAGTCTCATCTTCTGCCTCATCATCTACGCCATCTTTCCACATTTCCTTGCTTTAGTAGCTAACTCTTCAGCTGGTTATAACTCAAAATGAATTGGCAAGCAAATTATCATTTCATTGTCTATTTGGCATAACACCTTGTTAGCTGGTATGCATGGAAATGTTGAGTCAAATATTCTCATATGTTAGATCTAGCAACCACTAACAGCTGCGCCTATCAGAGTTTAATTCTCATTGTTTTGTCCGAAATCTTTTCGTTTGCCATTCCTCCTCCTATTCATATAAACTGAAACTAAATGAACTGAGAATTAGGATTCCAAAGCAGTCTCAATTATCCATCTTCATCGGTTTTAGATATTTGCTCTTATTATTTAGGTCTTTCGTAACCTTTTAAATCAGACTTCTTAATCTCTTTGTATAATGATGGACTCGTGTTTCAAAGCCCCTAGACAATTCTTTAGCTATAATCATTAAGAATACAGACTATAGTACTCTTCGTATCATTATTTACCATGTAAAGGAAAGAGTTTAAGAAAACGTTCTGAGCATTTCTCCTTAAACTCTGGAAGACTTTAATAATTTTACCCTCGTTAGATTATTCATCTTCAAGTAGGTATGTTCCCCTCACCGCTATGCTTACTTTTATACAAAATCATCAATTAAATTCATAATTATCCGAAAATATATTTTAATAAAGCTGATATCAAAAACGAAGACTGATAATTCTTAATATTGATCAAATAGGTATACAAAGTATACAATTACGCTTATATAGATATGTTACAGTTACTTTTTAACTATATATATATATATATATAAACTATTTATAAGGTATAATGTATATTTATTCTAAAAATAAAAAAGAAAAGAATTAAAAGGATATCGAAAGAATTGTTTAGTATTTTGAATTATTATTATTAATTATTGGACGTTATAAGTAGTGGTGAGAGTCAAGTTTCCTATCTATCATTTTGGGTCAATCTTGATTATTTCTAATTAAAAAGACATAAAGGTATATTAAGTAATTAACAGTTGTTTTATGAAGGTAATATACAATTTATTATATTTGCTTTACATTATAGATGTCTATATATCTTATTAAAATAAATAGTTATTTTATAAAATAATGTTACGAAAGTAGTTTCATCTGCATTCCCTATGATATATACCTATATATATATACAGTATATAAATATAAATATATACTGTACACTGTATATAAATTATTAGATCTTTTCTAACAACGAAGTAGTGACAATTGCTTATCCTATTCTCCTTCCTCCTTCTTTTCCTCTGCTCCTCTACTCCTCGCCCCAAGCTAATGATTCATCTTTCTGATAAGATACATATTAAATTTTTAGAAAATATGGTTCATTTTACGTATATTTTATCGTTTACAGCAACGTCAATTGCTCAATTACGTTGTCCTTGCCAGACACCTACGAAAGATCTCTCTAATGTTAAATTGTCAGTAGTTTCTAAAGGCTTTTAAAAAAATGAAATGGCATTTATTCGGTTATGTAATTTGAGAAGCTGCGGAACACCTATATAGCTTACTAATAAATAATTCACATGATCTATCTTTTTTGCGGAATATCTTCTACAAACGACTCAGAATGTTAAAACTCCATTTAGATATCAATAAGTGAATATGTACTGGAAAAGAAAAAAAGATGCAACGAAATTTTTTGCTGGCCTTTTGTAGCGAATACGAATATACTTCTACTTGGTCACGTTATTAGGTCACTTACCTTTAGCAGCCTTCATCTTTTAGTTTGGAAATTAAAAAGATTCTCTATGATTAGTTACAAAGAGGAGAGAGGAAAGAGGAAGAGAAGTTGAATAAAAATAAACTTTAAGCCCTTATTTCTTTTATGTTTATAAAACAAGAAATAAGCTAATTCTGAGAGTTTATATAGAAACACACAATATATAATTGTGATATATATATACATTTACTATATAAATAAGGTTTATGAAATGATGGAAAGAAGCAAAACAGTTTCATATTCTTAGTGTTGATCACTTCTCGGAGCGCTTGCTAATTATATTAAAATCATAATCTACTTTCTTGTAAACTTATATAAAATATGTTTTAGAATAATTATTGTTTAGGTATTCTTTTTAATAACCCTTGTTTATTATAATATTATAGATCGGTTGAAGATATAAACTCCTTATTTCCTATTAAATTTATTTGTTCATACTTATATCAATTATTTAAATGGATCAGCGTCTAAGGCAATATTGGTCTTCCAGCAGACATATTGTTCTAGCCGATGGCAAAGATAAATATTATAATCTTGATCAATACATCGTTAAGTACCAAGATCGAAGCTAAGAACCGATCAAAATATAATCTGTCCTATAAGATTCCCTAATTTTTTTAACCGCACAGCTACATAGACAACGCTCTTTACGAATATTATGCTCCAAATTGAAAACGAATCCATGTTTACATAGTTGGAGAACTATCATGGAGAAAATTCTACTGGAGGCCACTAATTCGATAATACTTTATGCAAAATACGATCTATGGGTGATTTACCTTTTGAAATGCTTTCAAAGTTAACAGGCTTTAGCATAAAAACTAATTAACAAATTACCTCAGATGCTACCAGATTTTTACTCAGACTTTAGTCGAATATAAGACGTTCTTGTAATTAAATAACTTAAATTTAACATCGGAAATTTTACACTAGTTGAAGTGAAAGTGGAAAAAGATACATCGACTTTATTGCAAGATAAATTTTTGATTTAAGAGGAGTAAGAGTCACTAGAAAGAAATCTTCTAATACGAGACAATACGTTTGGAGAGGACAAAATGAAAGACACACTATCTTGTCTCTGTTCCCGATAGAAAAGTGTAGGTACTTCAAGTTTGGCTTCTTGCGTGATAGTAAGAAGTATCAGTGACGTCATAAAGACCACAAACAAAAGTACGGATTTTATTGTTGTTCGTTGACCTACCCTAATGAGCTGTCATGGAAAAGGCTATTTTTTCTTAGTCGGCTTAGAAACAACATAATTATTTCATATGTTGCATAGAAAAAAATCACAAATAAGTTACAGGTGGCGCTTCTGTAACAAAAAGTGCTAGAGAGCAAAAGGAGGCAAAGGAAATCGCTTTCTCTCATTCCAACCATGAACAACGTTTCGAACGAATCAAACTCAGAAGTTCCGGTATGGAAAGCAATGACGGCTTTAAAAATATCTGGAATTTGTGCCTACATAACAGTGTTTACAGTGGCCGTGGTCAACAATTTAATTGTTCTAACGGTGATAGTTACCCAGAAGAATATGAGGAATAGTACTAATTTATTCATTGGAAATTTAGCTGTGGCTGATTTAACTGTTGCTTTTCTGGTTCAACCGTTCACTTTATTTCACGAGCTTTTGATGGGTATTAATCTTTCACTATAAACAAATTCTTTTCTTTTATCAGGCTTTAAATGCGAAGTGTGAATTAACGTAAGACTACAATGTCTCATGTATACTTTTAAGACTACTATATTTTCTTAGCTGTCATTTTACTTTATGTAATACCTACTATAGATTAAAAGGAAAATACATCCAACATTAGGCTTAATTTTATATTGTCTTTATTGTATTCTTTCTTAAATTTGAAACGTAGTTAAACTTGTTTTAGCTGTGCAAGTTGTCAATATCGTTCTTACCTTTTCCTTATTTACGATCTAACGATTTCTCATTGAAAGTTAAAATTTTTTTTCCTGTTTTTTTTTTTCCAACAGAGAATTTATATTATAGACCTTACTCTTTTCCTCTAAAACAATTAAATAATATTAAATGAATAAGAGACAGAAAATATCTAATATTTAATATTAAAGATGTGTAAAGTGATAATGAAGTATGAAAATGAACAGTGATAGAGAAATGCATTTATGACTGGATCTATTTATTGTACATACATTTTCTCTTACGTACGCTGTTTTTATAAATATAGCAACTGTATGTCTATATATATATATATATATATATATATAATGCACAATTGTCCATGGTAAAGTAGCTAATTTCCTAAGTTAGTTAAATAATTAACAACTAAACAAAATTTTATTCAAATTTCCAAAATAACCCGCTTATGTAAATAATCCTAATGAAATTGCTATTTAAGTAATAGCAGTATAGGAATAGAAAAACTCCTAGTACATGTTGATTGAAGCTGAGAGAAAGAGAGAAGGAAAAAGATCTTTTTCAAGTCAAGCGACAAATTGTCAATTTCATAAATAAGTTACTGTTTTTGAGATATCAAATAGACTAGTTAGCTGTAAGTGATGTATATAATTAAATACAAGAAAATACTTCGATAATTAGTAAGCGTTAGGAGAGTTAGAATTCATATTGGCTGAGCTATTTATATTGTAGATCGTTTATCGTTAGACAGGATCATTGCTAATATACTATTAAGCTAGTATTTCTATCATCTTTCAACTATTATGAACAGGAGCCTTTCGGATTTCGTTACGATAAAATAACTGTTAACTCTATATTTAAAAAAATTTCTTTCTTTTCATGTTTTAGAAAGGAAAATCACGATTAAGATTCGTCTTGTATCATGTATGCTATATATATATTAAAGTTCCTGATAATAATTTACTTTTATAGAGAATAGATAGAAAGTAGTATATAAATGGAGAAAACAAGGAACACATACGGAAAAAGACTCCATCAAACAGACAGATGTGAATGAAATAAAGAGAAAAATAAAATAAGATAAAATGAGGGAGTGACAGAGTTCAAGTTGAAATCTAAGAGGAAAATAGCTTGTAAACAAGCTTTGTTTTCAGCATAAAAGCGTCATTTTTCTTTTTATATTATTATAGTTTTACTATTATTTAAGAGATGTTAGGTATGGTCTGTTTCTTATAAGAATTTCAATCACTACTTGATAAAAAATGTTTTGATTGAAATATATAAGTCTAATTGATGTAAAGTAAACCTTAATATCTTAAACGACTTCTTCTCCCTTAACCAAATTATTTTGCTAATGCAAAATTTTTCGTTACAGAGTGGCCTTTTGGTGGCTTTACTTGCAAGTTGGTAGCCTATCTGCAAGGTCTAGCAGTTTCCGCTTCCGTTTCAACTTTGGCTGCGGTAGCGGTCGAAAGGTATTTTGCAGTAGTCCTCTCTAAGGGTGGTAATCAACTTCAGGGCTTCTGGGCTGCATTCGTTTTGTTCCTCTTGTGGACAATACCTGCTGTCTTAAACATACCATGGATCTTATTTTTCGATACGAAAACAATTCAAGGACCCAAGATTACCCTGACCATCTGCCGGCCTCAGACTAACTTTTATTTCCGATCTTACTTTATCGGTGTTGTTCTCTTGGCCTTTTACGTACTGCCACTACTTTTCATGTGCGTCTGCTACGCTCTAATCGGATTGAAAGTCTGGGGAAGAGCTCGAGGTTTAAAGATCTCCTCTTCCGCCGCCGCTAGAAACATACACAGATCAAAGATAAGGATAGTTAGAATGCTTTGTACTGTAACAGTAGTATTTGCTATATCCTGGCTACCTGTTCATATAGTGACACTTTATGTTACAATTAATAAGCCTCTCACCTTAGATGAAAACCGATTAATTAGGGAAGGAGTAAGGCCCATAGTACGATTTGTCAGCTCAGTCAACACAGCTGTTAATCCGTTCATCTATTGCTACTTTTCAAAGCAGTTTCGTCGTGGCTTCTCAAAAATAATCGGAAGAAGGTTTGTTTGTTCAGACAGAGGCAGTAACGATATTTAGGCAAAGAAATACGTCTTAATAACCTATTGACTTTTTGATTATTTAAATAGACAGAAATAAGAAAAAAACTAGTCAAAATAACAAACAAACTTAGGAAGAAAAAACATAATAACGAAGAATATACTGTCTAAAACTCATACTAACATCGATTTTCGTACATAAAAATATATTCTTAATATTTTAATATTTTTTTTATTATTTTCTTTTTTTCTATCTCTCTTTCTCCCTTATATCATTGTTAGTAATCGGAAAAATACACAAAATCTCAAGAAAGACGGGAAAAATCAACATCGTAACTACTATTTCGTTCCCTTTTATATAGGCCTATACTCAGGTGCTCGGTCGGACTAATGATATATCCTAATCGGTTTTAAAATATTATGATTATCTTTTCCGCGAAAGATATAAAAGAAATGTTAAAGTATCCGCGCTATGGATGATAGAGAGAAAAGCGAATATAATTTTTTCTTATCCCTCATTTCTTCATCAAGAGGTCTATCACTTATTCCGCTGCAAGCTTCCTGCCGTGTCCTACACGCTTCATTATGTAAATGGCTGAAAAGGCCAGTTCAAGGAGGTTAGAAATGGCATACTTGCAGAGTCGATGGAAGAAAAAAGTTATCAAGAATATGTGACACGCTTACTGCATAGTCTAAACAGTATGGAGAAGCATAAAGCTTCATACGGGTTTTTTATACATACAATAAATATCGAGACCTAATTATCTATTAATTAAACAGGAAAGAAAATTAACATATAACACCAAATGTCTTATTTAATTCTTTATTTATACAGTACAGTATAGACATAGACAGATTGGAAACTATCTTTTTCTTTATCATCTATTTTTCCCAACTTAAATTATAGTGCCTACTCTAATCAGTAACAAGTTAAACTCTTTTGAAGTTCAACCGCACCGAGAAACAATTATGGCCAAGCAACAAAGGCGGAATAAACCTTCGTATACTCGAGTTTAATCCTAGAGGCAACTATTCGAGTCTCGATAACGAGATTGCTAATAAATCTACAGCACTTGAGTATAGCGAGGAATAACTACCTGAAAGAATTGCAAAAAAATTTTCCCATTTCAAATTAAGCCAAATGTATTAGTGATCTTTGAGAAACGGATAAACTCTTTCCATATTTTTAGACTAAAAAAACCAGATCTGTGCTTTCTCTATTTCCGGAACTAATTAAAAATTTTTTACATATTTGTTAAAGATAGATATTCAAAGCGTAGGTTGATCAGTAATTATTCACACGATGTCAAAATTGTATGGAAGAAAAGTTACTCAATCTTACTAAGAGTTAACACGAAATATACGAGAAGAGGAAAAAAGGAATAGCTGTCTACAATTTCTCTCCAGGCACGATCTAAGTAATTAAAAGCTTTCCAAGTTTGGGGTCTAGCCTCTAATTTCCTCCATCAGTCCTATCAGTCCCAGGACTATTGTTCTTCCGTCTTCTTATAAACATAACTTAACCACCTTTAAAACTACTTCTGATAAACTTTTCTCGTGACAACTGAAACGAATGTTGTTTTTGAGGAATATTTTAACGTCACGGAAATATCATGCAGCTTTCTATATTATTGTTCGGCTATGATTTGCAACACAGACATGCAATCAGACATCTAAATGTATTTTTAGTGAAAATAGTTTATAATACTTTGTTGAGTGAATCCAACAATAACGCCACTCTTTTTCTTACCGTGCAAAAGAGCACATGAGTTAAGATGTAAAGCTTCTCCTCTTACTTTCCATCTCTTTTCCTTTTAACTTTTGTTATATTTTCTCGCATCTTCACGGGTTTTTTAATACAAACTGTATATAAAGATGTTTATGCACGTTTTAATCTAGCAAGTATAAAAAAATAAAGGTTAAATGCATTGTCTGTCAGTCAACAAAAATTTCTATATATTAGTATATTATAGATAAAAAAATATAGATTTCATGTAAAAATCATGACAAATTATATTTTTAATAACTAAAATATAATTGCTTATCTCTACCTGACTGTATGATATTCTGATTCGGTAAAATCTTATTCCAAACATCAAACAAATACTATTTACAAAGCGGGATTCCAACACTTGCTTGATTACACTGTTTATATAGTATAACAATCTGATCCGTCCTACGATTTTTGCTAAATGAAATTAGGTTTTTTCCTGAAGAATTCCTCAACTTATATACCAATTTATGACGTAATTTTCTCCTGTTTGCTAATTGATTTTCCAAGTGAGTCTTCTCTCCTAGAATTAAACTGATATTATAAGAAAATTTTACGCTAGTACCACTATACAGACTTGTTTTTTCGTGTGTGTTTGCCTCATCGAAAAAACACAAAAAAAAGGTAATTACACAGCAACTACACAGCAACTTATTACGAAAATAATCATATTATATAAAATTTCATAAAAAATTAATTATAGCCTATTAATCTATTAATTTTCGTAATATTTCATTTTTCATAGGCAATCTATAGTAGTATCTTTCTTGTTTAATTAAACAAGTTAAAATATTCCCTCTTTAAATTCATACCGGAGCATGCCCATAATTTATATACATTTCTTTATATATATATATACTGTATATACATGTATATATATATAAATTTATATATATATACAGTATACTGTATATAAACTGTATATAAAGAAAAAAGATGGATAATTATTTACTTAGATAAGTACAGTGGTATTCCGCTACGTTACTTTTACGTTTTCTTTTAATATTATACAAAAAAAAGGAATTTTTTAGTGTCTGCTGTGAGAGAAATTGCAAAGATGAGATTTCTAAATCTGTCTTAAAAATTTATAAAGTTTTAATTAAAAAAGATATTATTATTGTGATTTAATAGACTTATATCTTAACCAAACAATAACACGATTAATTATTTTCTTAAAATGGTCCTCCCTCCCTCTCTCTCCTTCTCTCTTTCTCTCCATCTTTTTTTTTTATTAGACATCAATTAGTTTTTAGGGACTATAAAATATAATTTTATAATCTTAAAAGAGATATAATAGGAGAGATTCTATGTCTAAACAAACCTTACCTATAATTATCTTAGAGTGATTGTATGCCAAGAGTTCACCCTATTATATATTACTTAAATCTCTTGGATAATACGAATCAAACAAGATTTGTATAAAGGCTAAATTTGAAAGCAGGTAATAAAACGTCTATCTATAATCATAAAAAAATATGTATAAAAAAGAGTTATTGTCTCTCTCATCAAATTAATTAAGTGTTCAGGCTAGTAATAGTTGATAAGGATCATGCTGAACATACATATATATTATGTATGCTTAAGTGTATATAGTAAAACGCATATAAACAACCTACATCGACACAAAAGAAGAACATATATGGCTCTTTTATAAAAAATATATTATATACCGATGAATGAAGTATAAACAATATACCATATATTAACAACATCTTATATTCAAACGACTAAAATGACTAAAAATGCTATCACAATTATTCTTTGAATGTTTGATTCATTTAGCCAAAGTAGCTGTTTATCTTTATATATATATATAAAGTATATACGGTGTATATATACTAATATAAATCTAAACCATATAGTAAATTATTTATATATAGAATAGCAAAATGATGTTAAAAATGTTCCCCAATACTATATACTTGTTTATCATTGATTTTTGCAATACTGCAATATTTAATAAAATCTATTTCAGTTTATTTTCTTATTGAAAATAGGAGAAAAAAAATTGTATATACAGTATATATATATATATAGAGTCTACTACATTATTTTCATCACAAAGTCTTTTTTTTTTCTTTTTATTTCTTTTTTTTCCCTGCCTTTTCTCTTCTGGCAAATCTCGTAGGGATAGATTGTATAATTCTAAATAAAATTCTAGTTTCATTTTATTTTATATTTTAAGATGGTAATTTCTATTCCCTTTTTGGTTGTGAATTTTCTTATCCCAACAGATAGGTTTTACCATAACCTTTATAGACATGTTCAATTCCGATAAAATATTTACTAGGTACAGGTAATAGACCAATAGATTTTTCTTCTCTAAGGTGTTGCTCCTTGAACTAGGAGAAAGTTTTCACCACGAAGGATAAAAACAAGGTTAAAAATAGTCTGATAAAATAGCAACGTTGTCTTCAGTCTACTATGATAGTCTTTTCTGGCAAGGAAACTATTCCCTCCGTTCTCTCCATCCTTGCTACTCGCAGTACTGAGACTTTTAGAGTACCTATTTGATAAATACTTTTGCTTGTCTTATAGCTTGCAAATAATAGGCCATCAATCAGACTATTAAGATTAATTTAAAGCATATTTACTGTTCATCTTCGAAATTAATACTTTGACAATCTTTTTAATAATAGTAATAATAATAATAATGCAGCGTTGCCATAATATTGTTGCCTTTCCATTCATATATACACTGCATATACTATATATATATACAGTATATATAAATATAGATTCTATGCCTAATTTAATAATTACATTCTGTACGCTGAAAATTCTATATCAGTATATATGTACACCATATTTTTGCTTCACATATTTAACGTTTATGGCGTAATCCTGCCATTAGCAGGATAGCTCTTCAACAAGAACAGAATACCAAAAAAATTACTATTTTGGAGTAAAGTCATAGTTGTGAATTAACATGCTTGCGCCATCTATCTGTTGAAAGATAATTATAGTTATCGGAAGTCTGAGTACATTAATTGCTTTTGGTTGCTTGCATTAAAACTACCTGTTCTATTTGGTTTTTCTTTTACATTGAGGAAATGACGAAATAGGTTGAAATATTTTCACATTACGTATAATAAACAATTTCTCTTAATAAAATATAACGCCCCCTAGTACCAAATGTGAAAAAACGCTTCATTAATCCCCTACAAGAAATCATGAGACTAGGGGTGGCAGCTACTCTACTATACGTCCTAACAAAAATTTCAGGTAAAATCTAAATTGTTTTAGCATAACAAGAAAAAGAAAATTTCAAAGCTATCCTTAAATACTAGGTTCTACGAACTTTAGCGCGGAAAGAAGGCTATTTAACAATTTACTTCACCATTATGACTGCAATTCAAGGCCAGTTTTAAATGGAAATGTTACCGTCTATGTTAACTTTAGCATAGCCTTAGCTCAAATTCTCGACTTAGTGAGTATCAAATTTATTAAATACCTACGAGAAATGTGCTGGGGTACAATGTAAAAGAAACTGAGGTTAATAACGCGAAATTAAACTGCTAACGGCTCAGCAATTAGATACGCCTTTGCAAAAGGAAGGAGTGTATTTCTACACTATAATAATAATAATAATAATAATAATAATGTCAAAGCCAAGAATTTCTTCTGGAGGGCAAAAAGTGTTTCTTTCTCCTCAAAAAACTTAGAAATATTAGAAAAATATTATAAAAATAAAAAACTACTATCGCTTTTTTAATCATATACGAAAATTCTATTTGTACTGAATCTATAGTTTATACATGAATTATATTGAATTATATGTATATAAAGTAGCATAAATAAGAGAGAAAACAAAATCAAAATTGCCTGAAATTGACCGGAAAATACTTAATGGCCTGAGAGAAGGGAGAGAGAAAGAGAGAGAGACAGAGACAGAGCGGAACGAAATAGTATTCTTCTTTTAGTAAAGAGTAATAAAAAATAAAAGAATTAGCATTTCAACAATCTAGAGAGGATGCAAGAATACAATTTGATTTTTGTGATTTAAATAAAAAAAGACTTGGCTAATAAAACTATTTATAAATGGATAATTCTTAAACCTGCAAGAAATAACATAACATACAGCTTTTTTGACACATTCAATCGCTTTCGATAGACTCCTTGCTACTAGAAATAGAATAAATTACTAACGGCGTTATATTACTAGGCACCCTATTAGTCCCTGAGATATATAATACAAGGAACTCGCTATAGACTGCGAAAAACGTGAGATCGATAAAAAACCTGCTCTTCCTCTTTTTCTTTCTAGCCGAAAGCAGCTAATGCTAATCACGAACTGGAAACGGCGTGCGTCATTAACGTCGAATTCGACAGTCTTTCTTGTTCTCTTTTTTAGACAGAGAAGAGATGTAAAGTAACTCTTCTGTAATATTTCTCCCTCAGGCTGAAAAGAACCAGACCTTGCTTAGCAGTACACTTATTACGGAAGAATGGAAAGATGAAATTCTCGTCTGGAATCCCGAAGATTATGACGGATTAACTGAAATTGTAGTTCCTTCAGTCCGCCTGTGGCTTCCCGATATATACGTCGTTAATAACGCTGACAGCGGAGAAAAGGGGGCGGTTATCGCAGAGAGTTCTAGGGTGATAGCTAAATGGAATGGTAAGCTATATTTTGTCAAACACGTGAATGGTTTTTTGGAATTCCTATTGCAAACGTCTTTTTTAGATAAAATTTTTCCTACTAACGAGATATTCATACACATGTCCAGAATAGATTACATCATTTAGAATGTAATTTGAAAAATTAGGCCCATGCTAAACTTATTTACTAGTAATACGGCTTTATAGGATATAACCTGTACGACCCATCCATTTTCTGCAAAAACTATACAATTTAATTAATAAAAACGAACAAACGGGTTAAAAGGAAATTACAAAATGAATAAATAAACAAATTATATTATGTTTAGATAGTAAAACTGTTTGGAATTAGCTAAATGGGAAGAAAAAGGAGGCAGGGGAAACAGATTTACAAGACACTTAATGATAGAAAAATGGCTAGACTAAGCTAAAACTGAATAAAACGTCCAACTCAGATGCTTAGGAGAGTCTCCTAAAGAAAAGTACCCTCTTTCTACATATCAAGTCTTGTGAAGTCAAAATTGCCCTTTCATCAAATGCGGCTTCGTAATAAGCTTATTGAGGAAATATAACATCATATTTTAGCGTGTTAAAATGTATTAAATACCCCATATCCTCTATAAATATTTCTAAAAAAAGCGTATACTTATAATAGGTAAAATAACTTGGAGAATACCCTTGATTGTAAAATCTTCCTGTGCTGTTGATATTGCCTATTTTCCATACGATCGTCAGACATGTACTATACAATTCTCTTCGTGGATTTATGATGTTACCCAACTACAACTCTCTCAAAGAAGACCGAATATCGACCTCGGTAGCTATGTTACCAACACAGAATTTGAATTACTATCCGTAAGCTTGGAATCTGATTATTTATATGCCAAGACAGCAAAGTATACAAGGTATGCTATCAAATGATTATCAAAACTAGATAAGTTATAAACGTAAAGAGTTATAAAGATTTCTTTTATAGTACGTAATACATAAAATTGAAAATAAAATCTACAGAATCACTGCACAATTAAGGATTCAGAGGAAGCCTTTGTATTATGCATATACCATACTGGCCCCAACAATAGTACTTAGTATTTTAACTCTCTTTACATTTCTTCTTCCTTGCGAATCTGGTGAAAAAGTTGCGATTGGACTAACAGTATTTTTATCTCTCTATGTCCTACAATTAGCTATTGCTGAAAATATACCGGAATCGAATTCTCTCCCTCTTATTGGTCTATTTCTTACTTTAGTAATGACGCTTAATGCCCTAGCTTTGGTCATGGCTACATTAGTAATGAATATAAAAAAGAAAGCAGACAGAAAGAGAGTAAATCAAGTACCAGAATGTATTCTTAAGATGTGTAAATTTATCGGTCCGTACTTGGGAGCTAAACACTTGAATTACTATGACTATTATGATTTTTGCGACGAGTTGGATGACGAGATGACAGAGGGATTAGAAATCTCCGATGACGAAGATGGAAATGAAGACGAAGGATTCCTTTCAGTATCTCCCAGGGATGAGAGAAGAAGCTCAACCATTAGTATGAAATCCAGCAAGCTTTTTGTTGAACAGGTGTGTTATTTTTCTTTCTTAAGATATCAATTCTTTTCAATCCGAATACTATTCTCTTTTTCCCTTACAAATAATTCATTTTCTTTATGTTTCTTTAATGCTTGCAGATTGCTTTTCAATCAGGCAGGCGATTAACAGTTGACAATATTAGCCTTGGCTCAGAAAAAGCAAGGTTATACGTAAAAGATGTATCAAATATGGGACCTAATTTAAAGATTATTCAACCCTCATCCATCAGACCACCTGTTCCTGTTTGGATCAAATTCGATTGGTTTCTAGTTGCTGAAGTATTTGACAAAGTTTTATGTTTAATATATTTAACTGGTTTAGTTCTGACAATCGGTATTTTAATAATAGTCATTCCCATGTCTCATAGAGAAGAAACACAAACTAATATCTAGTTAAACTTCTTAGCGATAAGGAATTTATTATTAATAAAAATTTATGTACAATGAAGCAACAGAAATTTATAAAACTATACTCGCAAACTGTCTAATTCTTTAAAATTACTTTGAAACGTCTGTAAAGGTCATCCATCGACTTACTTCTTGACAAGCTGACTTTAAGTCAGGATATTTGAAATTGTAGCCACTTTGTATAGCTTTTTCTGGCACAACGCATTGTCCTTCTAATACCACTTTGCTGAAATCGGGACCAAACACGGTTCTCATGACAAAATCAGGAATGGGAAAAAGAGCAGGTCGACACATGGCTTTAGAGAATTCTCTTGTGAAATCCTCATTAGTGTCGAAAGCAGGAGCAACCACATTTAAGGGCCCCTTTATTGTTTCATTATCAATTGCGTGCTCTAATATCCCAACAGCATCATCAATATGAATCCAGGGAAAGTACTGCTTGCCACTTCCTATTCTACCACCCAAACCGAAAAAAAATGGGAGCCATGTTTTATAAACTATTCCACCATTCCTACCAAGAACGACACCTGTACGCGATATTACATGACGCGTCTTGCAGTTTTCGGATAATTTCGAAGCGTTCTCATTATCTTGGCACAGTTTAGAAATAACGCAATTTCCACTGGTTTCAGATGACTCTATAAAAGCGAAATTGTTAGAAATTGATTCATTGAAGAGGAAAATTTGCAATCCTTTTTCCTTTTAACTTTTCAAAGAATCTAGGTTACTTCTACAAGATTAAATTCTGTAAAAAGTAATAGAGCTATACTATTTATGTAAGTTTTTTTCCAAAATAGAGGAGGTTTTCATGCTTCGATGCGTTAAAAAAGATTTACAAATTACTTAATCGCGTTACGCTTTTAATGAGACCTAGATTATTTCTTAATTTTGTCATGAAAATGCTTCTAACCTGTATATCTATTATGGCGATGGGGCTCATAAATGCCAATTGCAGATGTAGATATCCAGACTTTCGGGGGATTTTCAGAATTTTCAATACATTTCGATAAAAATCCATTTGTTTCTATGCGACTGGAGTATACTTTGTCCAAAAATTCTCCGTCTATGCGATATCTTTATAAAAAACGTCCTATTAATTAATAATATAAGCTTTTTTCAAAGAAATCTACTTAAAAGGTTGTAGAATATTTTCACCGCTCAGATTAATTATGGCATCATAATACTCTGAAAGTCCATTTTTGTACAAAGAATCCTAGAATGGAAAAATGATTGCTATATAATTAAATGCAATTCAAAATTATTAAGGTATTAAAGTTGAAAAAATTGAAAAATAATAATGTCTTGTTAGTTTATAGCGTACCCATGTAATATGATCAGGACCGGATCTTCTCGATATAATTTTAACGTCATATCCCTTTTTGAAAACTAACTGTTTCACTAGATGCTGTCCTATGAACCCGGTTCCTCCACCTTTCAAAAAAGTAATAAACAAGGTTAGTACTCCTTTTATCGCTCTCTTGTAACTACTTTTTTACAGTTTTAGTTCGTTCATTTCTCGATAAAATAGCATATTTAATTGAATACCTATTAGAATTTTCATGACGATTCTATTTATGATGCTAAAAAAATATTTTGTGAGGTGTATTTTAGGTTAAAACTAGACTAGAATTACTAGACGAGAATTCGTATTGCAAAAGACACTCGGAAGTCACGTGGTATCTCCGCACTCGTGTAGGGCACGTTGTATCATGATAGAATTATCTCGCTGTAGTTCTACTAAAAAATTATCTATTAGCGAATTTTCTTTTAAACATCGACGTCATATACGTAACAAAGATTTAGTCAATCCTTAAGAAAAACTATCAAAATGCCGAAAGGACGAAAGAAAGGTAAGCATATTTTCAATGTATCACTTATGACGCAGTATCTGGTAGTTGAATATACAAAGCTCAGCTGTTTCAACGCCAGCATATTTTGAAAACACAAGATTAATAGGGAAATATATTCCTATTAATATATTTTATCTGAAATATTCGCCTACCTTAGCAGTTACAGATAGGAATGAGAATGTTTACATAGGCTAAAATACAGCAAAATATTAACCAAGTTGGTTCTATTATTCTAACTCAATGTCACAATTTTTGCCCTCTCCAGGTGGAAAAAAGAATAATAGAAATGGAGTTGATTCTGATGACGAAATTGAAGGAATTGATAACGGAAGTGTTTACAGCAATCAAAGTGATTCACGTAGTGCTGGAACAGCAGATGGTTTTACAGATGATATCGATGAAACTAGCGTACAAGAAAGCTTTGAAGACCGTCTAACAGATTTTATTGAAATGGCTGGTCAAAAAAGGTAGATTTTCTTTATATATGTCTCTTGAAGTCTTGAAATAAAGGTTTATATTTTTAAATCAGCGCCAAAGGACGAACTGATTGTTTAAATGCAATATCTGATGCTATGCGAAAAAAAATTCTGCTAGACTTTCTCTATGATAGGAAATTAACCGTAAGTGATGTGATCGAAAAGTGTCTAAAAAAAGGTAAAAGTGCTGAACAGTGTGCAGCTGCACATTGCTCAGCCCTTTTAGCTGTTCAGTTGGGCCTTAATGTGGATACGGAGGAAATGTTCAAAACATACAAGCCAATATTGACAACATTAATGCTCGACTCTTCGGCCGATTTGAGAGCTCGCGCAGCTGTAAGTACAACCTAAATTTTAGATTTCCTAATTTTCTTTCAATGTTACAAATGGTTATTTTTTTTTATTACTACCCTTTTTTCACATTTATTAAATCAATCCAATAAATCAATAATCTTTTCAGTGCTCCTCCGCCTTAGGATTATGGGCAATGATTGGCGCAAGCGAAAATGCTGAGGAAATTCTGTCTGTTACACAAAGTCTGGCCAAAGTATTTAAGTCAAGTTTTCTGAAAGGTATTGTCCTCTTCAATTGTTAATTTTGTTTCTAAATATATGAATTATTCAAATAGGAGACAAAACCGCTCCTACGCACTCTCCGGAGGTGACAAATTTACACAATTGTGCTCTTATGTCTTGGGGTTTATTGATATGCTTATTACCCCAACAAAATGTTCAGGACATTGTGCATAAGTAAGTTTAAGATAAATAGCTGTTCGTAAAAATAGCCTTTCTTTTGTTCGTTTTGCAGTAATTTGCCGAGAATTCAAGAATTATTATTGAGCGGTGATTTGGATTTGCGAATGACTGCTGGGGAAATAATTGCTCTTGTATATGAATTGGCTTCAGAAATTAATCAGGTAATGATTTTACTTTCAATGATTTTAGGGTTTTAGGTAATTTTTAAAATTTTTGTAGAATTATCAAATTCCCTCTCATCGTATCCTCTGTGAGGAATTACGAGAATTATCCACCGATAGTACAAAAAGCAAAGGCAAAAAGGAGAGGAGAACACAACGTTCAACATTTAGGGATGTTTACAAATATGTTGCGGTACAGTTATGCAATATTTGATTAATATTTCGAAATTACTTTGAAAATTTTACAGAATGGTGAAATACCCTCAATAAAAGTACATTTTGGTTCCGAAATGCTACTTATCGAGCGGTGGACTGAAAAAAGGCAATATGATTTCCTTTGTACACTTTTGAAAAGTGGAATGAATTTACATCTTGCAGTAAATAATTTAGACATTGTTATATAACCATTATTAAACTACTTGATTGCAGGAAAACGAATTTTTGAGAGATGTATTCAACTTAGGCCCTGTTATACCTACCGGATTGCCAAAAGAAAGTCGCGAGAGCAGAATTCAAAGGGTAAAATTTTAAATTATATGAAATTGCTGTATGAAACTTTCCTTTTTTTGAATAGACACTTCAAAATCAAGCGATTTCAAAATTAAGAACTCAAACAAGAGGAAAAAACCGTGATAAGCGCTCAGCGATTGTTCATGGAGAGTGATTTAACTGTTTATGTATTTATGTCATATCTTAGAGTTTATGACTACTATTCATGTGTGAATGCCTAAAATTAAATGCTTGAAAGTTTCTTTTAAATATAAAATATATGGTACATCAAAATATCTAATCTACTTGTTCGTCATTCATTGCATCTAAACTTTCTTTTTCGTGTTCTTGCAAAGCATGAATTGCTCTGGCTGTTAAAACTTTAAAATGCCGAACAGTTTCGAGAGCACTCTCAACTTGCTTGTGAACGCTTTTCATTTGCTCGAAATCATTCTTCTTGAAGGTTTCATGATCATAATGATGTTTATATTCACCACACGTTACTCTCTTCTTTTCCATTAAAAGCTTGTGAAAAAGAGGATACGGCTCTTGAAAAATAACCTCATCGTAGTGTTCGATTATCAATGGCTTTTTACCCAAAGTAATGTCAGGATCAGTGTGGAACAATTTCAATAAATGTGTCAACGTTACCGGTTTCTCATTCACATCAACAAAAAATATCTTAATTAAAACTTCAAATTCTCCCCATCCTGTTTCAGTAACTTCATAGGGAGGTTCAGTAACAGTTCTATTGTGATCATTGTAATCAGCATGCAATCTGAACACAACTTTTTTAACAAAAGGAGACATGCAGCAGTTATCGAAAGGTTTCACGAAGACTGTCCACTGGTGAGTATGACCATTTTCTGACTTTTTCCCGAAATATCGAGACACATTCCCATAAACGACAGGCTTCACAACCGTTGTTCCCTTCATTCGAGTGACAGTTTTTTCTTCTAAATCGTTCATTATAGTATTTTTGATTGCCGACAAAATATAAACTGAAGTCGCTCAAATTAAACTGGTATATTATTGGCGCATGCGCATTTTCCCATTTACAATTTTAAAACCGTTAGTAAACTTTAATTAGGAAATAAGTTATTTATTTTATTCGAAAACTTTATAAAAACAATTTTTTAAAGCATTCAGTATAAATGTAATTATATACATTTGAAAAATACGGACTTCAGAACGAGAGCGGAAGTGGATGTTCTTTGATTCCTCGGCGGGAAGTGAAGAAACTGTTAGATCGTTTCAATATATTATTCTGAAGCATATTGTTTGATTGTATCTAAGTGATCCAAGCTATATTTCATTAATACTAGTACACAAACATACTATAATTCAAGAATAAATTATGGATAGCTCAAGAAAACGAATTCTTATTCCATCTTCCATAAGGGGTAAACAAATTCCAACTAAAAATACATTAATATTCAATATATCAAAATAACAAGCTAAACGAAGGAAGAGATCAGAATCTGAGGAAGACGACTCAACATTTACAAAATTTTTGAAATCTTGCGAATTTTTTGTTAAATCTGGAGACGAACCTCATCAAATTTGTAAGTTTCCGCGGAACTTTTAAAAGTTTTACACTGAATATGTTCACTCAGGGATTGAACAAGAATTATTTAAGAAGCGTCTTAGATCCAGATTTAAAAGTGAATTTGGTACCGAGGTCTGCTTGATTACGATGAATGAGCGTATATTTTAGTAAACTTGTTATAGGCTGTACAAGCGTTTATGAAAGGCTTGGAAGAAAAATGTCGGCAATTAGTGACTTTTAGACGATGTCTGGTTCCCTCTATAACTCCTTCCGAAGCAGATACAGCGTATGTAAATTTTTGACAGAACTAGATTAATTATAGACTTCCTACTTCAGTTCAAAAGGCAGGGCTCAAGATAGTCTTATTAAGCTGCTTTTAGGTGTTGACACTCTTCATATTCCCGTAATGAAATTTCTTCTTCATAAATTAGACGACTTCTGCGCTAACGAGTATTTTATTGCATACCGTTATACATTCATAACGCTAATTTTACTGCATTAATTTATTTACTAGTTCTATTGATGATGGCCATGAAAACGTAAACTTTTCCAGTTTAATTTTAAATCATATGCGGTACTTGGAAAAAATTGAAAATACAGATGTAAACTTTGATTTTTTTAAAATTCAATACTTTTGAGTATTAGTTTTGCAGGAAGTTTTGGATAAACTCTTATCTATCATACCAAAATCTTGTTTATCGGTAAAACGGGATATTGTTACCTCTCTTCCAGAAATGCTAGGGGATGACCTCCATGACAAAGCTGCAGATAAGTTAAGAGTAGTCTCTGAGGGAGATTTAGATTTAATATCTTCTGTCTTGGACGCTTTGTCGAATATGAACGTATGCGAAAATACCATCACCGAGGTAGTTTCTTGATACACAATGTTAATCATTTTTAAGCATTTACTAAACATCTTGGTCAGGTGGGAGACCATGTTTTAGAGATAATTCAGCAATTACAATCCGACGATGTAGCTATTGCTGTTCGATTTCTAATGCAGAACACGCCTTCAAAGCAATTACCTGAGGTCTGTTCTTCAATAAGGCGATTATTGAATTTCAATCAATTGAAGTCACCAAAGAACACTCCTCGTCCAAAATCTCAAAAGTTTGTCATACTTTGTTTGTTAAGTATATAATGGAATATTGGTTTGCAGAATTAAGAATCGAAAAATTGATTCCGCGAGTCTCTTATTAAACACAGTGAAATCTGCAGTAAAATTTGAAAGAAAGCAAGCGGAAGCTTGGCTTAAGGTCTCGTTTATTTTCCTTTAATCTACATAAAATAAAAACTCTTAAAATAAATTTAGGCAATTGAAAATGCTAACGAGCTATGTCCCTTCGATATGTGTCTTCTCTTTGTGCTGGATTCTTCCAACTTGAGCAAACAAGCTATATCAACATTTAGAAATAAAATTAGGAATAGGCAAATTAATAATAATGTTATAGAGAGGACGTTTAACGGATACTCTAAAGTAAATCATAGAATAAGCCATTATCTTCATATTATTTTTTTAAATTACTAGGTTATCCAAAGCTACTTCACTTCAATTTTATTACTTGCGGATAACCTATTTAAAAGTAATGAAGATGTTCTAAACTCTTTCGGTTGCGACATGCTAAAACTTGCATTTCCTCATTTTGATTATTTTGAAAAACAGGTAAAAAATTAATATTTACACAACCATATGAAAGAAAAATTATACATTTCAGGAAATAGTAAGAAATCTGTTTTCATATTTAGAGAGTACATCTCCTAATCAAGTAAATGCTGGATTAGATATTTTGTCCTACTTTGTTAACAATTACATTTCCGATATGGAGCCATTTACTATTTTTGTTCAAGTAAAAATTTAAACTATAATATCCGTATTATAAATTAAGGATTTGGGTAAACAGGATGTTTTCAAGAACCAATTGAAAATTCTCCAGGCGATGACTATTACACAGCTGCAGAAGCTATTTTATATTCTATGCCTTCTAGCATTCGATGCGGAACAAAACGCATCACTGACAGTAAGTGCTCTAAAGCATAGATAACCTAACAGTCTTGTAAATTATTTATATAGGAAGACCTAAAAATAAGAATAATGAAGTTACTTGCCACGGACTCTGTTAAGTAAGCAATTTGCAAGCAATTAAAGATTATCTTCATTACAACACAAGAAAATGGATGATATAAAAAATTAATTTATATATATATATTTTTATATAATGTTTAGGAAAAAGAGTATTGGTATTATCGGTGCAATCCATGTGTTCCAATACCTTGGGAGAAGTAAAACTGATATCATTGATAGTGAGTCTAGTGATTATTTTGATAGCGAGAATTTGGAAGAGGTAACAAATTATACTTAACTTTAAGGAAATGTTGTTATTTACTTCTTCGTTTTACTTAATAATAGGTAGAGAGATACTTTAACGTAATTAAGAATTGTTTGAAGTGCTGTCCTGAGGCTGAAATATTACTTTATGACGAATTAACTGAACTCATAAATAATGGTGGGCTCCATAAAGATGTTGAGGTAATTCTTCAAAGTGAAATGAAATATATTTATTGAACAAGATTCTTACAGAAATTTATTCACGACCAAATATTATATAGTTTGAATAATACTTTTATTATCAAAGAAAATGATTTCGAGGAGTCACAGTAAGACTTAATTTTTGTATTTTGTTTTGCAAATGTAATAGTAAATATATCTATGATTGTCAGAGTTAAAGGTATAACTGCCGTAAAAGGTCTACAAATCGACTCAAAAAATTCAACAGTTTTAAATATGTTTCCTGTTCTAGCCACCCTTAAAGATAACAACATAAAGTAAATATTAATTTGTTGTAGCATTTTCACATTTTTTTTCATCAGAACACAGGGATTACTTTGCTTACCGGCTTATTGTCGCTTATTACAAACCATTGTTTTAAAAAGCAATAATACACTTCAAGATATCTCCCATATCTTAGGTTGGTTCGTACCAGTTCAACTATTTTTCCAAAAAAAATAAGCAAGAATTTTCAGGATGCTGTATAATTATTCCGGACTTGGAATTTGCAAAACAGTTCAAAACACTAACCTTTCAGCAGAAGGAAATATTTCTTGATTGCTGTTTTTACTTGGTGAACTGGTTTATCGAAGTATTCATTTTCAGGATGTAATTCTATTAATTATATTGATATCATTTTATCCTTCTACAGTTGATTAATGCCTTTTGTCAAGAATTGAAAAGTCCAAAAGTAGCGACCAAGATAATTCGTAGATTACAGAATGTTATTGATATTCGAAAAGTCATTGACAGCTGCCTATCAGGTTTGTCAAAAACAATACCGCTTGCAATATAATTTATAAAAATTCAATGATGAAAAATCAATATCATGATATCAAATGATAATTATCAGATTACTTCACTTTCTATCTCATTAGTTTAAGTCTGAAATATTACATAATATTTTTCAAAAATATTCTTACTCTACAAATTCATGAAAAAGATTTCATTTTATTTTTAGGAATAAAGGATTATAGTCCACCTTTAGCTTATGCCAATTTAGGAGAAAAAGTTACTCTTTCACTTACCTCAACTGTTACTAAAAAAAAAGCTACAAAAAAGTAATTTCTTTTAATTTTTTATTAAGTTCCAATTAAAATATCAATTTTTCAGAAAAGTTGACAAAAGTAACGATACTACCACTGACAACGAATCTATTTTTTCGATTGATAAATCTGTATGTATATGAAATAACAATTTATTCTCATCAAATGATTTTAATATTTTCAGGAAAATTTTGATGATGATACTACGAGTACCGCTATTACTTCGTCAACCCAGTCTAAACAATTCCGTGAATTCTTTCGTGAAATGGATCTGCATAATTTGCGATTAATAGAATTTGGAATATCTGATGATTCTTTGAAAATTAACATTTCAAGCTCTAATGTTGCAGAGGTTTTGAAAACGTATTTCATTTTTTCTTTATTTTAGTGAATTGTATTTTTCTCGAAACAGACAAACGATTCACTGACACTAAATCAGTTAGGTTATCTACTGGACGACTTCAAACAAAAACTAGATATTATTTTACCGTCTTCGTCAAGCTCACGACATTTTGGTTTTAAAACATCAAAAATTGGTGGATTAAAAAATTTTCTTCGAATTACGGACAGACAATTAGTTGAATTTTTCAACCAATTGCTTCCAACTTTACTTGAAATCCTGGAAAGGTCTACAGGAAAACTACAGGTTTATTTTTTCTATTGAAAAACATTTAGTTTATTCCCCTTTACTTTATAGGAGAAGATAGATGAAAATGATGGTGTTCTTGATGGACCAGCCGTTAATTCTGTCGAAGGGCAACAACTAAATCTTTGTTATGAGAAACTTATTAACATTTTATGCAGCTTTTTTTCTTGGTTTGTTTTTTTTGGATAAAGCATATGTACTACTTAAAAATTGTGATATTTAATATAGGAGTGGATTTAAACTATCTAATAATAAAGCCCTCCTACAAAAAGCGGTTGAAATGATATCAGGAAGGATCAGCAGTAATACAGGAAATACAGAGTAAAGATATGTGTTTACCCTAATAAATTGGATTCAGCCGTTCTTTTTTTTTGTACAGAAATGCTTTTATTTATTTTGCAAACTTGACAAAGTTCACAAATAGGCTATCAATCGCTGTGACTATTTGTCGCATTCTCTTGAATTTGTTGGAAACATGTCGGTGTGATCCAGAAACTGAAAAAAATCGAATAGGTTCGTTAATATCGATGTCGCTGCTCATTGCTTTGTTCTTCTAATGTTTTTCATTTTAGCAAATCTTGCTGAAGAGTTTTTAAAAAGAGAATGGTGGGATGGGAAAGTTAAAGACAAAGGAGCTAAATATCATGAAAATATTGACTTCTTTGTTGGGTAATATAGCAAAAATAATCAGGTTGAGATAATGTTTAATTAGTTTGCTTTCCTAAAGGATCTATTTGTCAAATAAATCTCCAACTATGGATGTGCTATCCGATGTTCTTGAGGTAGGAATAAAAGAGTTGACAGATGACGGTCAGATCTCGGAAACATATCAAACTCTGAATAAGTTTGTAAATGATCTAATAATGGTAAATTCTAATTAAGCTTGTTTTTACTTTCAGATCAACGTTACCCATTTATTACAAGCATATGATGTCAACCCTTTTAGAGTCAATGCAAACAATAGGAAAGGCACGAGCCGCGGATGACTCTCAAACAAAATTGGAAATACTTAGACTTTGGATAAAGCATGCAAATTTTTTAAACGTTCTGCTTGGATTAGTGAAAATGTTTGACTCACGTCAGATTTTACTAACGGTTTTCAAGGTATCCATTCTGGAGAATTATTATTATTTTGCTTAATCAAGTGTCTACTTTTTAGGTTGGAACAAAGATTTTAGACCTATTTAAGAAATTTGCTGTCAGTACATTAGACTGCCTTCTTAAATCCCACAAAGATAAATGTCTGAGTTTCATTACTGCTTTTAAAAAGTGTAATAGTCTGTTACAGCATTGCACGACTTATGTGAAGGTAATTATCATGTATTAGTTTATCAAGAAAATTTCAAGCTTCTCAATCGAAATAGGGAAGAGAGGACCCTGCGTTAGCTAATCATGTGCCTGTTCTGAAAAGTACAATGGAAGCCGTAATTTATAGTATCGAAAGCATGGTTTATCGGAATCAATGTGGAGATGCTTTTCTTATCGGTAATATGAAAAATAGAACACTTCAAGGAAGTGAAATTTATGATATGAATACGCAAGAAAGTGAAAGTGACGTTTTAGAGAAGTCCCCTGAAAATAATGCTGATGAAATGGCTTCTGATATAGAAGACGTAAGTAGCATTCTTTAAAAATCAAATTTTTACTCTTATTTGAATCTTTTATAGGATCAAGACATGTCTGCATCGCTGTAAACTTTTGACATTCTATTCAGAGGCGAAGTTTTACTTTAAGAATTCTTAGAAAATACAAAGTTTCATAAATTGTTTTACTTAATAAAACTTTTTCAAAGCTGAAAAATATTTCGTCTAATAAAAACACTTTCGGTGAATTTAAGCCATTTAAAATCACGACTATCAGATATCCCATCATGCGTGTATACTCTTACCGGTTTATATTTAGAAAAAGCAAAACACTAACCATTAATACACCAGTCCGGTTCAGCCTACATTATCGGACTACGTTTGCGAGTAAAAAATAGTGTGTCTTACAAATTTTATGAATTAAAAGAAATCCCGAAGCGGTTCATGAGTTTTTAAATCCGACAATATGTCTAAAAGTTTTGGAGATGACCTCTTTGAGGTATTTGATGAGGAACCAACGTCCGTTCTAAAGAACGATAATAGCACGTATGTAATATTTAAAAAACCACATGTTTTTACCTTTTGTAAAAGTCGTTGATCGGCTCCTCATTAAAATTTTTATAGGTCCACGATCAAACGGAAATCTTCTCAGTCTGATAACGGTGAAAATGATGAACAAGAACCAAAAAAGCCCAAATCCATTTTTGATAAAATTAATGAAGTTAAAGATGAATACGTGACTATTGCGGAGGACGCTCCAAAGGAGTATGTGAATTAGTAATTATACATCTAAACAATAAATCAATTTTCTCATCTCAGGTCGACGGAAGAGGTGAAGCAGAGCTTTAGAGTTGACCAAATTTATCAAACGGAGGATTGTACCCACGAAGTAGTTTTACCTGGCGAAGCCGAATTAGATTCTCTGAAAGCTGGAGAAAAACCGGCTAAGGAATACAAGTTTAATTTAGACACTTTTCAAAAGCAAGCTACAATGTGTCTGGAAAATTCTCAATCAGTCTTAGTGTCAGCTCACACTTCAGCAGGAAAAACAGTTGTAGCTGAATACGCAATAGCAATGTCTTTTCGCAATAAGCAGAAGGTTATTTATACAACACCTATCAAGGCTCTCTCGAATCAGAAGTTCCGGGAATTTCAAGAAGAATTTCAAGATGTTGGCCTTATGACTGGAGATACAACAATTAATCCTAATGCATCTTGTTTGATTATGACAACAGAAATTTTGCGTAGTATGTTATACAGAGGATCGGAATTAACGAGAGAAGTGGCCTGGGTTATTTTTGATGAAATTCATTATATGAGAGATAAGATGCGAGGAGTTGTTTGGGAAGAAACAATTATTCTACTCCCTGATAATGTACGATATGTCTTCCTCTCTGCCACTATTCCAAATGCTCGCCAATTCGCAGAATGGATAGTCTTTCTGCATAAGCAACCCGTTCATGTTGTATATACAGAAAAACGTCCTGTACCCCTTCAGCATTATGTGTATCCATCAGGTGGAGATGGAGTTCATCTTGTGCTCAATGAAAAAGGACAATTTAAAGAGGACAATTTGTCAGTTGCAATGGACACTTTAGCGAAAGCAGGAGAAGCGGGAATGGGTGATCAAAGGGGAAGGAGGGGTGGAAACAGAGGACAGAATGAGAGCAACGTGCTGAAAGTCGTCCGAATGATAACTGAAAAGAGTTTCACTCCAGTAATTATTTTTTCATTTTCAAGAAAAGAATGCGAAGAGCATGCTGTTCAATTATCAAAGTTGGACTTGAACTCTGATACAGAAAAAGAGCACGTTGAAAAAGTTTTTAAAAATGCGATGATGTATTTAAGTGACGAAGATAGAAAATTACCCCAAGTTGACAATGTGCTACCTTTACTAAAAAAGGGCATTGGTAAGTTTGATAAGTTAAATATAATAATCAAATACGAATGAATTGTGTTTCTAAACAGGAATACATCATTCTGGTTTGTTACCTTTATTGAAAGAGACGATTGAAATTCTCTTTGGTGAAGGCTTAATCAAAGCTTTATTTGCCACGGAAACTTTTGCTATGGGATTAAATATGCCTGCAAAAACTGTTGTCTTTACACAAACAGAAAAGTTTGATGGTGTTGATGTTCGCCCATTAACATCAGGAGAGTATATACAGATGAGTGGACGAGCTGGTCGAAGAGGATTAGATGAAAAAGGTATAGTCATCATGATGATGAAACAGAGAGTTACACCAGCCGAAGTGAAAAATATGCTTGGGGGAGCTGCTGATCCTCTGAATTCAGCTTTTCATCTCACATACAATATGGTTTTAAATCTAATGAGAGTAGAAGAAGTAAATCCAGAATATATGTTAGAAAGGTCATTTTATCAATTTCAAAACTATAGCTCTTTACCTGCTCTAGAAAGACAATTAAAAGATCTAGAAATGAAGTATGTTTCATTTAAAATTCCAAGAGAAAGTGAAATAGAAAGCTATCATAAGTTGAGAAGACAATTAAAACACCGCGAAAAAGAATTACTGTCCTACACTCAAAAAGCTAAATATATAGTTCCTTGGTTAAAAGTTGGTCGTTTAATCGAAGTGAAACATGATGATACATATTTTGGTTGGGGAGCAGTTGTCAATGTCTATCAGAAAACATTAAAGGAAGATGTAACGGAAAGACGTTACTTTGTTGATGTTATGTTAGATTTAGATCCTTCTTGTTTGAGAAATTTTAAACAAGGAGGTAATCCAAAACCTTCTGACGGAAAAAATGGTGAAATGTGTGTTATTCCAATTACGTTAAAAACAATACAAGCCGTTAGCCAGATTCGTATTCTACTTCCTGATGATCTGAAATCTAAAGATAAGAGACAACGCGTAAAAAAAGATATAGATGAAGTTAGACGACGTCAAAAAGATGGTATACCTCTCCTCGATCCCCAGGAAGACTTTGGCATTAAAGAGGAAGGCTTTAAAGAAGTGCTGAAAAAGATAGAAGCTCTTGAGAAACGGTTGTACTCTCATGTCTTAACAAATGATTCTCAATTAGAAGATTTGTACAACTTATTTGAATCCAAAATGTCCATTGGTGATGAAGTAAGAAAAATTAAAAGTCAGTTAAAAGCAAAGAAAAGTCTACTGCAGATGGAAGAATTAAAATGCCGTAAAAGAGTTCTCCGACGATTAGGCTATGCCACGGCACAAGATGTAATTGAGATCAAAGGAAGAGTTGCTTGTGAGATTGACTCTGTTGATGAATTATTGGTTACTGAACTTCTTTTTGAAAATATGTTTGATGATCTCTCTCCATCAGAAGTTGCAGCCGTTATGAGTTGTTTTGTATTTGACGAGAAGTGCTCAGAAATGCCTAAGCTAACAGATACTTTATCAGGTTAAAAGTTTTAGAAAGATACTTTTTGTTTAATATTAACTAGTCTTTTTATAGGGACACTCAGGAAAATCCAAGAAGCAGCAAGAAAGATAGCTAAAGTTTGCATTGATGCGAAAATCGAGTTAGATGAAGAGGAATATGTTGAGAGATTGAAACCATACTTAATGGATATTGTTTATGCTTGGTGCGAGGGAGCTCAGTTTTCAAAGATATGCGAAATGACAGATATTTTTGAGGGTAAGTGATAAAATGCAATTCAAATTTCAAACTTCTGCGAATTCTTACTTTAATTATATTGACAGGGTCAATCGTTCGATCTATGCGTCGACTCGCAGAAGTTATGCGTCAGTTAGTTTGTGCGGCAAAAGCAATTGGCAACACGAATCTTGAAAATAAATTTTCAGAATCTATTCGTTTGTTGAAGAGAGATATTGTCTTTGCTGCTAGCCTATATTTGTAAATTTTTGTTTCACATGAAAAATTTGTTAAAATGAAGATTATGAGTCACTATCACTCATATTTTCAACATTTTCATTGGTGTCAACAAAGATATCCAATAAAGTTTTTATTTGGCTATCCTCGTCCATGTCCATGTTTATGAAAAAGTCTCGAAACGCTTCATTTCTGCAAATTTACATAATTGTTAATAAGATTAATCTGTTTATAACTAAACATATATATATATATATATATATAGTATACAAACCGTGATATGCAATCCTCTTCCGTTTCTAAACATTTGTAATAAAGTTCTAAGCTACTATTTTTCTTTATGCTATTCAATATTTCTGCTGTCCTCTGTATCACATCATCTGAAGATCCAGTCTGTTGAGCTACATCGGAGGCATGTGAATTTAACTCTATTCCAGGTTTGATCTGAAATAAGCTAATGAACTCCTCCTCGTTAACCAGAATTTCCGTTTTCTGAGTTGATAAAGTACTAAGTTAGAGTATGCTTGCAAAAAAAGACAATCACACAAACCCATTTGCGAATCTTTGAAGAGTTAGGTAGAACACGAAAAAGATCATGTAAATGGGTAACAACTAGCACATGAGGAGGATTTTCTTGTTGGACAAAATTATGAATACAAGCCCCAAGAATTGCCGTCCCTTTAAGAAAAATTGATCAAAATTTCATGAAATTTTTATATTTGAAACTTAAAATCTATTCATACCATCGGCGTTGAGTGTTCCTTTGCCAAATTCATCAATCACTATCAAAGATTTCTCAGTTGCAAAATTGAGCGCAACTGTCATTTGGTTAATATCGATAAAGAACGTTGACAGATGAACTGAGACACTTTCCATTGTTCTTATTCTTGTGAAAATTCGATCTGTTAAGGATATTGTTGCGCACTTAGCAGGAACAAAGCTTCCTAAATGAGCCAGAAAAATGATAAGAGCCGTCTGCTTTATAAAAACACTTTTCCCGCTTGCATTTGGGCCAGTAATTATGTGGATATTTCCATAATCAACACCTGAGTTAAAGTTGTTTGATATAAAAGAATCCACGATAAGCTCTTGAAGTGGATGCCGTCCTTCCTCAATGCAATACTTCCCATCGTTTTTCATTGTAGGCCTTACATAGTTATGTTCTCTAGCAACTACTCCAAAACTGAAGAAAGTCATTCAGAACTTCAGTAATTTTCTCCAAAAATGTAAAATACTCGTTTATTTCATAAATATAGATATTTTCGGATTACAAATTAAGACTATATTTTGTTACAAAATCGAATTTAAAATTTTATGGTACACGTTCTGAGTGACTTTCCTTATGAGGCAATCAAGTTCAGCAGCAAATTCGCATATTTTCAAAAGTGTAGTGGAATTATTTGTTATAAGAGTTTGTAGTTCGTGCATTAGTTTTGTTTCCATATCGCTAATCTCAAACTTTGGATCTCCGAGTAAGTCATCCAATCCTAATATACATCCGCACTATTATAAACTTAAATTTATTTAGTAAACTAACAAACCACATGCGTCGCGATTCTTATAAAATGCTTGATCTGTTGACGTATACTGAGGAAGTAATTTGTATATAATATATACATTGATTTCATAATATAGAAAAGTAAAACAAACCAAAAATTTCATATCTGGAATATCACTTATTTCATCATCTTTAGTTTCAACTTCTTCTCTGTTCACTGCATACATGAATCCCATCTAAAAATTATTACACTTGCAATAGTATATGTTATATATAAAACTTCGTCTGATAAATATAAATTTGTTGACGTTGTTACACTTACATGAGGTATATAAACCATTTTACCACTGGGATACTTTCTACCGGTTTCTTCATATGCTCTGTCAGTAAATTTCTCGAGAGTTTGCCCAATTTCTTCATATTTTTTCTTCTCTACAATCGTGAATATTTTAAGTATGAATAAAATTTATACATTTTAATTAGCTTACTTTCATCGAGTGTATCATTTACACCCGGTTTTACGACAAAGGCCTGCTCTATCCGTGATTGTTCAAAGTCGATCTGCGAGTTACAAAAGTTATGTGTAATTTTTAGCCCTTCAGCCTATTACTTACAGTTGAGGAGATAATATTATGCAACATGGTCAAATCATCATCAAAATTTTCTAGTATCTATTAAAAAAATGAATAATATACTCAAAAACCATTTATCAGAGATCCATACTTTGTGAAAAATTGATACATTTTCAGGACAAGAGCTTCTAATTATATTGGCTATTGAAATCGAATTGAACAAAGTCTGAAAAAAATATACATTAGCATGTTGTCTAGAAATTCTCTCTAGATGCTTGTATCTGTTCTCAAATAATGAAATGATTCACCTGGACAAGACTTTGCCAACCATAAAAATCAAACCCACCCAACTTCATTCGATGTAAAATAGGCTAAAAGACATAATTTTAAAAAAGAAATTAGATATGTTCAATCTAACCGTTAAATTTTTCATGTTTTTTAGGCAACGTTGTAAGCTATCAACAATATCAGCACGAGTAGACACTGAAAAGAATTCAACAGCGTCTAAACGCTCCTTTATCTGACTCATATTACGAAGCGGCTTCTGAAACCATTGGTGTAGTAGTCTAGATCCTGGTAATGAGCTACATCTATTCATATGACGCAATAGACTTAGTCCTTCCTTTGTCGCATTCCAAAAACTTGACTTGAGAACCGACGGGTGAACATCTCTCTTGAAAATTTGCAGAGCTCCATAGGAACTCTCATCCAGAGTCATGACATTTTCTCTATAAGCAAAAAAAAGTGATTAAAAGTCAAGGCTGCTTTTAGATTATTACATATCGAAAATTTTATATCCAGTAATAATAAGCGAGTCTTGAGAAGTCTTTAAGTTGTTAATATTCATTGCCTGTAAATATTTAATCAAGCCCCCAATCGCACAAATTACATTTGTACTGTCGTATGGTACAACCGAGGTGAGATAAAGCTTCTTTTCTGCATCAGTTAAGTAGGTTGGCATGGTTAACAGTGGAATGTTTTCGATTCTTGATTTTGCAATATCATAATCTTTTTTGGAAAATAGAATAATATAATTCATATCCAATGTGATATAGAAAACTCACTGTAATCTCTCGATGACTGAATTTCCACGCTGAAACTGCCTAAATCGGTGGCAACTGAAGATAAACAGATAGCTTCTTCATCTGTAGAAAAATGTGAACTTTTTCAATGATTATAGAATATTAACTTCAAATGAACCATAATCGCCATTGCGTCCACTATTAGGGTCAATAATTTTCAGAAGGTTGTTATCACATCTGGAACTGACCACAATGGCTTGAGGTTGAATCGCTTGTATAACTGAAAAATATTAATATATAGCAGATACCATGCTTCATATAAAAAATAAATTATTAATCTGATACAGCTTTATTACAAACTGATTGAATATTGAACCTTTCTGAAATTCCAAGTATTCTCCACTGTCAATAAAATCCAACATCATGAATATTATGCCTGAGTCAATCTCAAAGAAAGAAATTCCTAGTTTGTCCCTTGTTTGATGAACACTAACGACTATATTACTATCTTCTTTTATATTTTTGGATAGCTGGAAATTTTCTAATGTGGTCTCGGACGAATTCGATTTATCAACCGGTAGTGATTCACTTTTATCAGTCAATTGAGCTGACGGTGTTGAATTGAAAACTTTTCCAAAAGATCTTGTAACTGTTTGATTCTCCAGTTGGGTATCGTTGCTTACATTACTCGATCGATCACAAGACAGTAATGCATTCTTTGAAGGAAAGCTAGGGTCTGATGCTATATTTGGAAAATTTGAAACTGAGCTATCTCGAGAATCAGACACTTTTCCCCCATAAAAATCATCAAGGCTCCTAAAAGCCTCTTTATGTTGGCGGGAAGTGTTCTGTATATTATCGTCGTTTTCAAATTCGGCATCTGCATTCACTCTAAATGAAAGAAAAGTTGAAAATTTTTCAGAAAAAAAAATGTTGTTTACCCTTCATCCGACAATAGGTCTACATCAAAATCTTCTTCTTCTGGAATTTCTTCAAATTCTTCACCTGATGCTTCACTAAATCCTCCAAATTCTAATTCAAGCGATGCTTCATCACAAATACTCTCATTGCTTTCTTCACTAAAAAAGTGTGTTGGATATTATATATTTCAAAAATATGAACTTGTTTTTATAGAATAAACTCTACTCTACCGTCTAGTGGGACGTTCTGCCCCAGTGGATGAAGAACTAGGACTTGTAAAACGATTTTTAAATGTTTTCTTCGGAAAATTCATTGTTTAAAAAATGTCACATTTCACCATGCTAAGAGGAAGTACTGTATTCCACTAAATAAAGCAGCCGAAAAAGAACGTTCGAAAAAAGTAAACTAAAAAATGATACGTTTTTCGCAATTAAAGGTTTTATTTAAAAAAACCTTTGAACTATTTTATTTATTTGAGTTTTTTATTTTAAACAAATATGTTTGATAATAAAAAAAAAACAAGCCTAAAAGAAGAAAATTTATAAAGTTGATAAATTTACCGGCAACAGGGAGCATAAATTATACTGTATTAATCAAATTCATACTTATATTCATTATTGCCTATTTTAATATTATATCTATTATATTATGTAAAACTAATAGACTTTTATAAACAATTTAATTATTTTGTGGTAAGAAAATAAAAAAAAATAAGTTTTTTCTTATTTTACGAGAAAATAAATATTTGAATATGCATATGGGAATTCCCCTGGACTTTTATATAAAATATTCTGAGTATAAGAGGCTCCATCACTTCGATAAACTAATTTTGTGGATAAGTGTCGATAAGGAGATGGAAAAGTTTCAAGAAAATACTGATTTGCTTGATATTATTGGGCTTGCTCATCAAGTTCTAAATCCGGTAGAAATAGCTCAACCAAGGTTTGTACTATCCGAAGATGAAACACTTCCGGATTTGGATTTCTCTGAGGTTATAGGAGATAGTATAGAAGAGAGTGAAATGAAGAATTTTTTTAATAGTGTTATTCAAACAAAGGAAACTTGTGACATTAGTTCCCGAAAGTCAGCAATAAAGAATCGAAGACAGTCATCGGCACTACCTGAATCTGAAGAAAAACGTGAAAGGAAGAGAGAAAGGAATAGGATAGCTGCTCGAAGAAGTCGGTATAAAAAACATAAAATGATTGAGAATTTGGAAAGACAAATTCAAGAATTAAAGACAAAAAACACATTATGTAACGATACGTACTTTCAATTAAAAGCTGAATTTCAAGGATTAACTGAAAAGATTAAATTTCATATACAAAAAGGATGTGAACTTTATACCTAGCTCCTTTTACTATTAATAACTAATATAGCCATATTTTTGACAATTGTACTTTTCATTCAGCCAAAATAGAATCTTTTTTTATGTAGTATAGCCATTACGTCTATATTACGGTAATTTATTTATAATATATAGTTAATCCATTTCAATTTACTACATTTTCTAACGTTGGACCTCAAATTTTATGAAATTATTTTTAATTACAGCTACAGTATTGAAAATTCTTTGTCAATACGTTGTGACATTTTTTTAAAGAGTAAACACTGTTAACAACATATTATTATGATTATATAAATACCAAATTCTTTATAAATATACAAATGTATAAATATCAAGAAAACATTTCTTATCTATATAGCTTTTTGTCAATAGAACCTTATCTGCTTTGTATTTTAGGCTGACAGGGAGTTAAGTTTTTTTCCTAATCTGTCCTGATAAGAAAGCCATTATTTATCCGTGATTATTTACCTATATCAAATTGCAATCTTACATCACCAATACCTATTGAACTAAATGTTTGATAAGTGGTCTTTTTTCTAGAGCATCTATTCTAAATAGCTAGATTTTTCCTTATAATAAATTGTTATTTTATCAGCATTACCTTTGTCAGATACAATATTAGGCCTGAATCATGTTTGCGAAAAGTAAATATATCAATATGTAAATATACACAAACATATAAATATATACAATATACAGTAAAAACTTTTAGCTTTTTTCGTTGAAAACAAAATATATAACAGAGTTTTAGACAGATTTGTGAAATTTTATTTTCTCGTAAACGAAACTAAACACTTCATGATGGTAACTGAAAAAAATAAAGAAATGAAACAGTTGCTCTGGTAGAATAGAAGTGAATGAGAATATTTTTTATTATTCATTTGGGTCCTGTTCTCTAGCTTGGTGGGAAATGAAAGACAGTCTTGTTTTTAACGGATTACGTAATCTATTGATTATTTTATCCACTTCATTCTTTACTCCATCGCCGACGTACATATATTTGATATCGTAGAAAAAGTCACTTATTGTGTCCATATAAACTAAATTCTGACCGGCAAATCTATCAACTCTTTCTAGCATTTCGTACAATTCAACAGTAAGCTCAAGAACGCACCGCGTTCTCTCTGCTGCTAGACGATATAGGAAAGGACCTATCAATTTACAAACGAAGAGAAATTGATGTTCATATTTGACAAGTGGTCTTATCTTTTCACGTATAAAGAATGGTATGGATGAAAGCTGACCGATAGAGCCGTGTTGCCAACACGAATGCACTATGGCTAAAACTCTGGAACTCTTCGCATCTCCTCCAACTGGCATTGTCTCGTAAAAATCAAAGGCTGTAAGATCAACTTCAGGAGGTAAAGTCCTTAAGGTATCGGCAACTAGATCATTAAGCACTGAAGAAAATGGTTCAGGTAGTGACATAAGAACCAAACCCACAGCGTTCATACGCTGCATAGCTTCCTCTCTTGAATTATGTAAAGATTTGATTGCAATATCTATTAAGTGATTACCAATGTCCGCTGGTTGCTCTTGAAGAGTCATAAGCTCCACGCAAGTGACATATACACAATGTGCCTTAACATTGACAATTTCATTGAATCTCCAATCGATCTCTGGAAATATAGGTTTACCTTCTAATGTATCTGATAAACGTTTAATTAATCCAGAATAATACGAAGTATTTGGCTTCCATCCGTTACTTGTGTTGAAAATATTCCTCTCAAAATCACTGGTAAATGCCCAGCCTTGGGGCCTTGCGTCCCTAAGTGCTGAATTTATGGTTCCAACCAAAACCCTTTTCATATCCGACCTATGTCTCAATAGGCGTTCGTAATAGAAAAGAGTGTTATATAAAAATGTGATAGGGTGATCATGAAGCTTGTAAATTTTACCAAAATGTTCAAGAATTTTGAAGAAGCACTGTGAAGCTTGTTCAACTTCAATACACCTTTGAATAAGAATATCACAATACGGTATAAATCTCGAACAAACGGATGAATAATACGTAGGAAGATAACTGTTTTGATTATTAGCACTGCCGACAACCCACTTTTCTGGGAAATTTGCATGGAATTTTGTGTGAATTTCATGAGCGGTTTCCATGTGATCTAGCCAATGAGACGCTGGAGTTTCTTTCACCCATTCGTTGATACGGATACGTAATTCGGGAGGTTTAAATAAGAGATGATTTAAAACGTTAAAAGCCACCTGAGGATCGACACCATCGACATGACGAAGAGCTAAACATAATACAAGCTTTTCCAAAGGAAAAGCATAAATTTTCCAAATCATTTCATTAAGAACATCAATGACCTGTTGAACATGACCTGTACTTGAAAATTCCAATACTATATAATCTGCTAATTTTCGAACGTGTTGTGATAAAAGTTTAGGACGTAAATGTTCAAGCATATCTCTAGCCTGTTGTGTTAAACCTCCAGTTTCCTATTAAAAAAAAACAATAGTTAAATCATTTAATAAAAGTATTTTGCATCATTTTGTCATTCAGCAAACCTTCATTAATCTATATAAAACACATAAAAAGTAGGGTTGAGCCGTCTCATCAATCCAGTTTTTCATATCTCCTGGTCCTGATCTCCATCGATTCAATTCCACATCGACAAAATGCATAAGATTCTGAATATTATCGCTCGGTGCGGGCTTACTAGAGAGTAAAAAATCACTAATTGGATGTGGAAAACATTCTAAAGCTTGAGATGACCAGTAGAGAGGAGTTTTCTTTGATATTTGTTTTATAAAATCCTGATTGTTTGAAGATCCTTCAGCTCCGCTCATATGTACTGTTCTTGCTAAACTAGAAATAATAACCCTATTCATTTCCTCATTATCGGTGGGATCAATTTTATGAAAAAAGTTTTCATTGAGCTTCAGTATTAAACGCAGACACGCACTTTCTATTGACGTCTGTAGTTAATTAAAAATATTTTAAATTCTGTTTTCATTTAACTGATTTAACGAACCTGTAATTGCGAGTGAAGAAGGCCAGAATTAAGCAAGTTTAAAAGACTAATTAATAAACTGGCCACGTAATGTCCTTGTATAAAATGAAGTCGATTAGATATTAGATCGACGAAGATATGAAGAGTTTCATAGGCTCCTTTATTGACAAAGTGGTGGAACACTTGCTGCACAAAAGATTTTATTCCAAAAGATTCAATGTCATTGTAACTGAGGAGTCGAGCGTAAGTTTCAACCAAAGCAGGTGATAACCGATTTCCTTTAAGTATTCTATTTTTAACAAGCATATGAATAAAGCTCATTTTTGTGTGAACCGTCCAAGAATCCATCATTTCAATTGACAACGGTTTAATAGCTTTTGGTACTTCAACATCACCAGCTAATTTTACTTTCATTTCATGTGATCCTGATATTTCTTCTAGGAAGATGGTAAGAAGAGGGGTAAGATTTTCAGTTTGAGTACTATAAGCGTTGGCAATTAACACTAAACGATAGCTGACTTTCAGGAATTTGTGTTGTTTGGCCAAGTCTTCTAAGAATATATACTGCCTCGACAAAACGGCCGGTATTTTACGATTAATATTCGTTTTGTCACTTGCAGCTTTTAACATAACATGTGTCCAAATGGAGACTGCTGCAAAATTTTTTATGCAAGTTGAATCATCGATGCTAGGTGTTTCTAATTCTTCGTCATCTTTATAGCAAACGTCTATCACTTTCAAAACGGGTAAAAAGTCAGTTGCTGAATGTTTCGATATACTTCCAGATAAGAATTGTAGTAGGAGCCACATAAGATGATTTCTACCCCTTCTAATTGCAGTTCTCATTTCGTCTACGTTTATTTTTTGAAGTCGACTAAGCAGATTATTTATCTATTTAAAATTTATATGAAACCATTGTTATATGATAAGTTCAATAAAAAATTTAATTATAATTGGCAATTACTGTTCGATTACACTTTTAGAAAAAGAAACAAATATGATATAATAAACTCACCATATCAGGAAAGTTAACGAAATGGTACATCACTAGAAATACCAGGGTAGAGCTTATACGTTGCATCATTCTTTCGATATCTTTGACATTTGTATATTTTAAAAGTGCTTCCATTGCCATATCGACTAATTCGTTCTCCAAATTTATACACCTCATTAATTTTGAACCTGTCTTACTCCCTGATAAATTGAGCATATTCATTATATACACGTTACACCCTGCCTGCTCTAAGACATATCTGACTAAGCCATTTTGAGTCTGATTTAGTTCTTTATCCCATGGTAATGGGCCTGTCAACACTAATTTTAGAGCCCCAGTTGCGTGTAATTTCCATCCATAGCATTGCTGATTGGTAATTCCGACAATGGGTTTCAAACAATTACGACCTGATATTGTTAATAATTTTGCAGCCGGTCGGAAACTTTGCATGTAATCGGCTAACAACTGACCAAGTCGCCAATGGGGCCAAGGTTTTTCTTCACTATGATATCTCGAGGATATTTCATTTACAGCCAAAAATCCAGGTAACAAACAGTTATTTCTGTTGATAATATATTCAATCAAACAAAAGACTGCATCGATACAAGGCGAATGTGATAGACTAGACCCGGTCGGCAGCAGTCTAATACTTATTAAAGTAAATTTTAAAAGATCCCGAACTCCCTATGTAAAAAAGAAAAGTTAACAATATAAAGCCAGTAAACTACCTATTATTTAACCTTATAGTCAACAAAGGTGATTATACGGCGAATCAGACTAAAAGCGTCCACCCATATTTTTGGTCGGTCAACTGTCAATAATTTTGAGTTCAAAATTGCTTCGCATACATGACGTGCTCCAAGTCGAGATAATGAACGATTGTCTCGCATTGCCGCTTCCAAACATCTGAATACCACTGATGACCTGACACATCTTCTTCTCTCAAGGGCTGCTTTAACCAGTAAATTTATACAGGCGATGAAATTGTCTTGCTGTATGTTAAAAAAAATTCCATTATGGTAAACTGAAACCACAAATCTATTAAAGGCAGTAGATATATCACTGAAAAATTGTGGTTATAGATAATTCTTCAAATCATTAAATCTCGGTATTATCTCTCTATGGCATATATACGTAGATTACATAATAAGTTTAACAGCTTTAGCTGATGCTAAATATTACGAGATTTGAAAGACTCTTGGTGAATCATTTTCTGTTATTTCAGTGAATGGTTAAATATTTTTATCCTTATTGATATTAAAATTTCTTACCTCGTTTACGACACTGAGAAGTAAGTTTTTTATCACCTCCTCCTTCCATACATCGTTTTGTGAATTAGATTCTTTGAGAGATGTTAAAACCGCATTATCGCGCGCCTAAGTGAAATATTGATATTATCGCTCAAAGTTGATCGAAAAGAGATAGATTGACAAATCTTACAAAAATTGAGAACAGGGCCTGGTCCACCTTCATTTCTATTTCTTTTTGGATATCGTCTTGTGACGATTGCGTCATCCTTCACTGAGATAAATGATTAAGTATGTCTTAATTACAGAGTAAAATACAAATCCGATATACCAGTTTTCAAATCTAAGTGGACACCGCAAAAAAAGCGAACGCCTACACTTTTATAAATGTGAATGCAAATGCGTTGTTATGCGTTTATCTTTAATTTTCAATAAATCCTTATTACAATAATATCCTGCAAATCCAAATCTCTTTAACTTTTATTTACATAACTATGGTACAAAAACATACTAAAACTATAATATAAGAGGCACATAAGAAACGAAATGGTCTTTACACAAAGTCGGTTGAATCTTCATCGCCCCAATAAAAATAATGACATTTTGCGCTAGAATAATCACTTGCTATGAGTTTACATTATTAAAAAAACCACAAAAATCGTACAAAAATTTGATACTATAGGCAACATTGATACAGACTTAACGTCAATCCCTCATTCAACCACTACCAAAAACTGCGCTAGCATTCTGTTTTTCGTTTTCCTCGAAATGCATAAACGGAATGAAGCTGTTTGAAAAGAACTTACACACACTTCAATATTAACATATGTGGGTAGTTTCGCTAAAATAATAGTGTACAGCCCACCAAAGCGAGCCGAACACGAAAAATTTTTTTTTCTTAATGTTTTTTTTTTATTTCAATCATACCACCGACAAACTTTTGATCCCCAATAAATAACGAAGGAGGAAATTTCATAAACCAAAAAGTTACAGGATGACCGTCTATTGGGCCTCAACTACGGGCAAATTAGCCTGAAAATTGATAATAATACAATTAATATTATACAATTTTTAGCAATGTGGATATTTCCAAACTATTATGCACTATGAAAGAAAAGCTTAATTTCAGATAACCTACTTGAGAACCGCTAGATATCCGTTCAGAGTTCGAAACGTCCGGATAATTTGAGTCACGAGAATCTGATTGGGTGGATTTTCCCAAAACCTAACAACAAATATGGATGTTTAATTTTACAAAATGGTAAGCGTTTGCTGTGGCAAATATTCAGACTCGGTGACAACTGAACCATTTTTCTTTGCTCTAAAAAAACTATTATGATTATTAATACGTACTGTAATGGGCGAATCGTTGGCTGAACGTCCGCTGCCAGAGTTCTAAAATAAGTAAATTTCTTTAAAGTTAATATTACCAGCACAACACTTTAAATACCTTAAAATCAACAATGTGTGAATTGTCGGAGGATTGACTATCTGACAATCTGGCACGTTTGGGAGGTACCGACGAATCACTCGAGTTTTTATTGGTCTGTGAGAAAGCAGATTTGTTATATTTCAAGACCTTTTCAAATTTACCACCACCTAAAGTGTTAATACCTTAAAATCAATTGAATTTGAATTGTCGGAGGATACACTATCAGATGTTCTTGGTCGTTTACGAGTTTCCGACGACTCATTCAAATTCTTGTTAGTCTGAAAGCAGTTCAGTTAGTTAGCTTGAAGTTTTTGAAGAGATTTTTGTAAGTGGCCGTTGCTACCTTCAACTCAACTGAGCTTAAATTGTCCGATGACGGACTATCTGAAATTCTCTGTCGTTTAGCCGTAAGTGCTAACGACTCATTTAGATTTTTAATTGTCTGTGAGAAAGCAGATTTGTTAGTTGGAAAGAAAAGGTTTAATGCTGGTGTACTGTTTTGCGACTATTTGTCCAGTAACTGATCATTGTCATAAATATATTTTGATAAATTACAGGTATTAAAGGTAAAAGTTAAATTGACTGCAAGTGGTTGGTTCCTAAATGATAAAATTCACCAAAAAATTATTAAACGGAGGAAGCGAGTTTTAGAGGGGAAAGATAGGCTTTGTTAGGGAGGATCGTCTCACTATTTTAAAAATCAGATCACTCGCTAATCCGTGCTTTTTCGATGATATATGCCGCGTCGCGCGTTTGAGGGACGAAAACGCGCATAGAGCGAACAATCACCGGACGAATAGCCGCCTCTTTTTTTCTCTCTTATCACCTAGATGTAAATTAATTTCCACCCAAAGGCAAATTATTTCTAATTTTCTTACCTCATTATGGCCGTTAACATCAGGGGAGTTACCTCCAGTGTCATTATTTGGCGACATCGACAACGAGTTTCGTTTAACGAAGCTTTTCTTCTTCAATCCTACTCTATTGTATACATCTTGAGGTAAATAATTCTTAAGTTCCTTCTTTCTAACATGTAAAACATCCAATACCATATCATCTTTGTACAGTTGAATGTTAACAGCTTTGTGATAAACATCTGAAGTAAAATGGCGAATTTGATCTGTTAAATTTATATTGACATTATCGGTTCTGCCAAATTCCAAACCGATAAACCATTTGGTTTGCTCGTCATCTTCAGACTTTGAGCAAAATGATTCAGTTGATACGTGAGCTAGAATTATATGATCAATAGATTCCAAATTCGCAACTAAGAATCGAATTTTTGATTCAACCAAACCATTCCATTCTAGTTGATGGTCTGCAGTCGCAGCTTTGGCTATGACTACAATGTAATGCTTATAGCGTGTAAAAAAATCTGATGGTTTAAAGAGCGACTCCCAGTCGTCTTTTCCAGCAAATATAGCATTTGTTACCTCCAATCCTCTCTTAAATTCCATTGTCATGATATTCCTAGTTGAATTGGTAACGTTAAAAGTGGAATTTTGCTGCGGATAGGCAGGTGTGATTATTGGCATTAAATGAAATCGATCTTTGTGATTCACACGCGGATCCCACTCAGGAAAGCTTAAGCCCTGTTTTGCTGCTTCATCACTATCTGGATGTTTTAGCAGCACAGGCTGAGGCCACTTCCACTGATCATAGACTAGAAAAAATTTATTGACGATTGTAGCGGCGGCGGCGTTTGGATAGAGTTGGCAAACCCTAGCAACCAACATAGCCCAAGACACCCCACCAAGGAATCCAAGAACATTACTATAGATACCCTTTTTCTTCGCCCACAATTTAATAGCTCTCAAAGCTAGCCTGAAGCTTTCCTGCTGTGGTACAAGCTTGATAATTTCATCGGTCACCCGGCAACCGTTCAAGCTTCGAACACTTTTCTCATCCAGATTCTTTAATAGTGACAACTCGCACAAGTCCTGCTCCTTTGTAATGGCTTGAAGAGCCAATCTTGCAAAGAGCATATCCAATTCGATGCCATCGAAAGTCATCTTTATAACGGGAACATAGGCGTCCGGAACGGCACGCAACTCTTTAACTTCTGACAGCTTTTTAAGTTTCTCGTAAAAAGTCGTAAAAAATTCGTTTCTGTCAATGTGACGAGGTGCCACACACAAGGTATCAATATCAGCACCTTTTTGGTTGACACCCAGTCGGTACGAGCCGAAAGTATAAATTTGGCCACCAACCTGCTCTATCATATGTTCATCCATATTCTAAAGAAAAGTCGCAATTAAATAACTTAAAATCTAAAAGAAAATGAGAAAACATATTTTCAGGAGTATAAAGAAAAATATGAATATGTTCATTGCGGTTATTAAATGTCATTGTGATCTATAATTACGAATGTGACTTTTCCAACACAGTTGAGTGTAGAGAAATCCTATTTGGCTAGTTTGAATCAATGACTTAAAAAAATTCCCTTAACTGAACAGAATTTTAGTAAAATTAAACATAAAATACATTGAAACATGTTTTCGTTTAGGAATCATACCGCGGTTGCCCGTTTACATTTGACATAGTAAACATATACGAATGTACAAAGTTATTATTCCTAATGGCTTTTTTTTTTACACTTTAAAATAAGAAACAATTTTTGTACTATTTATTTCAATAACAAAAAACTGACTCCAACATTCTTCTTTACTACTCCCTCCAATATCAAAATTTGTGATTATTGCCATGATAGCAATAACTTGTCCTTATTTCCTACCTTACTCTGTGATACTTCATAAATCCATTCTTTTACTAGCTTATTTATTTTGTCCAGTACGTTAATTCTAGAAGGGATAAAATAATATAATAGAAATTAATTGAAATTAGCTAATATAAGTTGTTTCATTTATGTTAAGAAAACAAACCGTTTTTGACTTTCGTCTTCCGATTCAAATACACCATGAGGATGTAGTGCTAATTCAAGTGATTCTGTCAATCGAGAGTCTTCTTTTGTCGGCTCGGACGTGCTGACCGGCGAAGTCAAACCCAGATATTTTTGAGTTTGTTCACTCGTCTCTGTCGTCATTTTTCGCCGTAGTTTTTACTTCAGGAGGAAATTGCAGCTGATCACACTGACGAAATAGCTGCGAAATTATAAACAAGCTATAAAATGTGACATAAAATGAATTATAAAATATATATTGTACCCTATTGAAACGTTTCTTGTCTTAAAGACCTCCGTGCATTATTTCTAGAACGCAGGCGCTCAATTAGCCTATTATTTTTGATAGTTATTTAGTAGTAAAACATATTACTGATTCTTCTCAGAAACTGTCCAACACAAAACATGGCGGTTTTTTTATTTCCTGTTCCGTTGTTTACTATGAAAACTGGTAACGCATTTCAAATATCAGCTTTCCATTGCAACAGAATAGTATGATTTAGGTTATTTTTTATGTAAATTATAAATGTTAACTACGTGGAAAGTATATTGAACTCTGTTGACGTACTAAATTATCCTACTTGTAATCTATATTTGGATTGAAAGGTTAAGTAAGAATAAGTCTTTAATCGGGTATAATAAACATTTATTTATAGTCAAAAGCAGCTTCATATAATTTGGATAACTTATCCGTATCCAATTTTAAAACAATCTTTGCGTTGTAGTTGAGAGAATCATCATTTTTCAAATCAACTGACATTTGTCCTCTAGTTAAGCTTTCACTTGTATTAACATCACAATTTTTCAGGGTTGTTTCGCTGGCTACATCATTATCGATAGCTACAGCCATAGCTATAGGATCACAAGCATAATAGTTGGGCATATTCTGTTAAAATGAATATCCTAATTACTACAATAATACTTTGTGATTAAAAAAAAACACATACTCTTTTTCCGACAAGAGCCGATTTATAAATTCTATTGTGAAATTGGCACTTTTTACTATTTCCAGTAGTAATACGATCATACCACTCCTTCGATTAAATATTATAAGAAAAAACAAATAATTTAATAGAATATAATAAAATTATACATTATAACCCACCAACCCAAGATAATGGACACTCAGAGCATGGTTCCCAACAAATCATCGTAATAGGACACTTGTATTCTTTAAGAACAATTTTTGCAGATTCTGGATCGCTATAAAAATTGAATTCTGCTGCCCTAGATACGTTACCAACTCCTAAGAGAAAGCGTATGATGTTTAAAGTTGATTTTAATTTTTTGTTGCAAAATACCTGTTAAATTACCACCCATAATGTACAACTCTTTGATTCGTTTCGCAAACTCATCATCTATTCTCAACGCTACAGCCAAGTTAGTTAAAGGAGCCAAAGCAACAACTACTAGTTCATCTTTTTTGATAAAAAAAAGAATTGGTTAAATAATAAGGTTAATTTTAATCTTATATATAGTTTTACCTTGGTACATTTGTGACAATCTTATCAAAGCGTCAACAGCTGACTCTTTTTTTATCAAGGAAAGATCAACATCACCTTCAGGATCAGGACTATTTCCTAAGCCATCCCTACCGTGAAAGTAAGTTCCATCTCTTGTTCCTTTTCGATAACCAATGAGGGGTTTGGAACATCCTTTATAAACTGGAATATCTAATCTATCGCAAGCCCTTAGAACTCTCAGAGTATTGATCAATACTTGGTTTACCTTTGTGAACAATATACTAAATTTAGATTATTTCATATAAATTGATGTGGGCTATCTTAAACGTCAATTACCTGACAATTCCCTGATACACACGTAATACCAACAATCTCTATTGCTGGAGAAGATATTGCCATACAAAGAGCATCTGCGTCATCGATTCCGCAATCGACATCAATAACAAACTTTTTCTTCTCTCCCATTTTAACTCTCCTAAGCTATTATTTTTATTAAACGTCTTGAAGAAATATAACGTTTTTATTCAAAGGAGAAATTGCTATAGAGGTTATCTACTCTATAAAGTTGTTATTATTACATTTCGAATTTAGCGATCGTAGCGGTAAAATCGTTTTGTAAACTTTCTAATATATTTAAAAATAATCTTTAAAACAAGAATGCAACTAATGGAACAATACCAATTCAGAAATGAACAACTATCATAAATCATCCTATAAACTTATACAGTGTATATTTTAATTGAAATAATAAAAGAATAATAAGAGATTAGAGATAATTTTTTGTTACGTAATAAAAAAATCTAATTTTTTCTAATACGAGTAGAATATTTCGCTAATTATTTATAATTATTAATAATTTTATATTAAATTAATTTTTTTAGTAAATATGGATTTTTCATTTTAAAATTAGTAAATTTGCGCCAAAGTTACATTTTAAGTCGTCTATTTCACTGCCTATCTTGAAGAGCAGTCATGGCCGAGTGGTTAAGGCGTTGGACTTGAATCTTTCTATGCTAGTAATCCAATGGGCTATGCCCGCGCAGGTTCGAATCCTGCTGGCTGCGAAAAATTTTTTTCAAATTTACGAGACCGTTATACCTATACAAGTATTCTATAAAGGGTTGCTTCTAGTGTAGTAGTGACATCTTGTGGCAAAAAATTAAACCTATTTTCCTTTGAAGCACACATACAATTGCAGTACATCTGTGCTGAACCATATAATCAACAACGATCAAGATAGATTGCCTCGTGTTAGAAAGAATATAACTGATTTTTACACGAAATGAAAGCATTTCTCCCTTGATAAAAAAAAATTCATAAAATAAACTAAATTAACGACTTCGGTAAAAAAAAAACACAAATTCAATAACGTTTGCTAGTTACAGCTTCTGCAAAAAAAAAATACCCTTTTATCATCTCTTATTTAGAGTGCAACAATTTAAGATTTGTCAAATAGTAAATAAATTAAAGGGACTTTCAGCATCTAAAGAGATAAGATAGAATATAATGTATTGTAGTTAATGTCTACAAAAATATAATTTGTGATTAGCAAAGTCCAACCTATCAGTACACTTCTCTTAGATGGACAACCATTTTATAAATATCAAAAGAATACTTTTTAGATATAAAAAATAAAAAAGCTAGCAGGTCCCACCGAGATTCGAACTCGGATCGCTGGATTCAGAGTCCAGAGTGCTGACCGTTACACCATGGGACCTTCTTAAACACATTGCTTGAAATTACTGTATTTCTATTCTCATTTTGAGGTTTCTCTATAAATAGGAAAACCCTTATATAATAAATTAAATTTCATTATAAAATCTTGCTCTTTAATCAAAGTACTAATTACAGAAATTTTATCTTACAAGGTTTGTATTTTAGACATTACTATAATTGTTTTTTGATGATAAACCTTCGAGAAAAGCCAAATTTACTGCTTCGACCGTTTATTTATTAGCTCCATCAATTTGATTATGTAAATGAGGTTCTTTTTTTTCATAAATTAATTTGAAATACTGTGAATAATATATAGAGCTAATTTGGAACAAATTATACTATATATAGATGTGTTTTGCTTGTATATACTACCGATGCAGTCGTGGCCGAGTGGTTAAGGCGATGGACTAGAAATCCATTGGGCTCTGCCCGCACAGGTTCGAATCCTGTCGACTGCGTATTTTTTTTCCTTTTTTTCTTTTGGAAATTTATCTTCTTCTATCAGTTCCTTATAGTACGTCTTAACAAACCAGTTTTATTACCATATCAATGCAGTCGTGGCCGAGTGGTTAAGGCGATGGACTTGAATCTTTCAGTCTAAAGGTTATCCATTGGGCTCTGCCCGCACAGGTTCGAATCCTGTCGGCTGCGTAATTTTTTTACCCTTTTATGAGAGTTTTCTGAGGGAATCTTATTTATCCAATGATATAAACCTATATTGCGTATCAGTGCAGTCGTGGCCGAGTGGTTAAGGCGATGGACTCGAAATCCATTGGGCTCTGCCCGCACAGGTTCGAATCCTGTCGACTGCGTTATTTTTAACTAGTCTTTTATTTTCATTTTTTTTCTGCCATTTTTTTGAGGAACGTTACCGAATGTAGTCAATAATTTAAAGTTATGGTTAAAGAAAATAATTGTCAATATTAACTAAGCAGTCGTGGCCGAGTGGTTAAGGCGATGGACTTGAATCTACCCCGATTTAATTAGAGTTATCCATTGGGCTCTGCCCGCACAGGTTCGAATCCTGTCGGCTGCGTATTTTTTTTATCTTGTCATTTATGTAGTACATATAAAAAAAACTCCTGAAAACTATAGGGTGCAAATGCAGTTGTGGCCGAGTGGTTAAGGCGATGGACTTGAAATCCATTGGGCTCTGCCCGCACAGGTTCGAATCCTGTCAGCTGCGTAAAATCATGTTTTTTTTGTTTATTATTCAAACTTATTAACCAGAGATTATTTCAATTGAAAAAATTATAAACAATAGATTTGATAACGTTATTAATGCAGTTATGACCGAGTATTTAAGGCTATGAACTAGATATCCATTGGGCTCTGGTAGCACAAGTTCAAATTCTGTCGGCTGCTTGTAACTTGTAAAACATTTTTTTTTGATAATTAATGAATTACGACGACATTTATCGAAAATTGAACCCAACCTATCATATCAGCAGTCGTGGCCGAGTGGTTAAGGCGATGGACTTGAATCTTTCGATCTAAAAGTTATCCATTGGGCTCTGCCCGCACAGGTTCGAATCCTGTCGGCTGCGTAATTTTTTTTTTATTTTCATTTATTGATTTTACTAAATATATTTATTCCAAATTTACGTGTCCAAGTGACCTAATTAAGTTAATTATTAATAAAGAAAAAAGAAAGATTGTAAATTGACTGACAGAGTTTGGCTGGCTTAAAGAAAAGATAAAGTAAAAACTTGAATAAATATTTAAATAAATTATCTTTTATTTATCAAGATGAAGCACTAACCTTAACAATTCGTATGGAAAATTATGTCATTTTAAAGGATTACGAGAAGTAGGGTGTTTAAAGAAATTTATAAATAAATTATAATGGAAAAAAAAGTAAATTTACAAATGGACTTGTAGATATTTGTATAAGCTTCGGAAGAGTGTGTATATTGCATATAAAAGAGTGCTCTCTCTCCCTCTCTTTCTCTCTGCTAAAGATAATGATTATACAAAGTCATTTATAACGAATAACATTCAAAAATTCTGTACGGAACTTTATTATATTTCAATATTCTATGTAAAACAATAGAGCGTTGGTGTATAAATGTATATATGTTATAATTGAATAATAATAACAAAACAGGCGGTTCGTTTTAAAACAAAAGCAATAAAACATGTTCACTTCAATAGTTTATAAAATAAATGATTGTTAAATATATATATCTATTTGTATGTATGCAACATTCTAGTTGGACCTATTATATACAAATTATATATTTCATACTCAATTTAGTGTTTTATTCAAAAAACATTTTGAGCCTATGCAAAAAAAAAACAAAAAAAGAAATAGAAAATCAAAGTAAAAAGTTCAACTTCTAGTTGATATATTTTATATATAATGTATAGATTTAGTTTTCTATATCGGTTAATAAATTTTTTTTGAGTGTTTTATATATAAAAAAAGAAATATTCAATTTTAAGTGATCACCTTTCTGTTTTTTCTTCATTCTTTTCAAGATAAAATCTAACTTTAGATAAATTAATCATCATCATTGTGATTGTCATCATTACCATCATCATTATTATCATCATATAAATAGGCTAACATGAAAATGGCACAAATAACAGTTCATCCTAACAGAAAAGTATTAAAAAGGTATTGCATGTGAATAAATCATAAAAAAATCTAAGTAGTGAATAGAAGTTTATCTATACAATTATAGTCAAATATATAACTGTATATCTAGGATAAAATAGAAGCACCTTCTTTAAATTAAATTAACATAGTAACGAAAGTATCCAAAATGAATTGATGGCAGGTGTCAACATTAAAAGAAAAACAAAAAAACAAAAACAGGAACAAAATACAAAAAAAAAAAAGTATTGAAGAAGGGTTTAAAAGATTGTAAACTATGCAACATAATGAAAATTATATAGATATCTTGTATATATACATATTTATATATACTGTATATATTAGGTTTTTGTAATATTTTACTTCTTTTCCTGTCATAATTCTCAATATAATTTTAATCATACAGTGTTCTTTTTCTTCTTCTTCTTCTACTACTACTCCTTCTGCTCACTTTTCCATAATTATAATAGTGAAGTATTTAAAAAATGATTTTTTTTAATTATAAACATAGAAACAATATTAAAAAAGAATGAAAATTAATAATAGTAATAATAATCAAAATATAATAACTTTATCTTTTAATTTCTTTTCTTTTGTTCAAAATTTTTGTTTAGTTTTGTTTGTTTAAAAAGAAAAAAAATGTAATTATTTTTCTATTCTCTTTTTCTTCTTCTAAGGTTTTTTAGTATTTTGTTTTTTATAAAAAATAATGAAAATTCGTTTCTCTTAACTTTCATGCAAAAAAAAAAAAAAAGAATAAAGTATTTGCTGTAAATATTTGATAAACTATTTGACATATAAATAAGAGGGGAAAAAATAACTGTCATTTAAGTAAATTGATACATAGCAGACTACCATTGTTGAGAATCCTATGTTATTGCACTGCTGAAACGGAAAAGTTATTGGAAAAAAAATAAAATGTGCAGTTAATCAAATATTTTTCGGAGAAATTCCTACTGATAACCTTCGGGTATCGATGGTTCAACAGCATCGCTAGCGTATTTTCCGCTTGAAACCCGATTCACCATCTTAGCCAACTTAAAATCTTCTCCTTGAATGTTTATACTACTTCCAGATACACTGGCTCCATCACAATGAAACTGTAGGGCAGTGCGACACTTACAAACTTCGTTATTCTCGTATAGATTATCTTCTACTTTTATTTTTGCTTCAACAAAACACTTTTCGTTATACTCTAAATTCCAAACAACTTTTGCATTATCGGTTGTCATGTAGGCTGGCTTTGATTCGACTCCGACAATTTGAGAGCCGCTTATACATAAAGCCAATCTGAGCTTTACGTCACCTGAACATTTTAACGCATTTGAAACGTTTGAAGTAACTTCGATTACTACATCAACATAACCGTCTGCTTTGTTGAATACCGATCTGATTAGAAAAGGAGCTCTCATACTTTCGACTTCGTATTTTAACACATCGATATTTATATAATTTACATTATTTTCAACCAATTTGCCTTTTACATAATTACACAATGCAGACATTTTAAATGAATAGGTCTTCTCTTTGAATAAATCGATGCTGATCAAATTATTATCTACATCGATCTTCTGAACACTAGTAGCATTCTGCAGGTTAAATATTAGAGGATGTGAATCCGATATTAATTTTTCGGCTACTGATCGAGGTAAGCAAACTGTTATTTGGCCATCTATTCGAATTTTTGAAGGTTGATAGCAATCTGCATCGAAAAGTGCGTTCACTGTTTCCGTAATTGCAAATGCTACTGGAATTTGTAAATGAGGTGATGATGAAATAGAGGTCATTTTTCTATGACCCCATTCGTCCGATTGATTTTGCGAGTCAAATATATTAGGTGTTGGAGTCATTCTATCCGGTCGCCTGGAGGGTGGAGGAGCTAAATTTTTCAATTGAACGACACTTCTTTTCAGGTCTTCCATAGACGTCACACTCTCTGTTCCACCGGATCCATTAATATTTGCTGGTTTTATTTCAACTTTAAATGGCTTTTTAGAAGTTTTCGTTTCTTCTTCGTCCGATTCTTCACCAGAACTCCACCAAGAATTTAAATCTTCTTTCTTCTCCTCTCCCTCATCTGGGCGAACAGTGAAGCCTTCTTCATCAACCTATTTTCGAAATAGAGTACTCAAATTAAAAGCTATTTTCGTCGAAAGGTTAATCAATACAAAACCTGAGTTTGCGCTAGGGAATTATTATCTTTCTCCTCAGCTTTCTTTTTCCTTCTACGTCCAAAAGCAGGAACTAAATCTAGGAATGTTGTACTCTTTGGTCTTTCTGGCCTATCGGATTCAGTCGAAGATTCCATAGCAGAGATGCCACTTAAATCGGGCTGTTCAAATGTCACGTCTGACGGACGATCCGTACCGGTTTTTTTTGTAGTTACAAACATATCAAGCAAAGCTTCAATAGATAAGCTGGAGCATTTGTCATCGAATTCGTCGTGAGTCTATCCGAAATAAATATTAAAAAGTAAATCTAAATACGCTTTAAACAATAAATTAAAATAAACAACTAAAGAATAAACGATAAAAGAACAATCCCATCAAAGAGAGTATTTAATAACACAATTCGATTTTGATAAAAAAAAAACCAAACAAAACAAATTAAAAATCCTTTTTTTTAGATAATTGCTAATTATTTAACTAATTGCAATACCCACAAACCATGTATATTTCATTACAATGGTATATTAATGCTTATAAATAGATATTTCTCTTATTGCAAAACAAGGTTATACTAAAAATCAGAATGTTGAAAGAGAGAAATGAATATTCTAACCTTTTTAAGCTTATCGTAGTGCCTGCTCCAACCTTCGGAATATTTCTGTAGGAATTCACCCATACTTTTTAGATGAGTTTCTTCTAATTGTTGGAATCTATTTGCAGATTCTTCCATATTTCTTTCAAACTCTTTTTTAACCGTTGAAAATTTTTCAACTAAAATTGTATATTCGTCCATACACTTCTTGTGCTTGGCTTCTGCCTTCTCAAGGTCGTTTGGTTTTGTTTGTGAATTAACTTTTAATTTTTCTAATTCTAATGTTCTGGCATGATATTGTTCTTTAGCTTTTTGCAGTGAATTTGTTATTTGTTGCAATGCGTTCACGGAATCCGAAGTTTTTGACTCTTGATCCTTAACTTGTTTGTGCTTTTTGTGTAAATCATCTATAAAAAAAATGTAGCCTTAATAATTTATAAAATATTATAGATTTTAATATTTCATTACCAGCGTATTTGTGAACATCTTTGATTATTTCTTGCCAACCGGAAGCTAACTCTTGATGAAGCCGTGCTACACTCTCTATATAGTCTTTGATATGAACCCAATACGGTTGAAAAGTTCCAGTATTGAAATTAACAGCAATTTTACAAACAAGCTGGTTTAGGCGTTTCTTGTAGGATTCTTCTGCTGTACAACTGAAAATAATAGTAATAATAATTCCATATAACGCAATAGATAAGCAAAGTATTGTTCTTTAACGATATACATTAAAATTATCTTTAGAATAAATCATAAAAATGATAAAATGAAGGATAAAACATTTTCTCTAACTGTCTATCCTTTTATTATACTAATATAATGTAAATTGTATAGTAAATGTTAGAAGAATATTGTTAACAAGTATAGTTTAATATTTGGCTACGATAGCTAAATACAATAAGTATATTTAGTATTAATTCAAATAGCTGAAAGGCAATCAAAATATCTATAAGCCAGTGTTTTAACAACAAATATAATTTATAAAAATATGAATAGTTTACTATCAATCGTTTTAGTAGTGGGCGTTTATTCTAATGAAAGAATAGTAAAAAAAACATAAATAGCGATAGTTTCAAGTGAATTGAATGAATACACTTTCTACTAATCTATTTTTATAAGCAAAATCAATTAATTCACTTATGATAGGTAAGAGAGAGAGAAAAACAGAGAGAGGGGAAAGGAAGGCAGAAAGGGATGACAGACGGACAGAGAAGGGAGGGGGAAGTTAATAAAGAGCCAACATAATTTAATAAGTTGAAAAAAAAATTTTCTATTCATCTTAACTTCCTCTTATCTATATCTAAATTCTCCAATAGTAATTTTAAACACTTTTCCTGTTTGTGTAGGCGAAAGGACTTTCATTGTATGAACAATTCATAAAATGTCCATATTGAATACAAAAGATATTTAATTAAGTATCATTGGGCGAAATTGGCGAAAATGTAAATATTCTCCAATAAAAATGTTAAAGAAAAGGGAGAAATGATATAAAATGGATAAAGATCCTATATACTGGATATTAAATATTGAAAAATAATGAATAATGGTTTTTCTCATTTTTCGATTCGACAATTATTAGACTTAATCATCATACATTCTTTAGATAGACATTTAAATTTATGGAATATTCTTAAAAAAACTAACAGTTTTATTCCATTCGAAATACCTGATTTTTCACAGTTTAGAATTTCACTTTTCACAATACAACTATTTTAAAACGGTAAACTAAACTTACCTTTCCTTGAGAAAATCCTCAAATTCTTTGCACGCTGTGTGTCCATGTTTCATGTTTGAATATAAAATATTAAATCCATTATGCTTTTGCCCCTGTTGGAATATCACAGATTTTGTTTAGTCTTATCAGTGAAAAAAAATTATAAACGTTTAAATGCACGTTAAATAATATTGTATTTCTATTAAACAGTCTAACCCAAAAATTTTCCTTAAATTGAACCATATTTCGATTGATTTATCTGTTAACAATCATCAGAAAAACAACAATAATCCAAAAATTAATGCCAAACAGCAGAAAATGGGCGACTAACGAGTTTGAGATAATCAATATGATAGCATCTGTATTAAAACTCATATACAATTTACCATTGTGAGTCTCAAACGCGGAATATCCTCATCTAGGATTTACCTATGACGTAAAAAATTAGGCTGGGACCGAATTCCGAAGACGATGTGTAAACAATTATTTGCCGCTAAAAATCGAGCGGACTATGTGTTCTGATAACAAGGACATATAGAAACATAAAATTTTATTTGAATTATTTTTTGATATGTAAAAGACAGGGCAGAGTATCAATTCACAAGGAGCTTAAAAGCCAGTTTTATCCTATTATGGTAGATTCGCTTTCCCTATCTTGATCTCGCTCATTATCGTAAAATTCTCCCCCGTGTTCTGCTCTTTTTTCATCATCTAAAAGATTTCTAGAATCAGGATCTTGTTCTCCTCTTTCGTCTATTTGATAAAAATCCGGTGGAACGTCTTGCATTTGAACACTTGGTGCATGTTGAAGCATTTTAAGATTTTCGAATACAGTCTGTTTTATGCTCTCTAAGTATTGTTTATTATTCATATTTTCTTGTTTTGAGGCAATATCAAGGTGGAGAATAAAATCTGGTGCAAAATATTCCGCATATTCTGAATAAAAATAATAGCAGTAATAATAAAGAAAAAATTCGTAAAACAACAATCTGGTATATATATATATATATATATATATATACTGTATAGTATATATAAATCTAATGTTCTTCATACCATTATATGGAATATCATTTTCTAGTTCTTCATCTAACAATACCGATGTTTCATAAGCCCAACATCTGGCAACATTTCTTGGTGTATATCCACCACCTCCTAAAACCATAAGAGGGATATTTTTATCCCGAATAAATTTGACACATTCTCTATAAATAAAAAGAAATATTTCAGTTAGATGATTGTTTATATTCTGGTTTCTATGTATATAGAATATCTATATATATATATATATACTGTATATACGTAATTAACATTAACTAACCCGTGACCTCTAACGCTTAGATTAAAACAACCTAATCGATCGCTGCCCAAACTGTCTGCTCCGCACTGAAAAAATATTGTTTTTTATTTTTATGAAATATTAAAATATTTTTATAATAATTGTTTTACCTGTAAGACAATGCAGGAAGGTTGAAAAAAGTCAATAACATGATTCATGACAGGCTTGAATACACTCATGTATGTTTGATCGTCAATACCTTCCCTTAAGGGGACATTAATTGAATAATAACGACCAGTTTCTGCTCCAATCTCATACATATCCCCAGTACCGGGGAAGAAGTAATTGCCATATTTGTGGAAAGATACAGTCATAACTCTATCAGTTAGATAGAATGCTTCTTGGACACCATCTCCGTGATGAATATCAATATCTATGTACAAAACTCTTTGGTGGTATCTGTTTTATAATAAAATAATACAATTACTTCATTCTGTTCGTAATATTTAGTATTTAAAGGAATTCTTTACTTTAATAGTTCCAATATTCCAATAACTATATCATTAACATAACAAAAACCCGATGCTTCGGCTTTCTTTGCGTGATGTAGACCTCCCGACCAATTTACTGCTATGTCGCATATCTTTGATGAAAAACATTCATTTATATTATTAAAATATATACATTGCTTATTCCTTTCATGCTATTATTCTTACGTCGTGATTAAGTTTAATGGCGCTGTCTAGGGATGCTCCGGTATAGATGGAGCAAAAATCAAATAATCCTTCGAAAACTGGACAATCGTCTCCGACATTGTACAGACTAAATTGTTTACTAAAGGAGGCTGTGTTTCTTGGTGATATTCTTTGTAAAAAGTCTATGTAATCCTCTGAATGAAATCTACACATATCTGTCGAAGCTGCATGGTAGGGCCTGTACATCTAATGAAACAATTATTTTTATGATGTTGTAAACTGCAATTGACAATTATCTACCTGCATGTGCTTATATAGATTGTAGTTCATCACTAGACTGTGTGTGATGGCAATTCTTTGAGGCTTCATAGGATGATGGGGACCTGAATTTAAAATCAAAGAGAATCATTAAATTAAAATCTTTGCAACTTTACACAACATAAGGATATGGTAACAATCAGTTTATTTATCCATAAAACAATGCGATTTACAACAATAAACGCACCATAGTGGTAATTTCCGACATCGGGATCATAAAAGTATACAATTCTTTTACCGGGCGCCATCTTGTCAGGAATTGTAGAGTCGCACTGACTGTATTCTAGTTCAGAGAGATCTAGAAAATTTCTCGTCGTATAGTAAGTATTATTAAGATAATTCGGCTATATAACCAAAACTAAAATAAGCAAAAGCGTAATACTAAATATTATTATCCTTGACCTTGCTTTTGAACCGACGTGTGGACTTTTGGGATAAAACTATTCACAATATAATTATTTTGCGATCAACATCTGTTGAGTAAGGATCTCTTTTTAATATTAATTTTTTCTGCCTAAAATTTTAGTTTCCCGGGAAAAATTATAAATAATTTTATATATTTTCTTTTCTTTTGTTTTTGTTTTCCTTCCTTATGATAATAATAATAAAATGTAAAATGTAATATTGCTGTTCTAACCCTTTCAGCATCAACTCCAATTTCAAGTTATTAGAATATACTAAAATGAATGGATCGGAAAATGCAACAACTTCTGTTTATGTGGCCGATTTTTCCTACCATCCGATTGCAATTATATCTTGCATAATATTCCTCATTAATTACAAAATAATAGGGCCGAAAATTTCAAGTTTTTTGACCGATAAATACGCAGGATTGCCTAAAGCCAAAAAAGTTGATTGGAATACTAGGTAAGCTTTATTTAAATAATTTTCATAAAGAACATTTTGAGTGTAAAACATTAGATAATGAAGAGTATTAAGAAGTAAATAAATTATTTGAGAAATAAAGGTATTATTTCCCAATCCCTCCATTGTTTTTTCATGTAATTGTATTACGTAGAAGAATTAAATAAAAGTACACAAATAAAGAAACAAATACAATATTATTTATATTATTATTATTATTATTACTATTCTATTTTCAAAACTAAATGTTCAATTTTGAACTTGTGAACATAATATTGATTTTTGATGGAGATGTTAAATATTATCTAACATCTAATCATTAGTTGTCAACGGTCAGTGTTTTATTATTCATTTCAAGTCTTTTAAAAGAACACCGCATCGACTTTACGTAATATCTTTAATCTAAATACGGAACAAACATACGGTCGTATTTCGTTAAGTACAAGAGTTAAGACAAACTAAACGATATTCGTAGTACAAGTTTATTAACTAAACAAAAACATTCTCTTTAATAATTTATTCTTTATTAGGATTAAATAATATTTTTAATAATCAATGATTTTTTGATCCAAGTTTTTTGTTTTGTTTTTGTTTTTGATGTTTTTTTAATTTTAGAGTAAACTCAACTGTTCATGCAACCATTGTCAGCATTATTTGCGTCTACCTATTTATATATGATGAAAAAGTTAATGAAGACCCCGTGTGGTATGTTGTTTCAAAGTTATCTTCCTATTATTAACAGTCTTTCATAATTCTAATATAATTATTTATTTTCATCAGGGGTGAATCGCCTATGGTTCGAACGACTTGCGCAGTTGTTGTTGGTTATATGGTGTCTGACATACTGATAGTATTATATCATTGGAAAGAACTTGGAGAGTTCTTTTTCATTTTTCATCATGCAGCCTCAATTTACGCTTACCTCTTCGTTATTACTTATGGTGTCCTACCATGGTTTGCTAACTTTCGATTAATAGCAGAATTTTCTACTCCTCTTGTTAACCAACGTTGGTTTCTGGATGCTATAGAACATGACAAATCATCAAAAGTGTTTGTTGTTAATGGTGTGAGCATGTCAATCATTTTCTTCCTTGTTAGAATAGCTGTACTACCCGTATATTGGGGTAGAGTCTATAGTTATTATGGAACAGCGTCAGCGTTGAGGGTTGGACGGATGTGGTTTGTTTTGGTCTCTTCCTGTGCAGTTTTGGATTCAATCAACATATTCTGGATGTATAGAATTTATAGAGGATTGAAGAAAGTTATAAAAGCGAAAAGAGAGGCCAAGAGTAATTAACATTAAGCCATTCATTCGTTTCAGACACATTTATTGACGTAGATAATTTCTCAACAAAAGAAAATAAGTCAAGGGACATTAGCCCTATCAAAAAAAGATATAGATATATTATTCAATTATGGACTTACCAATAAATACAAATAATATAGTTCATTGTTTACTAGTAAAAAAATGTTATTCTCTTTATGCAAATGAAAAAAGGAATAAAATAATATTAATCGTTCAATGTATTGTCCTAGTTTAAACGATTCTACCGAACGAATTTTAGCAACTGTTAGAATGTTTACTGAAAAATATTAGGAAAATATATAGGAGCGACATCTTTATAATATAAAACTATAAATAATAAGTAATATTAAGCACGATTAAATAGAAAATAAATTGAAAGAAGACTCAACGTTTATTAGCGTAAAACTGAATCAACGATCTCTTTATCTTTTATCTAATTTTTTTGCACACTTAGGAAGCTTACAGCCCCTTAAAATGGTATATAACAAAGTTTTTCAATAGTTACACATTGATAATGAAAATGTAAATAAGGATTTCGCTTCGCTCGTATCAAACCTTTACACATTTTTTTATACGGTTTTTTTTCAAGAATGGAGATAACACAAATAACACCGTTCGAATATGACAAATCTATCGCTAGGGTTTTAATAACAAGAAAATCTTCTAATATATATATATATATATATATATATATATATGTATATATATATGTATATCAATTTTTTTAGAGTACTTAAATATGTCAATATAGAAAATAAATATATATAAGTATACATATAAATATATAATTATGCATACATGTATTTATACATATATATGTATATATATGGATACATATATATATATATATATAATATATAAAATATTGTTTTAGGAAAGTGTTAGAAGGCAATATATCCTAGTGTGTGCGTGCTTGTGTCTGCAGGATGGATGAATGTTTCGTGTCTCTTGGTAAGCTGAGTTTACATTAAGCAATTTCACTTCCCGTTTATTGGTTTACATATGTAAATTTATACCAATAACATTTGAAATGTTTTAAATATATATAAGTATATTGTTGCTTTAAAAGAGTGAAAAGAAATTTTTCAGGGTAATTTTCTTTAAAAAATGTTATATTCACTGAGCATATCTTTAAAATATCCGAAAAGAAATTTGTGAATTTTCAACTCTAACGGTTTGAAAAAAGAGATAACCTTTTTTAAGCAGTTCGTTAGCGATAGATAAAACTGAAACAGAAATTACGCCTGAAGGAAATTGCCTAATGTAAAAACGGCGTTACTCTCTCTTCAATATACATGTATATATATAATACATACATACATATATATATATATACATATATATACATATATATATATATACATATATATATACATATATATATAGATATATATATATATATATATATATACATATAATATATACATATATTGTGGACGTTTAATTATATATGTATATATGTGCATATATATATATCAGCCTTATGACGCCTAGCTACTAGCATTCACATTGTTTTTTAGTTTCCTCATTTCCCTTGTCGCCCAGTTTCCTAAGCTCTTTGTCTTTGCAGTTTTCGACCGCCTAGCTTTCTGTAACAAGGACAATACACCGGGAATATCCAAAGCTTGTAAGGCAGCCCCTTTAAAAGTTGTCAGTAAGTCACCGATTAAACCACAAGCGGCAGCAAGAACAGCATCACTACTATCAGGACTGGCATCAATCGCTTGCAGTAGATGTACCATATTCATAACAGAAGGTTCTAATAATTGTCTAGATTCCTCTTTCGTTCCCTGTACAATTCCTGTATAAGCCTCTAAACAGCCTTCGCGTAGTTCATTGATATAGTCCATAACATCGGCGTCTTCAGGTTGCTGAATGGCAGCTTCAGCAGCTTGTTGCAGCATACCATTAAGAACAATTGGGGCGTATTTTGTGAATTGAACACCCATGGCTAACGCCATATCGCCTATTACACCCAAAACTGGCGGCTTCAAACTTCTTGGTACATTTTCGGCTCCTATGAGATTAAGTAATCGATTCATTAGGAGGTCAGCAAAAGGTTGTATCTCAGAATTTAGAGCTCTACATATATCACCGACCAATCCGACGGCTGCGCTACATACAGCTTCTTCATCATATCTTTGAAGTGCTGTTTCGACTATAGGTACTAAATGTATCATGTACTTTGAGAAACCAGTATCCATGACCTCTACAAGAGCAGCAATAGCAAGGAGGGCATCTTCGTGGACACCACCATGTGGTAGGCCACCGTTTGGCGGGGACAAAACTGACATAAGGGCCGACATGGCGGGATCAGCGATAACTGGTAGGTCGTTCTTTTGAAGTTTCCTCAAAACCGTCTGCAAACATGCACAAAGCAAAGACTGAACGTCAACGTTTTCTGACGTAGTACCATGGACTGTTGCTTTCTGAAGACGCTCTAATATAACCTGGGCGCAATGTTGAACAGCTTCGTAGCAATCCTTTGGAGCATTTTTAATGAGTTCCATCAGTGCTTCGTAAGCTGCAGACTTAAGATTATGCGTGTTTGCGTCTGGGCGTTCAGTTGTATCAAGCAGACCAGCGACAATTGCTCCTAAATAAGGACTAAGAGCAAAAGTATGCAGGGTATCATCTGTTTCATCAACATGAACTCCGTTTGTTTGTGCATGGGCTTGATCTGCAGCAGCATCTGCTAATGAAGATAGTGCCCAACAGACATTCGTTGCTACTCTGGATTCTGCTCTGAGTGCATCACCTAAAGCATTCAATAATAGTTGAACTAGGGCGTCGTGGAGGACAACATCTCTTAGAATATCACAAACTCTACCGATAGTCCAAGCAGCAGTATCTCTGACGGCTAAGGAAGCGTCGCCCCTCACCATATCTATTAGAGCAGGCATTGCTTGTTGTACAACAGGCCTTAAAGTTTCGATATTCGGACCTTCCAATATTGAGCCGAAAGCTAAAACTGCCGCATCTCTGTGACGCCAATCAGCAGAAGCAATGTTGTCAGTAACGAAAGGAAGAACATGAGGTAAAACATCGTCCTCACAAGTCGTTGCCAAGAGCATTAGGCATACGCCAGCCGCTTTAGCTGGTGTCCAATCATCATCTTCATCATCCTCATCAACAGCTCCCCTTGGAAGAGTTTGCAGGAGAAGGGGTGCTAGAAATTGCAGTGCTCCTTTAGCATAAAATCTCGAAACTTTCGCAGGAGGACGACCTAGCTCCATGGCTTCAGCCGCTTCAATTGCTAAATCAAGTTCTTCATCACAAACCGTGCTCCAAAATTCAATGCCTAAATAAAATCATGTAATTAGTAATAAGAATTAATAGTTTCGTAATAATTATCAAGAAATGAAAAATATGAATAAATTGTTTCACTTTGAAAACTAGTCAAATGATTATATTGCTCAATCGCTTTTTTTAGATTTTCAAAAAGCTTACTCAATGGTTAAAAAAGTATTTACTGTTTTGAAACCAAGAATTGTTTACCTTGTAGAGCAATTGCATCAACATCTGATCTCATAGCATCTAATGTAATTGCAAATAAAGCTGGACCCATGTAATGTTCCATATGATTGTAATATAATGACATTATCCTTACAAGACATTGCAAAGCTGCGACTCTTACGTTAGTAGATGAACTTTGCGTGGCTTCACAAACAACTTGCATTAAAAAGTGTCGTTCTGATTCTTTGTCGAAATTAGCACGCGTAAATTCAAGTGAGTTCAATAGAGCATTTGTTGCTGCCACTCTCACACTTTCCGACGGTTCGTCTTTCTTCATGCCATGAACAATTGCTGTTAGTATCTGATTAGATTGTGACTGTAAAACCTCAGGTTCAATGTCTTGACAAATATAGCCAAGGGCTTCCAAAGTTGCCTGTCTAACAGGTTCAGTACTCTCAGTGGCTGTAACATTATCGGTTAAAATTTGAATGAGGTTTGGCCACAATTGGTGGGGAAGTTCCGCACAAGCTATATATGCCACGCATTGTGCGGCTGATGAAGGATGAAATGTTTCGGTTCCGAGAGTTTCGAGAACATTTTGCTTGATATACTGTCGTAGATTCTCTTCAAATGAGAGCCAACGCTGCATATGTTGAGCTCGAACAGAAGATTCCTTGGAATATAGAGCATTTTTAAGTTGTAAACCAGATTGCATACGAGCTACGGGACTATTGGATGTGAGTTTTAATATTTCCGATAGTTGTTTAAGAAGTTCAGGCTGAAATGAAGAGAAGAACCATAATTATGACTACCAAATAGACGTAGATTTTACACAGTAAAATATATAGCTTGTGATTTGAATATCACTAGTCAAGTTCAAAATCACCAAAATTTATTATTAATGCGTTAGCGTACAACGGTAGAGATTAAAGTTTCCATTTTTTGTTCATTAAATGAAAGAAAATAAAACTAAAACAAACCAAATTTTGCTGTGCGGCATTTTCTAAAAACTGTTGAGCTGTTCTCAGTTCGTTTTGATCTGTGGGGCGAAGAACACAATATAAAAATCGATTACTCTTGATACGAATTATAAATTTATACCTGGGGAAACAGTCTTCTCCAATATCGTAATTAAATCCATTTTTATTCCCTGCCCATGTGCCGGAAAAGTTCAATATGGCCGAAGAACAGTCAGTTTGAATTTGAAGACGTATGTAATACGTATTTATTGACTATGTTTTCAAAATGGCCAGTATTAAACAATTAAAGTCCGCCATTTTTTTAGATCCCAAGCTCGCTAGAAAGACTATCTCTATAAATATTTTTTGTTAACTCAAATCTTATTGGCTTGATAGCACAGCCAATCATAAGATTTTTATCAAAAAATGGCTCTAACTTTTTGAAAATATTTATGTTTTAACAAAAATTAGCACCCGTAGTAATCACTTTGAACAATTTATTTTCTAAAAAAATTTCAATGTAAACCGAGTTTAAACTATAAAAGTCTTTTTTGTTTTAAAAATGACTAATATCTATTTAATTGCGTACAATATCACAGATATTTAAAATCTTGTCAGCTACGGATTACAAGTATTTTTCTTTTATTGTATAGAAGAAAAAGTTGACTATAAAGAATCAAGAGATTAGAAACAATATTTTGAAATATTATGAAATATAAAATATTATAAGAATGAAAGCATATAAACGAATCACACACATAAAATCTATATTGAACAAGACATGAAAACAAGTATGGCTGACCTTACTTAGTAACAAACATACAATTTAAGAAAAAGAATAAAAGCTTTTTGTAGATCTATAATTTAATCTTTGCTGAAAAATAATGATTTTTAGTTACGATAATAAAATAACAAATGTGGGTCAGTTATAAATACTTTACAATATACAGTACATATTTCAACTAAAAAACGTTTAGAAAAAGTACTGCAGTTGGATTTTATTGACCTGCAGTACTTTTTCTAAATCCAACCAAAAATGTACTTTTTTATTGTTAGAGATAAATCTTTAAATTTATGCAAATTTGTGCATTTGATAAAGAATAGATGCTAACAATTCAGTCTTATCAAGCTTTGCACTCTAACGTATTGTGAAAATGTCCTTAAATCCTAAACAAGAATATAATGATATTATCACTTTTTATCAATCTTTACTTTATACTATTCTTGGTGCTAGCCAATTTCTTGGTGTTGAGATTATATTAATTAACTACTTGATAACGAAACAAAACTTTTGGTGCCGTATTAAGGAGCTTGAAAAATTCTCTTTCCATAGGCAAAAACTAATTGCAATTCCGAATTATGACAATTCTTTGAGTCGGTGTTATAAGTTCCCTTTGAACTATTCTTCGTACTCTCTGACTGAGTTTCTCAACTGGGACGAAGATAAGAGGGACAAAATCGGCAGATTGTATAACTACAAAAACTCTTGGACTGAATGTCAAAACGGATGGATTTTTGATAAAAGTATCTTTACGTCTACAATAAGCGAATTGTGGAGTCTGGTCTGTGGAAATAGTTGGATTATACCTCTGATATCATCTTTTTACATGTTGGGACGATGTTTGGGTTATTTTGGCGGCAAATTAATGTCCGATAAATTTGGTAGGAAAAAATCAATATTGATTTCCTTACTTGTAAGATTAGCAGGTGGTTTTCTGGAGGCTTTCTCTCAAAATTATATCATCTTTTCAATTGGACGCTTCATACACGCTTTCGGAACAATGAGTTGTAATTGTTCAGCTTTCGAACTAGGTTGTTTTTTTTTTTTGTTTTTTTTTTATCTAAAGTATATTAATGATGTAAAACTATCTTCCTTTATGGACAGTTTGTGATTTCTCTAACGGAACAAATAGATTTATACTGAGCTTATTTTGGAAATTCCTGTTTAGTTTGGGAATATCAAATCAAGCTATAATCTCTTATTTCATTCGAGATTCTTTTATTTTGCAACTAATCGCTATTATACCCATTTCTATCCTGCTCTCTTATTATTTGTAAGACTTCAACTATACAAATATCTTTATGATATTATGCAGTTTTTCTCAAATGTAGCATTTTGGATGAATCTCCTCTATGGCTTATAAATACTAAGAATTTAAATGAAGCTACTTCTATTATCCAAAAAACTGATCAAATCAATGGAAAAATACCGACAAATTTACATATAGATTTATTTTCAACAATTACAAGTTCAAAAGATATTCGTCTAATTGAAAATGTTAAAAAAAGGGCCATTTTATTTAGCTATACTTCGTAGGCTTTGTATTTAAATATAAGATTATTTTGGTATATAGCTTAGAATTGATAATATTTTTCTTAGATTTGCTAGTAGCCTACTTTATTTTGGTCTATTATTAAATATTCCATCGATGAGTGGGAATATATACTTGAATGGCTTTTTAATGGGCATTGCAGATATACCTTTTCTTTTAATAGGTAAGCTATTTATCTCAAATAATTGACTATTAGAGTATTTAATACTTTGTAGGTTTCTTTCTGAAGAGGAAAATAGGAGTAAGGCACCTGTTGGGAGGATCTTTCATTTTGGCGTCAATATTTGAATTTATACTAATTTGGTTAATAATAAAGAAACGTTTGTTCTGCAAAGAAAGTTTTTTTGGAATTTATATTTGTCCTATTTCGGCAGAATCAATTATTTGGACGACAATCATCGTACTTTGTGCCAAAGCGTCTATTTCCCTCTCGAACGCATTGAATATTTCAGATATTATAGGGATATTTTCTTTCAAAAAGAGAAATTTTGGGCTTATAATGATAATAATTTCAAGTAGTGCGGGAGAGATTATAGCACCTTTCATCGGAGATTCTATAGTAAAACATTTCTTATATACTATTTCTTTTAAAAGTACATTAATAATAAAATATGTACAATTTCTAGGCAGTTTTTTGGAAAGGCCTTCCTTCAACGATATACTGCATAGTCAGCCTAACAGCTGGTATTTTTATGTTGAAATCAACCGAAACACTAATTTAGAAACATATTTGATAAATCAGTTTTTTTTCTTATCTCTATCTCAAGTATATGATGTGCCTACATCATCATATTTTCGTCATATGTTACAGTAACAGCTTAATATATTGTAGAAAATAAAAATTATTTTTGAATATTTACTGCTTATTGATTGTCTGAAAATACACCGATGTAGTGAACATAGGAAACATATTAAAAGTTACTGTAATTGACTAATACTAGACTAATACTGTTTGCTTTCTATCACAGAGGGCGTATCTCTGTAAAGTACATAGTTTAATTTGTATAGTTATTGCATTGCCTGTCTAGTATTGAAATAATGCTACAAGATATTCTAAAGTATCTTTTAGTGTTTAGTTTCCATTATCCAATAAATGGATCGGATAAATCGAATATCGTCTTCATCTTAACTGATGATCAAGATGTTGTGCTTAACGGAATGGTAATGGTCCATGATTAGAAATTTAATATTCCTTTCTTATTAATAATATTTATTTATTACAGGAACCAATGCAATTTGCTAGAGAATTGATTGGTAAACATGGTGCAACTTTTGAAAATATGGTAGATTTATATATTCACATTTATTCTATGGTACGCGATAGGATAATAATATATATTTTCAATACCTTCAGTTTACAGTTTCTCCCCTTTGCTGTCCATCTAGAGCATCAATTCTTACTGGTAGATATGTTCATAATCATGGTGTTATTAACAATACAATAAGTGGAAATTGTAATTCTATAAAATGGCAAAAAAGAAGTGAACCTAATACATTTGCTCCATTCTTAAAAAAGTATGGATATAAGACATTTTTCGCTGGAAAATACCTAAATCAAGTAATTTAAACTAATAAACAAAAAATACCTAGTTAAGTAAAATAATATAAAATGTGTATAATAATAACTTTAGTACGGAAGGAAAGCTGTCGGTGGAACAAAGCACGTTCCACCAGGTTGGGACGAATGGAATGGTTTAAAAGGAAATTCCGTTTATTATAATTATACTTTATCCGTAAATGGTAAAAGAGAACGTCATTATGATAATTATAAAAAGGATTATTTAACAGATGTTATTGTAAGGCTTATCTCTACTTTTGAATTAATAATCCATAAAATTTGAAATGTTATTATTATAGAAACGAAGAGCTATGAAGTTTATTGATAAACAGACGAACGATAATCCTTTTTTTATGATGCTATCAACTCCATCTTGTCATGCACCCTTTACATCGGCACCCCAATATTCAAAAGAGTTTGCTAATAGAACAGCACCGAAAACAGGATCTTTCAATGTTCATGGAAAGGTAAAGAAAAACAGTTTTTTCATCTATATCTCTTTTACATTCTGCTAATTTAAAGAACAAGCATTGGTTAATTGAACACGCAAAAACGCCAATGGGAAACACATCAATGAACTATTTACAATCAGCATTTAGAAATAGGTGGAGAACTCTTCTATCTGTAGATTCTATGATAAAAGAGCTTATAACAAACTTGGAAAACAAGCATTTCCTTGAAAATACATACATAATTTATTCATCGGACAATGGATATCATTTGGGTGAAGTGAAGAAATTCAATTATTATTATTTTTTAGTATTTTTCTTTAAAACACACTTTAGGTCAATTTTCATTACCTACGGATAAAAGACAACCTTACGAATTTGATATTAGAGTCCCTTTATTAATAAGAGGTCCTAGAATTAAGAAAGGAATTAAATTGAAGGTATTTTAATGGGACGAAGTGTCAAATTTTTCACTTAACTATTTTATTTAAAAACAAATATTTCAGCATTTAGTCTCCACAATCGATCTCGCCCCTACCTTTCTTTCAATAGCTTCTGAAAAGAGAAGAGGCAATCCTTGGAAAATGGATGGTCGATCTTTGTTAAATATATTAAGACATCCGTATTCGTACAAGTATAAATACTACAATAACGTCTCAGTATGGAGAGATAGTTTATTGATTGAACATAATGGGGAATATGATATAGCTACTAAAAATTGCCCCATGATAATTGATAAGAATATGTCAGTGAGTAACTTAAATTCTATTAAATAGAATTAGTAATATATTAATAAATTTTGTTTAAATACAACAATAGCACTGTTATCCAGAAATGAATTGTGCATGCGAAGATTCCAGAAATAATACCTATACATGTCTAAGGTATTTACCTTTAAGCGAAAAAGGTAATTACCTCTATTGCGAATTTAAGGATAACCAAGTTTGTATTATTAATTAACGATTAAGAAATTAAATTTAATTGGAAAACTTTTTATTTCTAGCGCAAAAAGGAGATTTACAATCTTGCTATTGATCCTGATCAATTGATTAATGAGGCTAAGAGTTCATCTAAATCGTTAATAAACTTTTTTAAATCGCTTTTAGAAACTTTAAAAGAGGAATATAAACAATGAAAACAAGATTGCAAAATCACCATCAGTAATACTATTCCTGTTTATAATTTATGCAATTAATAGACTTATAAATTACGTCCTTCAAACTATTTCAATTGTACTTATTATGAAATTTACATATAACCATGGTTATTTTGTTGACTTGTACTATGGCTTCGTACAGTAGAGTGAACTCTGAAAGTATTTTACAGAATATTGCCAGTTATAAAGATTGTTCCATACAAAATAAGAAAATATCAAGCATTACAGCTGGGAAGGCTAATTTCAGGTACAGAAAAGAAGACAATTCCGCTCATTGTGACGTATGCAAGGCCAAAATTACATTTTGGGAAGATATTGTAGATCCCTTTGCTGTGCACAAATCAAGTTGTGGTTATTTGAAAGAATATAGATCTAGAATAACATTAATTAAATTGCCTACTCAGAATGCAAGAGATATGATACAATCTTTCTCCAAAAGTTTTGGAATTAAACAAAAGCATTCTTATAAACCATTCTCTGACACAATTGAAGAGTCTTATAAGAATTTTCCGAAGCCTCATTTAGTGAAAAAGTTAATCGACGCTAATTTTTGGTATACGAATATAGGTGACTCATGTATATGCGTAGTCTGTAAATTGATTGCAAAAGATTGGAATGAAGAGAAGCCTATTAATATCCATTTTAAAAAAGCAAAACACTGCAAATTTATACAAAGTTGGTATTCTGATGAAGATTGTCCCAAGTTTAACTATACGGACACTCTTGCTAGATCTTTCACTGATAAGGAATATCATTATGTACCAGGACTATCGAAAATTGATTTAAATAATATTACCGTTAACGAAGAACTTGTTGAAGAGGATACTATAGATCATGAACCAAAGAATAGGAAATTGAAATCATTCGCCAAAAGAAGAAAGAGTTTGAACAAATTAAGGTTATCAGTTGAATACAAAAATGAATTGGCAGCAGCAGGATTTTATTGTGACACGATATCTGAACAGAACAGACAGTATCTAGTGGTATGTTATCATTGCAAAGCACAGATAAGAACAAATAATGAACATGTAAATCCAACGATTTTTCACGCAATGTGGCATCCATTGTGTGCTTATATCATTCGAAGATGTGGTCTTAACAATGTAAGGCGATTTGCTTCACTACCAAATTATTTAAACAAGAAAGATACGTCAGATGCTATTGCTGATACTCCACCCCAAACTGAGGAGGACTATAGGCTACGAAATGATGCAATTAAACAAGCCAGGCGTTGCATGACTATTAAAAGTGATGGAAGGCGTTGTGTAGAAACAAGTAACATCATCAGATTGCCCTGTAGATGTTTGAAACTTTGTGATTATTGCGCTGAAAATGTTATCTATTGCAAAGTATGCAAGCGTGTCATCTGGAGAAGAGTAAAATCTATAATTAGTCAAGTTCAAAACCAGATTGCCGACGGTCTAGGACTGTTGGTTTGTGAGTTTTAAAATTAACTTGTGATTTTTTTTTTGATATTTCTCCATATTTAAATTGCTTTTATATAAATGTATACCTCTGCTGCCATCACTTTTTATAAAACCCCAAATATTTAGGGAACCATTTGCCTCTTTAAAAGTTTTTTTTGCATATCATGTGATAAGGGGGACTGTAAAAATATCTCCCCTTCCCGCTATTCCCGATCTTCCACCCAAAACTGAGGAGGTCTATAAGTTACAAAATTACGTAATTAAACAAACCAGGTGATGCAAGAATATTAAGAGTGATGGAAAGCGTTGTGAAGAAAGAAGTAACATCGTCAGTTTGCCCTGTGGATGTTTGGCACTTTGTGTATTTTGTGCTGATGTTGTTTTCTATTGTAAAGGATGCAATCATGTCATAAGGGGGACAGTAAAATTGATAACCAGCCAAGTTCAAAACCAGATTACATACTAGCTACGGGACTATTGGATGTGAGTTTTAATATATCCGATAGTTGTTTAAGAAGTTCAGGCTGAAATAAAGAGAAGAAGCATAATTATGACTACAAAATTGACGTAGATTTTACACAGTAAAATATATAACTTGTGATTTGAATATCATTAGTCAAGTTCAAAATCACCAAAATTTTTTATTAATGCGTAAGAGTGGCATTTTTCCAACGAGCTCTGCCCGAACGTGCGAGGAGCGTGGCACCAGAACCAGCCACAGTTCCACCACGAGAAACAATAATTGGCAGGAACTGCAGTTCGGAGAAGATGGAAGAGCGTTGGAACCACTGACCATTAATGTTCGTCATATGCACGAACCATTTTCCCTGCTCCGTTCAGCCATTACTGAGCCCAGAGCTAGGGAATTCGCCAAGCTAGCTGAACAAGGGAGGTCCTTCCAAGACACGTCCCTTCACCCGATTTCGAACCACTTTACTTACACAGGCTTCGGCCTTCGCTACAAGGACTATAGATTCGTCTATAGGGCCCGGTTAGGTAGTCTACCCGTCAACGCCGTTAAATACCGGTTTAACAACAACCGCACCTCCCCGGAATGCCGGCGTTGCCAATTCCAAGTTGAATCCTTGAAGCATGACCTTAACAAACTGCCGCACCGGTTACGGCCTCTAGGGCGATAGGCATAACGCCATTCAGGACAGACTAGTCAAAGGCACTCGTCTCCCTCAGGAAGCGACGATCTCGGTCAATCGTACCATCCGCGAGTCTGGTTCCCGCCTTCGGCCGGTCATTGTTGTCCGTAATGGCTCCAGAATTGATATAATCGACATTGCGGTTCCCTTTGAGCGCCCCGGTACCTTGGCCAAATCTGCTGAAGAGAAGGTAACTAAGTACCGGGTACTCCAGACCGAGCTAGAGACCAATGGCAACACTGTCGCATTTTGTCATTCGTTGTTGGGTCGCTGGGCGCCTGGTACCGCAATAACCAAAAATTTATGTAAGCTCTTGGCATAGCACGTGGCTACCGCAAAATGTTATCCCAACTTTGCGTGGCTGAAGCAATTAAGGGCTCCACAGATGCCTATGATGCCCACATCGATGGACACTATAATTAACCATCTAACCTCCCAGCCCTTGACTCCATAGAAATACCTTATTCTACCGTTCTATCTGCTAACTACCATACTCACCATTCAAGGAAAAGGAGGACAAGTTCGGGACGCCACCTCTTAATCTGGAGTCTGGGCCTACCACGGATGAATCTTCCTTAATAGAGGACGACTCGGCATATATTAGTGACTTGTTGTTCAACACCGGGTCCCTCTCTTCTACTTCGTTCAAGTCTAAGTCTACACCGCCATCCAAGATCCGCATGGTGCCTCTCTCGGACGTCCGCCTATCTACTGATCCTGCACAGGACGATTCCGTTGCTGATCTCGCTACCCCGCCCACCCCTGCTTCCGGTTTGGTGAGTACCCTTAACTATACTGTGTTGTCCAAAAAAGCGGTACCAGACAAATCGGTTGTTAAAAGCGCCCCAGCGGATGACGCACCCAACCGCTCTACCTCCGTAAAACTGGGTTAAGAGATCCCTTCGCTACGCGCGATCCCCCATTCTTTCTATAAATCAGACCGACGTAGGAAAAACCCCTGAAACCTCTCAAAACGAGTTTACCTACATTGCCTTACGCGGTCACTAGGTCGGCCCCTCCATATGCAACATTCAAGAAATAATACCTATACTGTACATGTCTAAGGTATTTATCTTTAAGCGAAAAAGTAACTATCTCTATTGCAAATTTAAGGATAACCAAGTTTGTATTATTAATTAATGATTAAGAAATTAAATTTAATTACAAAATATTTTATTTCTAGCGCAAAAAGGAGATTTACAATCTTGCTATTGATCCTGATCAATTGATTATTGAGGCCAAGAGTTATAAATTACGTCCTTCAAACTATTTCATTTGTACTTATTATGAAATTTACATGTTTATTCATGAAATTAAAAAAATCAGTCATCAGCATAAAAGAAAAAACGTCTTAACTGCTCTCCTGTAATGCATTCGAGAGAATGTTTAACCATAATAGAAGAACCACATAACCATACTATCAACCACGAATAGTATGATTCTCTCCAGAGAGCGTGTAATCGGTTTTTCGAGAAACTGTAAAAAAGTTACATTTGTGGTTTGCCCTTTCATAGGCTAAGGGCGACCATAGAAAAGATATATATCGATCTACCTTTATACACATATAAAAATTTTGTTTCATTTGTTTTCAGCTACTGAAGTTTAAAGAAATCAAATAAAAACATTCTTTTAATCAAATATGAATGATAATACGAAAAACCATGGTTATTTTGTTGCCTTGTACTATTTTTTGGGCTATGGCTGCGTACAGTAGAGTGAACTCTGAAAGTATTTTACAGAATGTTGCCAGTTATAAAGATTGTTCCATACAAAATAAGAAAATATCAAGCATTACAGCTGGGAAGGCTAATTTCAGGTACAGAAAAGAAGACAATTCCGCTCATTGTGACGTGTGCAAGGCCAAAATTACATTTTGGGAAGATATTGTAGATCCCTTTGCTATGCACAAATCAAGTTGTGGTTATTTGAAAGAATATAGATCTAGAATAACATTAATTAAATTGCCTACTCAGAATGCAAGAGATATGATACAATCTTTCTCCAAAAGTTTTGGAATTAAACAAAAGCATTCTTATAAACCATTCTCTGACACAATTGAAGAGTCTTATAAGAATTTTCCGAAGCCTCATTTAGTGAAAAAGTTAATCGACGCTAATTTTTGGTATACGAATATAGGTGACTCATGTATATGCGTAGTCTGTAAATTGATTGCAAAAGATTGGAATGAAGAGAAGCCTATTAATATCCATTTTAAAAAAGCAAAACACTGCAAATTTATACAAAGTTGGTATTCTGATGAAGATTGTCCCAAGTTTAACTATACGGACACTCTTGCTAGATCTTTCACTGATAAGGAATATCATTATGTACCAGGACTATCGAAAATTGATTTAAATAATATTACCGTTAACGAAGAACTTGTTGAAGAGGATACTATAGATCATGAACCAAAGAATAGGAAATTGAAATCATTCGCCAAAAGAAGAAAGAGTTTGAACAAATTAAGGTTATCAGTTGAATACAAAAATGAATTGGCAGCAGCAGGATTTTATTGTGACACGATATCTGAACAGAACAGACAGTATCTAGTGGTATGTTATCATTGCAAAGCACAGATAAGAACAAATAATGAACATGTAAATCCAACGATTTTTCACGCAATGTGGCATCCATTGTGTGCTTATATCATTCGAAGATGTGGTCTTGACAATGTAAGGCGATTTGCTTCACTACCAAATTATTTATACAAGAAAGATACGCCAGATAATAGCAAATCTCAGTCCAGCTTCTCTAATATAGATCCAAGAGAGGCAAGGGCTAGAATGGATACACCTATTGTTCAATTAATTGTTGCACAAGGTCATAATTGGAATACAATATTGAGAGCTATAGAAATTTTTATGAGAAGAAGTGGAGATGATTTTACCAGTGCAACGGAATTGTTGGATGTTGTTAAGGAATTGGAGGAAAAGGCATTTTCTGAAAGGGAAAAAAAGACAGATGCTATTCCTGATAATCCCCTTCCCGCTATTCCTGATACTCCACCCAAAACTGAGGAGGACTATAGGCTACGAAATGATGCAATTAAACAAGCCAGGCGGTGCAAGAATATTAAGAGTGATGGAAAGCGTTGTGAAGAAACAAGTAACATTGTCAGTTTGCCCTGTGGATGTTTGGCACTTTGTGAATATTGCGCTGACGATGTTGTCTATTGCAAACGATGCAATCATGTCATAAGGGGGACAGTAAAAATATTTCGTTCCTAATTAAAGATTGAAGAACTCTATGAGTAACAAAGCAAAAAAGCAAAATTGCATTTGTTTTGGAAATGAGACCGAATATGTGCCTGAAACCCTTGCTTTTATGGATGAAAGATTTAGTATTAAGATTCGACTGTACGGCTAATTGGATAAGTAGAGGACCACCAAAGGGTTTATGACTGCTCGATTTCTTCCTATATAGAGATATGATTTAAACCACAAGCTGTCTCAAAAAGTTTTGGAATTAAAGAAAAATTAGATGTTTATAAAGATCTTAAACTGCCAAGGGATGGTGCAGACATTTTAGCCATGGATTCAAATTTGCTGTAATTAGCAAACCAATTAAATGATGGAAAAACATCAGTACTCATTAAACAAAGCATGCTGTTTTTTTTGTTGTTTTTTATAGATTGATATCATCGTTCAAATACTATATTTTCACTCAATTAAAAATATAATTTTACTTTTATATAAAAGAATTAAAATCATTTACGTCATAAATTTATATAAATATGTAGATGTCTTATTAAAAAGTGTTTGTATTTTCACTTATTCTCTTATTTATTCGCTCAGTTGGCATAGTAAAGCGGAGCCTTGTGAAATCCAATAATCTTGTGGTTGTTTGCTGGGCAGATGAACAGCCACAACAAAATTTGTTGAATGACCTACGAAATAGTTATAGTAAAATAATATTAATTTTCAAGATATGGGTGTGTTTATTACCTGTTGTTGATAAAGTTCCGGCTCGTGCTGAAGTTTTATATAACGGTGAGTTATAATCTCTATGAGTAGGAGTAAAATCTACTCGTGGTTCCCTAAAGTGCAATTGTAAATGAAGAAAGTTGAGAAATATGAGGAAAGTATGATACTTACATATGTAACATGGGAAGGGAAGAGAACATTTCGCCAGGTACTGATTCAGCTAGCAGCATTGCTTTATCATCCCATCTGAATCCGTCCATGAAAAGACCATGAACGAATACACCATCCCTTGGTAGTTCAAGATCTTTATCCATATCTATTTCTTCTCCATAGTCCAATTTTTCTGTTGCCGCGGTCACTTCTGCTTGATCACGGTATTTAGGAAGAGTCTTAAACCTAAAGTTGAGATGATCAATGGCTTGATTATATTTTCTGGCGTGATTCTGCAATACACCAGTGAGAAAACCTTGAGGAAAGAAGAAACCGGACAACCAGAAACTCTTTGGTGGTCCTCTACTTATCCAATTAGCTATAAAATCGCATCTTAATACTAAATCTTTCACCCATGATGCTAATGGTTTCAGGGACGGATAAGCTGCATTTGCCCATAAGCTTGGAACCTGATTATTAAGGAAGGATGTGTAAACTCTTTCCAATTCTTCGCTCATAACAACCAGACCCTTAATTGCTTTTTGTAATTCTGTCAAAGAAGTCCTTATTACTCTTAACAGCTTGTTAAATCGGTCGACTTCTTGTGTTAAAACAGTTGTTAAGGAGTTTACTCTTCCCTTTTCATCGGGTTCCAACATATCTGCTCTAGCGTTTTCTATATCTAACTTTTCGATTATCTTCTCCAATATACTTTCTGCTAATTCGTAAACAATGTCGTCGTTACTCTTTCCCGCTCCCCCGCTAGATAATCTTGGTTGGACGTCAAGAATTGTTCCAATTAAGATGTTTGTTTCCTGAACTTGGAACGCAATATTAGCGTTAGCATGCATACCGAATATTTCTGGTTGGTCTAAAAGCGGTAATTTATCAATGTAATCTTTGTATTCTTGGAGGGAGTCATTAATCGGTGCGTAATAGATGCCACTTTCAGAAAATTTGTAATCATCTTTCAGCGTTTCTGGATGGAAGAAACGCTTGAGAACAGTTTTTAAACATCTTTGATCCCATGCGTCCGTTACTCTACCACCATATGTGATCTATTTAGGATAAAGAGTCGATTAAATAACATTTCGTTCATTTATTTACGCGTGAGTTACCTCTCCAGTGATGTAGATTAAACTATCCCAAGGAATAACGCCTTCTTTGCAGAACATGTCCAAGTTTAATAGGGCGCACTCTCGATCGCTATCGTTAAATTCATATTTAATGTTCCATCCCAGTGGACCAAACTTCTTCCTCTCCTGTATGATAGCGTGAAAGAAGCAGATTCCGAAAACTAATCTTCTCCACTTAATACCAAGAACTAATTAGAAAAAGGTTAATTGTAAATTGACATCAATAAATAAATAATTAGAATAAATGACAGCCTTACTTTGCTCTTCAAAGAATTGATTTGTTAACTCTCCAAATGCTCTCCGAACATTTGCTCTTAGACCTTTCGGTGGTTCATTGGTGACTTTAACAGCATTTTGAAGAACTGTTACGGGAAAAGATTTCGCCGGCATTGAACTCAAGAACAATCTGAAATCTTCGTGGACGTCCTGTGGTTTCTCTTGCATTTTCTTAATCATTTCCTCCATGGACAACATCCAACTGGCAGCCAAATGACAATTTTGTAAGAATACCCAATCTCCAGTTTTAACTGCGGCTGCGATCATCTTTTCAGCTACTGGACCTTGCCCTTGACCTAATGATATTGCTTGTATCTTTTCCGAAAAACCCTTCTCTTTTGCAAATCTCTGGAAGGCTCCCATTGGATCTGAACCAGTTGAAAGTACAAAAACTAAAGGTGTAACGGGACTCATATCCTCGTATAATAAACTTAAATCAATACTGGGACTTTCTATGAATTCTTGGCCAAGATTTTCTCTAACGAATTCAGATGCTGCAAATATGACTTTTTCTTCTTGGAAAACCTTAATAAACACAAGCCTTTGAAAAGATGTTAATCTTTCATTCCAATGACCTTTTATGGAATCATCGTTAGGTATATTTTTCAAATCTATCTTTGGTTCGGGAACGTAATTTGGATCAGTCTCCGGGTTTGCTCTAACTTCAACATTACCCATTTTTACAAAACAAGGAGTCTTAGTTAATTCAGTATGTATATTCTTGAATGATTCAAGGGTATCGCTAAGATCGAAAGCCGAATTCCAATTTGCTTGACTTATCCATGGAACATCTGGTTTTTTTGGCCTTTCCCTATCCATACCCGACGCTCCTCTAAGGAAAAAGTTCCACTCATCGTCAGTAATTAAGTTTTGCTGTCGAAGAATTTCGCCACAAAGCATAAAACTAAAGACTAGCTTATCTTTTTCAAAGAGACCTCTAGCAACATTCCTAAAGATATCTTGGGTAGTTTTCTCCAATAGAGTGTTTAATCTAGTATGAAGATCTTTACTCTTTTCTGACGCTTGAATGGTATTAGCAAATAGTTGTTTGAAGTATTTTAGAGAAAATTGATACATGGGATCAACATTGCCCATATCAGCAACAACAAAATACATAACGGAACCCTTAGCCGCAACAGATCTATACTTTTCTCTTGCGTGTGTTATTTTTGCCTCAGTTTGTTCTGCCTCTTTAAGACGTTGAGTAATTGTACCGGAAGTAATTTTTGAATCGTTCAATGTGTTAATAAGCTCTTCATTGTCCAAAATGTTACCTTCAGATTCAAAGAGTAATTTCAAAATCCTATCTTCGATGGCCTTTAATTGGTTTTTGTCGGTGTTAATCTTAACAATTAATTGATTTCTTTGTTCTTCTAGGTCGGGTCTTTCAAGAGAAACCACCTCAGACAATAACTGATCTTCTAAACCAGCTTTTGTAACTGTAAAGTTAATAATTGTCACTTTGATACAAACTTCAGGCAAATAATGAGGATTTGCCAATTTGGTTGTCATATAAAACTTAAAATTTCTATCGTAATCGATATCGCTATCTCCTAATCTAATGAGAAGTCGACCTCCTTGCTTAAATGTTTGTTTAAGAAGAATTGGTTCAAGAGCTGGATCTAAATGTTCACCAACTTCTTCAAGAAGAACGGGCATACCGATTCTTATACAATTTTCTAACGTTCTTAAGAAATTTGAATCTGTGAGCTTGATAATTTTTAGACCGTTCATTGCCTCTTTATTCCTAATCCATCTATTGGCTTGATCTTGAGGATCAATCATCAAAGGCCACCTTCGACCTTTCGTAACTAATACTGCATTTTCAGTAGATACTTGATCTCTTGGTAGGCCATCCGAATTCCATTGCCGTATTTCAAATGGATCAGCCAAAACGTTTACTAACGTCATACCCTGGGTAACTGGTATACCTTTTTCGGCACACTTTTCAATCCAAAAGTTAACTAATTCTAATCGGTAATTAGCACTAAAGGCACCGTAGTAAGCTACACAAGCTGTTGAGACAAATACATCACCCACAACGTTTCCTAAGTCTTCTTCAAACTTTGCTACTGATTCCTCCCATCTTATCTTCTCGTCAGCAAGGGCAGTTGTCAATTTAGACGCTCTTCTCAATCTGGCTTGAGTTAGAGCCATTTGCTTTTCCAATCTTGACTTTTCCGATACGGAATCGTCATACATTTTTTGAAGTTCGGCAATTTGTTTTTCAACTGCTGCTAATTTTTCTTGCTTCTCTCGCAAAGCAGCTTGAACAACACGAAGTTCAGCTTCTGCCGCTTCCTTCTTCTGACGTTTGGGTTCAACAGTTTTGAAGACTTTTGCATAGGTATCCATGGCTCTTACCCACATACACATACTCTTACAGGCCTTAGAAACCTTTTCAACTGTTTCCGGTTGGAATTTTGGATTGTTAATGTAGACAGCCAATTTCCTGATGATTGCAGGAGATACGTTATCTTTATCGTACCCTTTAAGGTTTTTAATCAAGTTTCCATCACCAAGGAGACGTTTAGCGCCATCCCAGTCAGTTCTAAAAGATTTTTAGTTATTAATGTCATCGCTTTTATACGGTATAAGTCAAAATGATGCTTACTTTCCACCCATTAAGATGCAAACTGCTTCCATAACAGTTTGTACAAGTTCTGGAGGTTTTGTAAACACTCGAATTTCAGAAATATCATTCTTATCCAATGTATCAAGAGCAGCATTGGAAGCTTCAAGGGCAGGTAAAGCTTCGTCAAGATCCCTTTGGGCATCATCAGCGATAGCTTTTGTTTCACTTTCTTTCGCTTTGGCCACCGCCTCATCTTCCATAACGACTTTTCTCACCTAGAGAAACAAGATAATCACGTAAAAGATACTGCTATTCCATTCAATAAATTTTACTTACAGTATCAGCTTTTTCTTGATCGACAACTAATTTCTCCATAAGAGTTTCGGTATCAGCACTTTTCTTTTTCAATTCTGGTTCTAATTCAACGAGTTCCTTTTCCATATTTGTAATTAATTCATTAGTTTCGAAGATTTTAGTTAGACCATTCTTTACACGATCTCTAGCTAATTCTAGACTCCTGTGATATTTTTAATTAATATTAATATACTATATAACATTTATGAAATAATCAAGTGAATATCGTCTAATTTTACCTTTTCTTATCGCCTAACATTTGAATATAGAGATTGATCAGTTCCAAATAACTAGTTGGTGTTGTATAATAATGTCTTTTTACTTCTTTGTAGAATCTAGTAGCCATATTTTGAACAGATGTATGAATATCTACGCACATTTCCGAGACTTTGTTTTTAAGTTCGTCAGAACCGAGATCAACTTCTTCAAAAGCTGATTTTGAAACGCCTAATAAAGCTTCTCTTGGCCATTCGGTAAACCAATCAATTGTACAGCAGTTTACTAATGACGGGAACATTCTGCACCTTGTCCTAAAAGCTGATCCCACGGGTGACATACATAGAACAACATGTAAATTGTTTCGAACTCTGTTTATACAGAAATCAAAAATAGCGTCTCTATTTCCTTCTGCAATTCCTGCTTCTTTTGCGGCAGGTCTGCATCCAATTATCAATTTTTCATGTTCATCAGGTTCAAACAGATTTGGTACTTCTCCCGAATTAAGAATATTATTAATATCTTCCAAAAACTCTTCAACAACAATCTGAGTATCGGTAAAGAGGAAAACTGTATGCTGATTTTCAACTCCAGCACTTGTATATAACTTTTTCAAGTCTTCATGGAAAGACGAATAATCGTATCCTCTACTTAGTTCAATTTGAAAGCATTTATAACCGTTCATATGACTAGCCAGTCTAGTTAAAGATTGCTTTCCACAACCTCCAACACCGACAAGTAGAGCGTTTCCTCTATCTTGCCTTATCATTCTTGCTATACGGGAAATATGTTCGACAGCGTCAAGGAAGAAGACAAGCTTCATTTCTTTGGTACTTGTTAGATTGAAATCACCCAAATACTAAAGACAAATTCACAGTGTTAACTCTTTGCAAATATTAGATAATATATTGAACTTACATCTTCAAGAATCGATCTAACTTTTGCTAAATTTCCGGATAAATCTTCATAGACTCTATCTTGTCTATCTAATCCCATTTTGATGTAATCGCCGAATATTACTGGATTAGTGATGAATGATTCGGCTTCGACGTTCTAAAATAATTATTAAATTATGATAAGAAACAAAATATGTCATTGAGTAATGGCACAGAAACAGACCTCTCCAAAGTGTTTTGATGCCATTTCACTGAGAATTGAATAGAAGAATGTTTTGTCTTCGTTGTTGACCAAACGATCGTGGAATACTCTGAGAGCTTCATGACAGAAGAGACGGAATATTTGCTTACTCTCTCTTATAGTACTTGAATCAGCTTGTAAGATTCCTTGTACGCATTTGGATAAATCTCTAAGATTGAAAACGTAATGAGATTTTGCAGGAGTTGGTAACAAGTCTGTAGACATCCGTTCGTAGATCTCAACTGCAGCTGCTACGATAAAATCGGTGCACTTTCTGACATCGTGTGTAAAATCGTAAAGGAAACCATTCAAAATAGCCTAAAAAATATACAAATTCATGTTAGAGGTGCATATTTATTAGTGACGTTTTGAGTTATCTTTCTCCGGTTCTTTGTCAAAGAAAGATAGTGATTAAGAGATATAATAATTTACTGTGAACATATGCTTCAGACTGTGTTCGTTTGGTGGTGGGATGCAGAACATGCTAAAATGCCGAACGAATCTGGGAGTGACAGGATTTCGACCTCCTCCAGGTGGTGCGCATGCAGCGCAAAATGTAACATCCTGCAATGGAAGAGTGTTGAGCTTACTTTTGTCATGTATCTTAGAACAGATGGAGTATTATACGGAATTGATAGAGTACTGAAGTGCCTGTAAAACCTAGCCGACAATGGCCGATTAGGTAAGCAACCTCCACACAGAGTAACATCCTTAGATAGTCAATATTTTATTAATGATAATATGTAAAGAATTAAAGCAATCGTCTACTTACATGTATTTCTTTCCAGAAAAGTTTCTCTCTATCATACAATCCTCCATAATCTTGATACTGGCGAAGTAACTCAATAGGCGGTTGAGCACCATAAACCTCCAGCTTTGGCATATTAAGATCATCTACGAAGATGATAACTCGTTTTCCAGCAGGCGCTCCTAATATTGTTTTTCTCTTCTTTTCCAACTTTCCCTCAATCATCTCCTGAGTTCTATTACTATTAGTTTGAGCGGAGAAATTAAGAAAAACTGGCACATAACCAGATTTCAATCCAACATCATTAAGCATTCCCCTAGCAATTACAGATTTACCAACACCAGTTCCACCGGTAAATAGAACAGATTGATGTACAGATAATAATTTCTCCATCAAAAATCCAAATCTAACAGTATCAACAGTTGGAACTAACATTTCAAAGAATGGAATTTCCTTATTATATTTAAATGGCGTAACAGTACGTTCCCAAAGGTCCATTCTACGCATATCAAAATCTATATAACAACTCCATAAATCTCCAACATTTGGCAACTGAAAGATGAAAAAGGAAAAAAGTTCATAACTTTTTCTTTTAAAAAAAAAGTATATAAAAAATTAAAGAAATAAGGAAAGAGATATTGTTTAAAGAGTTTACTATTAAAGACTAACACAATAATAATAGAGTTCTTTTTTCTGTTTTACTATAATGAAAAGGGAAAAATGGTTTGGAGACAATACCTTTACTACACATGTATAGATATACACAAACATAAATACAATACATATTGCTACATTCTAAACATATTACTAATGTTAATTATGTAGCGGGTAAAGAATATTGGATAGATTCTAATTAATTTTAATATCTAATCTAAACTGGTAGATAATAAATTGTTCTTCTTTTTTTTTCTTGTTATGATATACAATTGAATTAATAATTTTTTAGTAGTAGTTTGTTATTGTTATTGTTTTCTCTACTGTTTTATTAGATAAAGGATTCTAGTAATGAAAATTAACTAGTTAAAAATGATACAAATATTATATATATATATATATATACTGTTACTATAAATAGAACAGTATAAGATACTTGAAAAAGATTATGACATACCGTGCCACCCTGTTAAAATATTAGCAAAAAACGTCAAAAATATTAAAATTAACAGCTAATTTGTTATAAATACTTTCTTCTAATGAATATTCATTATTTAAATATTGTTTTTTTTTGTTGTTAAACAAAATAATATTATAGAAGAACTTAATACAGAAATATTCATTTATTTAAATATAATAATTTCAAGTTAAACGTACCTTAGCGTCTCCTTGATCTTCGAAGATTTGCCTAACATACGTGTCAAAAGCGTCCCAACTATTATGAGATAAGTTACCTCCAATTGACCACATGTAGCTAAATACAAATGTTAGGGCAACAAGTGGATGTAGTTTCCCGATATCCTGTTTCAAGTCTGGACAACCTGGCATCAAAAGTAGCGCTTCGAGAAGTTTACATAGCGTTACGACTTTACTGATATCGACTTGGGGCATTCCCTGAGTACATTTTTTGCTAATAAATTTCAAGCCTTGTTCGACGTATTTGTCAAACATCTCCATGATATATTCCCTAGTCTCTTGTTTGAATTTTTTACCCTTTTCAGTCATCCAAGTTTGTACGTAGGGTAGCCATCCTAATTCCTTTGAATCAATATAAACCATACCGCAACGAGAGACTGTAGCCGGACTAGCTACAGCCAAATCTTGTACTTCAAACAACATATGAATAAACGGTGTCAATTTAATACGTTCCGAATTGGCTAAGCAAAGCATTTTATTATCATCCAATACTGTATTCATATTTTCAATCCATAAAGCATCTACAGGACCGTCGCACACCACCCAGTGATGATCCTCGCTGGTATCTTGGCACGCCTCTCTTACCTTGATGGCCATTAGACCATCATGCCATTCAAGAGTCAATTTATTTATTCCACCATATAATTCATCCATAGTTATTGACTTTGGATTGAGTATATGAAGGTGAACCGGTTGATAAAAAGGATTATCCAATCCCTCATCAACTAAATTCTCAGCAGTTTTTGCGAGTGTCTGTAGAAAATTTAAATAATTTTTAATTATTTATCCAAAGCAAAATAATTAATTCGATAATCAATATTCATAAAAAACTGGAATGGAGAATAAGAATCAATAAGGATGCTTTTATTCTCCTCATTCAAAAGGATTCTAAAAGCTAGAGGAAGCTTAAACTGTTTGAAATTAGGAATCGAAATACAAATAGATAAATATTGAGAGGAAGATTGAAAGAGAGAGAGAGAGAAGAATATAGTATAGTTTAAAAATCATCTCTGAGAGATATTACTAATTAATATTTTACCTTTAACCTCGATAGGCCATTAGCCAACATCTGTGATATTTAAATATGTACTTATATATATTGTGCATTAAAAAACAATGTGACAAAATGCATTGTATGCTCTTTTAATCATTCACACATTAAGCGTTTATAGAATATTATAATATGGAGAAATTTACCCGATAAACAGTTGATTTTCCACCTCCAGCAGGTCCAACAAGCATAACTCCGTGTCGAACCAACATCGTTTCGTAAAATTGAATAATCTATTTATAAATTGAATTATACTTATTATAAAAAATATTGAAAAGATGATAAAAACCTTTTTCGTTTGAGAATCAACAACTTGTAAGCCAGCATCGGCTGTTACGTATTCAATTTCCTTTTGGAGGCGACCATAATCGTGTTCGGGGATGTCTACTCCAGGGAATAAATCTTGCAATATGGCCTAAATAATAAAAAATCATATAATTCATTAAAAATAACATATTAACGAATAAATTTGTTAAATTTCAATCAAACCTGGAAAAGAATGGCGTCTTGTTGAAGGAATTTTGGTAGATTGGAATCTCTAAGAGCTCTGATTAGAACAACATCTTCTGATTTATCGGGATTTTGTCTTTTAAGCGAACCTGCCATAACCAAAACAGATTTTACTGCTCTCATACCGAAATCGTAGTGATCTTGTTGCGAAAGTTGTTCCGAGCATAATTTATACATTTGCGTCATTTTTTGAGCCAAAGTTTTTGAATCTTCAAAACCTTCTGAATAGAGGATAACCTCAGCAATTAAACCTGTTAACAGACAATTCTTGTTTGATCTATTTATGAATTTCTTTTGATGTTAATATTGTTAACGTACGATAATCCGGTACCATCATAGCGATTGGTCTGAAAAGTGCTTTTAAGTTATCAGGCAGTTCTGTACGCCCAGCGTAACCAGGGTTCATAGTGATAAACGCTGCGCAAGATTGGACTAGCTTGATTTCTCTACCTTCAAACATGAATTTGGCGAGCTAGAAAGTTAAATTTAATCATTAATCGAGCTAATTAATTAAAGTGTTAGTTGTCTCATACCTTGCCCGCTTTAGCATTACGGATAGTGATCAATTGTTGAGCGATTACAGATAATACTTCAATATCAATACGGTTAAATTCATCAAAACAACACCAAGCTCCAGATTGGGCGAGACCGGAAAAGAAACGTCCCATCATTTTATAATCTAAACCATCTGAGCAATTGAAAACGACGCATTGTTTCGCTAAACTTTTAGCCAAATCTTTAGTAGTTTCTGTCTTTCCTGTACCTGCTGGCCCGGCTGGGGCACCTCCCAAATCCAATTGTAAAGCTCCCATTAAACATAGGTAGCATCTATCCGTCAAGGGTGTTATAACCAACCTCGGAGAAGCTCCTAAATATTCGTATCCATATATGTAATAAGAACTTGACATTCTTACAACGCAATCATCTACATCAGCTTCCCAATAGTATCTTAGCTGCTTTTGCCATTCGAAATCATTTGTACTATTTACTTTGGAATGAACCATACCAGTTACCATATCTCTAGCATGTACATCGATTGTGATGAGAGCGCATAATATAGCTCTCTGTAATTTGGTCATATCACCTCTTACTATAGCAGCCATTTTGTTCAAATCTTTGAAATTCTTTTGTTCAAATTCCTTTAGAGTATTAGTATCAAGAGCTTGTGTTGCTTCCTTACACCAGAACATTTGGGAAACTGTAAGTACAATTTGGGAGCAGTGTTGAGCGACCCAATCCTCTTTGCTTCGGTTTTCATAATCGGTAATAGCAGCTTTCGTTAACAATCTTAGGTTTTTGTACATAGCTTCTTCTACTTTACCAAGCCAATCTTCGACATTTCCTCTTGCTCTTTGACCAGGTCCTAACGACACTCGTTCCCCTTCTGGTGATATCATTGCATGAATATCGTTAGTGTATGTAACTTCATCATCTCCAGCTGGAGGAGGCACTGGTCCATCGATATCTCCACCTTCCGATGATCTTTCAGTTTTCTTTTCAACAACACCGAATTCCAATTTGGCGATTGCGTCGAAGCATTTTCTGAGATGCGGTTGTACAGCCAATGGATTTCTTGTTTGCGCCAAAATTTCCAATAATTCATCATTTGATAAAAAGTAAAATCTTGGGAAGATAACTCTTTTGGATTCCAAATAGGCTTCCAAACATTTTTGAATCTGATCGAGTAGGGCATTATTCTGTCTAAACGTTTCCAGCATACCTGGAACTGCTGTAATTCTCATTGCCAATGGTACCTTATGAACTTTACGCATAATATCCTTGTAGCTCTTGTCAACTTGATTAAACATTTTTGCCTCTGCAGGAAGTTGTCTAGCTATGTCGGGAGCCGAAAAAATAGATTCCAGATAGAGCCATTGTCTTTGGCAATTTAACCAATCTTCCAGGGTCTTTCCGAAAAGATCCAGTTGCTTTATCCACTCATCAACTTTTGGTTTTATTGGTCCAACATGTCTAGAACTGGAAATAGTTTGAATGTTTATGTTGCTTTCGTCCAAAAGAACTTGAATATCATCCGTACCACCAAGAATATAAACTTCTTTCTGGTCTTTGTATGGTAGTACAACGAATTCCGTTGCCTTCCAAGAATCTTCTACCTTTTTCAGTAGTCCCTCCAATCCAGCTTCCGAGCTGGCTTGTCCTGAGATTTCCTGTATGGATTCTGTATGTCTGAAGGCATCAATCTCCTCCAATCTCCCTAACGTTATAGGCTCTTCATCAGTGAAATTATAATCCAAAACGCTTTCAATCATTTCCCAATGTCTCTTCTTCAAATTCGGATTTCTCAAGTCAGAAATAACAGGTAGTTTTTCTCTCATAAGATTTACTTTGTTTTTAACCAAAGGAACAACTCCATTTGGAGGTAAACCTTTTTCCAATTGGACAACTGTTTTACCATATTTGGTAGTAGTAGCTGTTAAAGTTTCGGGATCAAGTTCTTCGAATTTCGCATCAGTCCATTCAGAGACGCAATTTTCCCATTCTTCTAGAGAATCCCACAAAAGTTGCTTCAACTTCAACTCTGCGTGGACTTCTTCTAGTTCTTCGTATTTTGTTACTTCTACTTTAAAGTTCTTTTGATATGACTTGTAAAGAAAAGCTTTCTGTTGTAATTCTTCCATGGTCTTGTGCATTTTTAATAGGCTGGCTTTAACTTTATCCCTCTCGGCTTTAGGATCAAGAATCATAGGATTTTGAGATTCCTGTTTAACTTCCTTCAATTCCTTGTTTAAGTCTTCAATATCTTTGTCTAAATGTTTACAGAATTTGTCAACATTCATATCTCTTTCCGCAAGTGATTTATCTATACTGTTGAGTACGTTATTGATAGACGGGTTTAGTGTCTGAAGAAGAAAAGGGAAATTTTAATTTATCATTGAATTATTAATTTACAATCAGTGATGTTTACTTGAAATACTGCAAAATCTTCTGGAGGTGTGGGAACTTTAAATTTTTCTATCAATTCATACATTTCAGAGACAATTTGAGCCTCTTTTTCCAAAGGACCAATCTAAAATATTGAAAATATTTAACCATGATAGTTTTCGATGACTATATAAAATACTAACTCTCTCTTGTACAGTGTCCAGGAAATTAAGACTGTCCACATATTCAACAGTCGAGGTTGGAAGGAATTCAAGCTTGTATTGAGCATCTTGTAACTCGGCAATTAATCTATCCACTTCCTGTCTGGCTTTAACTGGTAATATATCATTTACAACTTCCAAACAGCGTCTAGGTGAAGGTGCTAATTTCTCTTTCATTGCAGTTGCATCAACCAACAACAATCCGAGTAGGCGTTTCTTAATAATAACTTCAACCATTTTTTCTTGACGGTGATATTTAGCCAGAGAAGAGGCGAAGAAATCAACATCTAAAGAAATGAAAAAGGGAACAAAATATGAATATCTGATCTATAATCAAATGAAAGAGATCCAGTGACACTCTATGAATATTTAAAACATTTCAATTGACAATGATAATAGATAAAATAATTATATAAAAAGGTGTGAAGGAAGGCATGCTCTGCTACAGATGCTCCTTATTTCTCAAGAAATATGTGAGCCTTACGTAGTAGATAAAGAGCCATAATCCAGAACTAGAGATTAGAAGGGGAACATTACAAAGTTTTTGTTTGCTTTTGTTTTTGTTGTAACATTCATCTTTACATTTAAGGAGAGATCAAAAGAGAAACTATAGTTTTATATATATATACATATATTACGAACAATACATGAACTTTTAAGGGGTACAAAACAGCTAAAATCTCACCATCTTTTGATAAAATGGCTAAATAATTGATTAAATATAATAATGATATACTGTATATCTAATAAAAAAAGATTTTAGCTTACCGTGGTTTTCTCTTCTTATGGCATCCAAATCCAAACTTTCATTTTCCCTAAAGAAATGTCTATATTCTTGGAAAGTATCAGCGTAACTATTTGCGGAATTAAAGGCTGCCATTAAAGCATCTCGAATATTTCCTATTCTATCTTGCAAGTGTTTATCATCTTCAAACATAGCCTCCAGACCAGGGCCATCTCCGCAAGTTTTTTCTTCAAATTTACTATTAATTAATGGTCTTGTAAAGGCATCAAAATAATTATCAGGTACCAAATTTTTTACATCGAGTACACAAGATTGAAATTCATCGATAACTTTCTTAATTTCATTCTGAAATTTATCTTCATCCGGTTGAAAAATAAGATTTGCTGGTTCTATGAAAAATTCAGTGAGGAAAAGTGGAGGAACTAAATGAGCTCCTTCTTCTTCTTCTTCGTTAGCTGCTGGAGCTGTTTGTGGTTTTTGCCTAGCACTTTGTTGTCTAACTTTCGGAGGTTCATCCTCTGATCGTGGTATGGCATCCTCTTCAGTAATGACGGGATGTGTGGACTAAAGTTTGAAAAAGATACTGATTAACCTTATTAAACATGTATAATAATAAAAATTGATAATTTACTTGAATTTCTAAAAGGCTTGGCGTATTTTCCAATTGTTCTTTAAGATAATTCAACAAAGTTTCAACAGAATTTACAGCAAGAACATGCATAGTGTTGACAATTAGGTAGTCTGCTAATCTTATGAAGCTACAAAGAAGAATGTGAAGAGATTAGAGGAAGATGCTAGATAGTTAATATTTATAACAAACCAGGTCAATCTCTTGCAATGAGATCTTTTATTTGCTTGTTCAGTGTAGGTCATCTTATCCGGAGCTTCGCCATAGATATCCATATCATAAACGCTATTCTGAGCATAATAACTAGAAGCTGTTCCTGGTATTCCTCCTTCTATAAAGAATAGAAGCATGTTAATGGGAAATTTGATATAGTGTACACTAAGAATTCTTTACCCATGCCAGGACTCTCGGAGGAGTCGTAAAAATAATCATCCGGAGTAAAACCCGCTTCTAGTAAAGCAGTTCTACAAGCTGATCTAACAACTTCTTTCACAAGTTCACGGAATTCTTTTAGACGTTCAGAGACTTCTTGTAACTGGTTATGTTGAGCGGAGCAGAATTCGTCCAATCTATAAGTGTGTCCCTTTTCGACCTTACACAAGCCCATATCGCTGATACGATAGCACATTTCACGGACATTTAAAAGTGCCGGTCGTAATGACTATTAAATATATAAAAATGGATTTAGATAAGAAAGAGAACGTTTTTTCATTAAATCTCTCTACTCACAGAATTGACAATAAATAAATTCTCCGTTAAAGCCTTCTTACAATCCTTAACTTTCGTTGTTCTAACGTTATTACGCCAAACTGTGAATGCTTTCCACTTGCGGAATAATTTGAAAACTGGAATTTTAACAAGCCGCTGAAAATATTTATATTCTTGTTCCCATCTATCTAATGGTGTAAATTCAGTTTCATCATCTGCTCTCATCCTTATAACACCTTTCTGACTGATTGTACAATGGTCTTCTTTACTGGCTTTCTCATGTTCACAGATTCTATTTTAGTGTTTTTTAATGATTATTTAATTATATCATATTCTTTATGAAACTTACTTTAAATTATAATAATGATAATCTACTGAATCCTTGCTCACTGCAGGAGTTAAATAAAAGAATCCAACAGAAGGATTCTTCCTGATTATCTCAATGATTTCTAATGGTTTGTTCAATCCGTTGTAATTTGTTCGAACTATATTTAATTTTCTTATTAAAAATCAGATAAAATAATTTTATTAAAGTACACTTACACGACGGATATACTTGCGCTGGTTTACTAGCCGAATCGGCGTGGCCAGTTCCTCTGGGTGTTCTTGCCGGAGGTGGAGGAGGTGGAGCCGGTGCTAAGACTGATACAGGCCTTGGAGTAGTTAGTTCATCCTTTTTAAAAAATATCCCATATTAATTTTAATTATCATTCAATTAAGTGAAAAGGCTTTTTTTGACTAGTCTCACACAGTGATAGGGAGGATATATTAATACAGTTTTGTGATTATTATTATCATTGTTATTATTATACCTTTTCTAAACTCATAGATTTTTCTAAGTCAGACTGTGTTTTAATGATATTTATTAATGATTTAAATATTCTTTGTACAATATATCTACCTGTTTCCTTTGTAGTTCTTCTGGAAGTCTAGGTGGGGGTGTAATGATTGAATCTCTCAGTGGCTCAACTGCTCCAATCTTTTTCCTCTTCTGATAAGGTTCGTCATCTTCTGTTGTACTATAATCCTGTTCTAGTAGCTTTTCCTTGGCCTTCCTTTGTATATACTCTGGACTTTGTTGATTTTGATAGCTTTGCAATTGTGGCAAGGGTTCCAATTTTGCAGCTGCGGGTATAGCAGCGCTACGCAATTGCGCTTGTGTCGGTCTTTGAAAAGTTAATGATCTGGATGGCGTTTCTCTTATACCTTCTGGTTTTGAGCTCAGTCGTGATTTCAGTTGTAATGACAACGATAAGTTGTTTGTCTCTCTTGGAGGATGGGGTTTTCTTTTCTCAAATAAAGCACTTTCCCCATTCATTTCTATAATCTATTTATGATGAGCTTTGTTTTAACGCATAAGAATATTTAAATATCCAATTAATATATCGAAATGAAATCTTTCACTTGTCACTTGGTTATTTAGATGAACTAAGAAGAAAATTCATCGAAATTATGTTTCAATAAGTTTTCCGCCATAACACAACTATGGTTGCTGAGCGACAAATAAACTGGTTGAACACCTAAAGTTGATGTAGCATGGTTACGAGCTCCCAACTACCAGGTATTTTCGATATCAAGCGTTGATCAAGAATCCTCGTCCTTTTCCGCTTCCGCTTTGATATAAGATGGTATGTACTAGTGATATTTTATAAAATCTACCTAAATCTTCTCTATTTTAAAGTTCTAATATACAAGTCGTATATGTTGATTTCAAAACATATTTGATCTTTATATTAAACCTAAAATATTATGAGATATGTTTGTAATAAAGTCGCATCTTTTAATGTAGACGAAAGGAACCTCGAGTTTCGGTAAGCGGCACAACAAGACCCACACCATTTGTAGAAGGTGTGGCCGAAGTGCTTATCATATCCAAAAGAAGGATTGTGCAAGCTGCGGATACCCGCAAGCCCGAAAACGCTCCTTCAACTGGAGTGAAAAATCCAAGAGACGCCGAACAACTGGAACTGGACGTATGAGACACCTCAAGAAAGTTCAACGTCGATTCAACAATGGTTTCAGAGAGGGAACCGTCCCTAAGCCACGCAAGGCTAAGGTTCAGGCCGCCAGTGCTGCTAAATAAATTTGTTTGCAGTTGGATGTTTCAATACAAATGAAATGAAAACCAAGAAAGGAAAATAGTGTTGTTTTTAATAACGATCCATTGCTTTCACTAATTAATAGCATAGAGATAAAAGTACCAACGGAATATTTAGCGGTAACTATATATTTCTATGAAAAACACTAGCCGCCGACGAACTTCCCTTTAAACATAGACAAGCAATAGATAAACTCGAAACTAGGCTAAATTTTTCTCAACTTATATTCTGTTCAATACCACTAAAACATTTATAATTTAACTAAATAAAACAGGCAACACTGAAATGAAAACATTGTTCACAAATCTTTACAAAAGAATATAATGTAGTAATGTTTATGAAAAGTTCTTATAAGAATGTATGTTGCTTAAACAGCTTATTCTTTATCTTTCTCAGACATGTAAGCATCCAATTCGTGATCTAAAGCCGATTTTGTACTGCCCATGTATTGATCCAACTCCTTATCCAAATCTTCTCTTGTGACATTCTTTGCTCCACCACGTCCTCTTCCTCTACCTCTACCTCCTCTACCTCTACCTCTTCCTCTGTTTAATTCGAAAATGAATCCCATATTTTCAATTTTTCCAAATTTCGGCATTTTTAATTTGTATTACCTAAAAGAGCCTCGTCCTCGTTGTCCTTGTCCTCTTCCTCTGGGTCTCCCACCACCCCTCTGGCTGAAGCCCCTACCACCACGAACCTCTCCTCTGCCTTTAGGATGGAAGTTTGCCCTATTATGGCCTCTAAATACGCCAACGCCACGTCCTCGGAAACCTCGACCACGACCTCTTCCTCGCTTAGCTAGTAATTTAGCTTTAGCTTTTAGTAATAAATTTTTTTTTAAAGGGTTTCCAAGTCTCTGCTTCAGACTTTTCTACAAAAATAAAATAAAAAAGCCTTGATAATTTGACGATTGATCCCATGATCAGCAGTGGTTAAAAATGTTGCCAGGGTATAAGAATTATTTCCAAAACGGTAACACAGAATTTTGTTCACACCTTTTTTAATTTTAATGCAGCCATTACAGCAGGTCTGTTCTCCATTTGCAACGCCAATCTCTTGTTCGCCCTGCTTACATTTAAAGCAGCTGATAGCCTTTGACGAACACCTCGAGCATTGCCAAAATTTCCAGCGGATTGTAGATTACCTCTTGGAGTAACAGTCGCTGCCGGAGGAGTCTTTATCGAAGAGAATCTATTTGTTGTTAAAAATTTCCTTGTTTCCTTTTTTGTCTCATGTCGTTTTTTATTTTAAGTAAATTTTTTATCTCACCGATCGTTCAGGGTCATTTTAGTTGTATTACGCAAAACAATTCTTTGTGGAGCCGACATTTCCAGTTTTTATCTACTGCTTAAAAGAGAAAAAATCATCGATGACGTAGGCAAGAATGAGAAAACATCTCTCATCTCAGAAGTTTCTATCAATTATAAGGTATCTTACTAACCGAACGACAGCTATAGCGGTAATTGAATAATTATACGGAGTGCCTTTTTGACAATTGTAGAGCTAATATAGTAAAAAAGAAAAAATGAATTGCGCCCTAGTCAACAAAAAAAATGGCGTAAAGTGTACAGGTAGTAAGGCTACCGGAAATGCTTTGTACTTCATTTTTAGAAGTGGATACCTAATCCATTCTAGGCGGGAAAGTTTAAAATTCAAACAGTCCAGAAATAAAGTTTTCCAATAAAGACTAAAGCAAACACGTGATGTATAATTTCAGATGTTTTTATTATCAACAAATACACAAAATGCATCGCAGAAATAAATCAGCCAAAATAATGCAGAAAATATATCTAATAACGTACAAGTGCCATTGCATTTACCTATTTAGAAAACCTGATTGTTCTTCAATTTCGATCCGATATTTGTCAAAAAAAAATTAAAATGTAAAATAAACAGAATTTAAATTGTTTCAAAAAATGAAAATTGCTTTTAAATTCAGTAACTAGATTCCTTTACAATTAAATTGAATCAGAATTAAACCCAACAACAAAATCAGGATCAATTACACTTAGACCTTCTTGATCGGGTAAACCAACTGAAGGTGCCAGCTGAACAGTATCATTTGCAAACACTAACGATTGTGGTATGTTATTGCCAGCGCTGACTGGTACAGCATGAACAACTATATGGTCTCTTAAACTGTTGGCTGATGTAGTTAATAGGCCTAAGGCGCTATTGGCAATTAAGAACTGCTGCTGTTGAACAGTTGAAGGGGTTACAACGATTTCATTTTCGATTTCTTCGTGCTTCTCCTGCTCTTTATCACAATCTGCTTTTTCCTTTTCCTCCTCGTCATCATCTATTATAACATTTTGATCGAAAACAATGTTACTTTGATCTAATATAATCGATTGATTGAGTGAGGTTGTTTGGTCTAGGAGAACAGCATTGTCAATAAGTGGCGGAAGCGTTGGTAAAGTTAGTATTGATACAGTTTGAGATGTGTCACTATCGTTTTCACTTGACAACCTATTCCCTAGTGATGATTGAGAATTAGTTAATCTTGTTTGCAATTGCTTTTTAACGTTTTCAATTAATTGGGGCAGTTTCATGTCTGAGTAAGCATTAACGTGTCGCTTAAGAGACCACCATTTGGCTCTTAACCATTGAGGGCTTCTTGCGCTGGGCCAGTCTTGAAATATAGCAGTCCAATTTACGTCATTATCATTGTCGACTTTCAAATGTTGCAGTATATCGAGTAACTTTAGATCGTCATCTCTAGACCATTCTTTACCGCCGGAGTGTTTCCAGGAAAGGTAATTTAACCATTTCGTCCTGCACTGCTTCTCCGATCGCGATTCAACTTTATCAGCAACTTTTGCCCATTCAATACCGTGAACTGCAGGAACGCCTGTAGTCTGTCCTTGGAGTTCCTAAGTTTTCAATAATATCTTTTTGAATGGGGGAAAAATAGAAAATCTAACGAATACATTACCTGTATTGCTTCTACTAGGCGTGCTTCCTCGTCAGGCATCCACTTGCCCGTGTTGCTTTCTCGAAGAAGGCGCATTTTATCTTTAACAGATGAGGCGCTTCTGCCCATCTCCTGCCCAATTTTCGACCAGTCTTTACCATACTTTGTTGTGAGCTTTCTTAACCGGTCAACCTCCTCCTTTGAGTATTTTCCCATATGATTTTTCTTGTCATACATTCTCAATAATCGCCTATAAACGGAGAAAAGAGGCCTCTCCAAGCCTTTAGCACACTGGCGATAAAAATCTTTCCTCTCCTCCTTCTGCATGTCAAAAATTACCCTAGTAGGGTCCGTAATAGAATTTTTTTCACAATACTTTTCGACATTTTCCTTAAGAATGTTAACTTCATCTTTCGTCCACTGACCAGTTTTCCAATTTTGGCCCTGACCTTTACGAGATTCTTTGTCATCTTTGGAAGTGAACCAAGCCTGTGTTATATCAACATCCGTTGAGGAAGCCTGAGTTTTCTTTTGATGATTTGAATCCATTTCGACTTCGCATTCTTGCTCAATTTCTTCCACACTCTGAACATGAATACAAATACGGTTTCCACCCCTTTCAATATATTCAACATCATCATTTGACTTAGGGACTATGACTTCAATATTGTCCATCTAAAGAAAAAGTAAAAAAAGGAAATATTTAATATATTAATAGGGAAATCAAACGTTTAGATAAATCCTCTAGACTAATTAGAAGATAAACTACTATAATAAATATTTGTTAGGAAAATGAATTATAATATTTTATATCCAGATTAATAAGATAAATATAGTTTTATCTAGTGTATTAACATTTTTACTATACAAAAAGCTTATTTTTTCGTTTTTAATCAAGACAAATATATAAAGATTATAAGTTTTCCTTCCCAAATTTAATAGCAAAACTCTTAAAACATGCCTTAATTAAATGAAACTGAAAAAAAAAAATAGAAAAACAGGAAACAAAGAAAAGGTCAGGTAGAATTTCTTTCTCCATTTTTTAAATGAAACCCTTAATATGTTAGTTCATAAATAAAGTTTGTTCCTTATCAAATAATTTAAATATATAGTAAATTAAAAACAAAACAAAAATAAAACAACATAGTAGTCAACTACGTCATTTCTTTAATGTGGTTTGTTTATTGTACTACATTTTTTCCTTCCTGCAATATAATATATATATACAGTATACATGTTAACTGTTCAATATAAAATCTTATCGATATCTATTCTAGTTTCTTATTACAAAACGATTTAATGATGCGTTATTTTTCTTATTTTCTTCCTGTGCTCTATATTCTCTCTCCCTCTCTCTCTCTCTTTCTCTCTCTCTCTCTCTCTCTCTCTATATATATATATATATATATATACAGTATATATTTATATACAATAGGTATAAACAAATCACCAATTAAACCTAAAATTAAACCTAAAAGTAATTGAAAATTAATTTCCATTTGATATCCATGTTTTAGAGCTTTTAGATAAGAAACTAACTTTATTAGATATTATATTAGAATCACCTATTGCGTAATACTTCGTGATATTTTCTGGTTTCTTTAAGCAATTGATTATGAAGAAAGCGTTATAGAGTGGTACAGTAATATTATACCTACGAATATATGAAGATAAAATATTCGATTCATTGTTTGTCTGAAAGTCGATCGATTTTAGGGTGAAAACTTGGTTGAAATGATTTAATTATATAATCACAATATTCTATCCATTTGAAAGATGTTGAAATTTACTATTTATAAAATAATGGAATTTATAGATTTCATCTTTTTTTAAGAATTATATAAATCTTTATAGATTATTTTCTAGAAGTCTGCAATGTACTGCAAAACTTCCTTAGAATAGGTGAAATATTGGACGTCTGCCAAAACAGTGCTGGCAGACATCACATCAAATGGCAAACACAAATTTCTTATCGAGATAAAAGACTGTCATAGAACGAAAAAGTGAAAAAAAAACAATAAATCAATTTTAGAATTCTGATAGCACTCACGAGGCCAAAAAAACCGTGTTTTCGTCCGGGCAATTCGCGAAGTACCAGGATGGCGTAGTCGCGTAGGAATACAACTGAAAAATCTACTTTTAGGCCTAGCAACTCAAGAAAACAAGTCCCAAGAGTACTAAATTTGGGGAAAATGTACGATTGCTTAAATTAGTTATTTTAATAATTTTCTTTTACTGTTTTTAACTAAATTTATTTATAAGCGTAATAAATATTTGTTTTCCGACTTTCCGCGGTGGCGGGGGGTTTCATAATTGGAACAGCGTATATATATATACATATATATATATATGCATATATATAGATAGATATTAACCAATTGGTAGCTAACAAATATAAAAATAAAAGTATACGTTGAAGGAAAAAAAATTAAAAGTCCTTAACATTTACGTGCTTTTTAAATGATAAAAAACTTAGTTTTAATGATATATTTTTAACGCGAGGATGTTAATTGAAAGCAATAGCAGACACCATAACCGGAAATAGCCTACTCTACTGATTAATTTCGTTCGTTTTCGCTCAATTCGACAAATAGTAGATTGCCATTTGTACTTAAAATTTAATTTAAAGTACGAAACTATTTTAAATTTATATGAGATATTACTCAAACTTAATCTTGTGACTTTAAATACATAGACAAATCCCTTAAATTTCAGGGTCATGGCACTGACTAAGAAAAGTGCAAAGGAATATGAAAATATCTCCATTGATGATTTGCTTGAGCAGCTCACTGAAGAGGATATAGAGAAACTAAACCAAGAGCTATTCGATCCGGACGTATGTAATTTTTTTTGCCTTTGCGATCTACTTTAATAAACGCTTTTATGACCAGGATTCAGATATTCCTGCAAGGGACAGATGTGCTTATAAATTGGACAAATCTCCATCAGCTAAGTTTGATAGAAAAAAGTTATTAGAGCATTTGGAAAAGACTGCTAAGGAGGATAAAGATTGGCCTGAAAATAAGCCCTATACAGGCGAAAAAAGAGGTAAAAGAGTACTAGAAAAAAAAGCAATCGTTATTTGTATTTAATTTCGCATTAAGCAAATAAAAAATTATTTGTTATCAAAGTATTAGGAATTATTCAAAATTACTATAGGTCTATTCTTTGTACTGCGTTCTCGTTTCATTTTACTGTGTAAAATCAAACACTCTGATCTGTTTACACTTTAGTTATCTCCACTCTCATCTTCTTTAAGCCTAGATAAACTACCTTTTACAAATTCTTAAATTCTATTCTTTATAGGAAAAGTATGGCAACCAAAGGAACAAGAAATCAAGGATTTAGATGAGACTGAAAACGATTTTAACGATGAAATGTGGGAAGCTGTTAAGGATAATGCAACTGAAGAGGATTTAGTAGAAATTGCTGGTAAGTAACACGTTTTCTGTTTGTTTATTTATTGTTCTTTATAAAAGAATATTTTGCATTTTTATAGCTTTACTCGGTATACCGTCCCTGATCAGTCAAACCCAGTATCATGCCGCAGTCGTCGGTGGTGACAAATCTAATATCGACTCGACTGTGAAAGGAGGTGGATTTCATAGTAAGTGATTTATACATATTCTATATATTTTCAGGTTCCATTTGTATTAAGTAAAAGCATTTGTAAAATAAGAACAAGGCGTAGTTTCAAATGTTCATAAACAATGAAAAGGAAAATGTATTTGGTTTTTATTTTCATCTTTATCCCTGTATTTGTGTAAATAGGTGTGGCAAAACATGAAAATTTCAAGCTTTTCGATGAAGATCCTCATAATAATACCAATGTTGAAGAAGCTCTTGAAAATATAAAGGCTAACGATCCAAAAACAACAACTATTAACTTAAACAACATTACTGTAAGTATTCAAGTGTTGTTTGGAAAAATTTTATTATGTTTCATTGTTTTTTTTTTAAAGAAAATATCAGAAGAAAGATTAATTCTATTCGCTGAAGCCTTGAAAACAAATACGAAGTTGGAAAGATTACAAATGAGCAATGTTAGAATGACTGATAAAGTTGGTGCTGTTCTGGCCGAAGCTCTGAAAGAAAATAATAATTTAATAGAATTGAATGTAGAATCGAATTTTCTATCTGGAAAATGTATTCTTCAGCTGGTTAAAGCCATTAACGAAAATGGAACTCTAAAGGAATTACGAGTTATTAACCAGGTTCGTAAACAGTTTCACAATACGAAAAAATTAGATAATTTATTAATATGTCGAATTGATGAAACTACAGAGAGCGCAAGTTCTCGGAAATCAGACGGAAATGGCTATTTCCAAAGAGATTGAAAAGAATAAAACCATACTAGCCTTTAATATCGAGGTAGCGGCTACTGACGCAAGAAATAGAATTGCAAATAGCCTTCAAAGAAACGTAGACGAATCAAGTAAGTTTATTACAGTAGAAAAAATACTAGTTAAATCAACATATATATCTTTATTTTCAGAGAGAGTCACTCGTATATCGAAATAGGTAACAACTTTACGAAAAAGCTGAAGAATGTAATTGAAACTTTCTCACCCTATTATGCTTTATAGAAATTATTTTCTAGTCCCATTTAGTTAATTCTTTTTTATTTGTAAATTTAGATATATTACTATTATTATTGATATTAATGTTATTAATACTTCTCTATTGAGCGTCTAAACTGCAAGTTTTTTATCGCTTTTGCCTTCCCCTCTTATTCCCATTCCTTTACTAGCTGAGATTGCATTATTAAGGAAACACAATTATCCCCCTCCCTTCCTATTCAATTTAACCAATGAATCATATTCAACAAATGTGTGCTTGATTTTATCTCCTTAAAAGAAAGAAACAAAAAAAAATACTCTATTTATAGAGATATTTTTGAATAATCCCTTGAGTTTAGTTAGTTCTGTAAACTTTTTTGAATGTAGCTTAGCTATAACAGAGAAAAAAAAGTAACTGCAGTTGAAAAGAAAAAACGTATCTGATAATAATAATGAAAAAGAAAATGAAAAAAAGAATTGGTTCTTCTCCTTTTTTTTGAGCTTATTTCATATCGTATCGAATTGTGTCACTTTTTGTAAAATATACTATGCGGAGCTTTTACCTTTTGTTGATCGCGTTTACCTTTGCTTATTTTTTTTTTATATAATAAATCTCATCACAAATCTATTATGCAGTATTCCAGATATTTTTCAATTTTAATAAATAAACTCTTTATCATTCAACCCAAAAGAATGAAGTAGTATATTATATGTAATTTATTATTGTTTCTTTTATATATTTAAAGATCTATTATCAATCAATAAAATAATCTTTAATAACGACTAGTCAGGTTCATTTTAATATATTCACTTATAATTGGATTTATTAGATAAGATTAAACGGATAGCATAATAAAATGGAGATAATCTATTGAAATTTGTTTTCATGTAAATAATGAGTAACAAATTCTTAACGCTAAATCGATCTGATATCCTATATATAGATATAAAGACTATAAATTCTACGGCATACTCTTTAAATGTTATCTTATCGCTGATTGGTCGAAAATATTACCTGGTTATGAATAGTTAAGAGATTAGCCGCTTGTTGCAGTGTTTGCGAAACAGGTAGTCAGTCACTCACGTGAACTTGACTGCGGGATCAGGTACGTCGACAAGAGGTCAACCGATTTGTATTGAAATGATAAAATATTTTATTGAAATAAGAGATCGTTTAATATCAATTATCACATACAAGATACCTACAAAATCTTTGCGTATAACATTTTGATTATCAATTTTAAATAAAATTACGTTAGGTTTACTACTAAATGTTTTAGTAATGCTAAAACAATTGACACAATATAAATAAGATAAAGAATAAAGAAAAGCCTGATTTATTGTGTTGATAGAAACATATATTAATTCTCTACGATTTTCTTCTAGAGGTTAAGCACCTGAATTTTTTCACCTTGAAAAGCGGCCCATGGTTATATGATTTGGAAACATGCTTATCAGATTAGGCAATTTTATTGCCCTATTTCATTATATATACATAAGTTAATTTTTCAATACTGTAAAAGTTAGAGATTATTAGTAGTTAAATACACAGTATGTTGATAATATACTGTATTTGTGTTATAGTAGTATTTCTATTTTATAGATAATCTATAACATTATAATCTATAATAGCTGATTTCATCTGTATAGTCCAGATTTCAAGCATTTCCCTATTTTAGAGAAGAACAAAAATGATCACAAATGATGATGAAGATACAATGTACGATGATGGCGATATTGGATATAGCTCTCAAGTTTCCTCAAGTTCCATCTGCTCAGCTGATGGTCAAACAAACGGCTTTATTGAAGCCGTTGCCTCATCTTTGGTAAAACCTCCAAAGCAGATAAAAACTATTTATCTCGAAGAAAGTTTATCAAAGGATAAGAAGAAGAAAATAATTTCTGATTGGCTGCATGAGTGCTATTCAATATGTTTCTATGGAATTGTTTCGACAAATAGTGGAAAATTTTCGCATGTGTATCTGTTAGAAGTAGACAAGCACTCGAAGACTTGGTCCTATATCGATTCATTGTTTAGCGAGGAAGAACAAAAATTTTTAGAGGAGGTGTTCGAGTCCTTTTCTCAAGAAACTACTGAAAAATTGCATTATTCGCCTAAGCCTGCCTATCAACAGCGTTTAAATTCATACGATTGTGGAATTTTATTATTAATTTCGCTTGAACAAGTACTTATTGGCGAATCTCCACCAACTTCCATATCGCAAGAGCTTATTAACAAAAAAAAAGAGGACTACAAGGAAAAATTTGGATTAAGTTGTGGCGTTCAACTTGCAGAGGAGTCTAACTATGATATGGCTAATTATGACGTTAATGATATAGAAGCTAATAACGAGAGCTAAGCAATTCAAAATTAAGTTGTATCATCAAAAGAAAAATGTCTTTTTCTTTAAAAGATGTTAGATATTTTTCAGAGTGTTTGGCATATTAGCAAATATGATCAAAATAATAAGAAATTCGAATTTAGTTATATTTGTAGACAGCTCATATTAATACAATGATTTGACAAACAACATGACTTTATTTATATTTAATACATTAATTTAGTCTATATATTTTTAACGCATGAAAGTAGACGCTAAGAGACAACTTTTACCGCGGTACTTGACGAATTTGGTTGACTTGTTGTCGCAACTCTAGAATGTGTTGTAAATATCCTTCTAAATCGTTTATAAAATAATTTATTAAAGTAGGCAAACAAGAAGAAATTTGCTGCGGAATTAAAACAAACTAGATTATAGGCAAAAAAGGCGAAATAGTAAAATACATGACCACAAGTTAGCATTTGTTTAATATACAAACCTGACATAATTAATCTTATAATTTCGAAGAAGAAAACTGTTATAAATAATATATTAACGGCTAATAGAGATCTTGTTAGGTATCTAGAATTTTTTAGACGCCTTAGACATATTTCTGAATCATCAATTTTCTTCGTTAAAGACTTGATAGTTATTACAGTCAATACGAGAATAATAAGAATGGGCAAAACTATGACTAGTAAATTATGGCCTACTATCCTATATAATATTCCATAGTATTTATTTTTAGATTTCAGTGTAGTCGCCTTTAATTTATAGACATTCAAATTTGGGTCAAATATAACAATAAATTCGAATCTTCTACTAATACAATAACATCCTGATATGATCATTAATATAAATACGCATATACACAATTTATTAACAGTTATACGCTTTAGAAACATTGGCTTACATACTGCTATGTATCTTTCAATTGATATTAAAACAATAAGCCAACTTGATACAAATCTACAAAAATCTTCCAACGAAAGAGTATTCATCACTCCATAGGCATAGAAATATGAATATTTTTCATAAAAACCTTTGTTTAAATAAGCTAACATGCTTTTCAAACCTTTAAAATATAAGTAAAATTGAAGTATTATCGTGTCAAAAAATTCCAGTAGAATTACCAATATTGCAGTTGTTTTTCTCACCTTTAACATTGAAAACCAAATAGCCGTCGCAATTAAATTAAACAATGTACCAAACGATGGAATAAGGGTTGCCGTTAGGCCCATAAATAAAAATTCAGACAAAATACAAGATTCTAAGTTATTATTACTTCTATTATTTGTATTGTTCAGTGTCATTTTGTCTACAATTGACCACCGTCTAAAAATTCTCCCCAGAGAAAGATATCATTCGAAACGTATACGCTTTAAGTATTATTACACCTAGGTGGCTCTGCTACAGAACAAAAATAATTTTCCAGAAAAACATTTTAAAAGAAAGAAGAGATGACTCAGTTTCAAGCCTTGTAATAGAATATAGACTTGTCTTTATTATATACTACGAGACCTTTATCTACATATATACTATCTGTCGCTTTCTAATCTAAAGGGAAAAACACTAGTAAAAGTAGTAGTTGTGCGGTGTTTAATGTAATTTGTTTGATAGAACAAACTGTTTATTGGACAGATATTTTATAAACTTAAAAGTGTAGGTAATTTAAGATCTATCTCTCACTGTATCTCTTCCTTCGCTTGTAATTTACTGCATATACTAAAATACAAGCAATTGTTAGATTTATCTGTATTGTTGAATTTAGTAAACAATTAATTGACATCAATAAAATCAACAAATTCAACACTATCTTCATTTTCTCCTACATCGGCATAAATCATATCAAGATATTGTGCCCTCTTTTTGTCAATTTGAGAGCGGCTATATTGACTAGACGGTTCGTGACCTAGTAGTCTCTCCTCAAGTATCATCAATAGTATGTAACCACAGTCAACTCCGCTGGATTTTTGTTGATGACATTTCCTCGGAACATGCATGACTCCTTCGTATTCTATCTTGTGTTGTAGAGCGATTCTTACAAAGTCTTCCCATGATGTATCCCTTTCTGAATCATAATAGGTCCAGCACTTTTTTTCTACACATACTTCAACTAAGCAACAGTGTCCAACAGGTCTGCTTTTTGGTTTATTAATCAGAATACTATAGCAAGTAGGGTATTCGCATTCTTCAATTTTCGATTTAAAATTCTCTATGGCACATTGATTGTTAGGTTCAATAAGGCTAGTTAAAATACTTATCTTCTTGCCAATATCCTTTGGACAGCCATCTCTAAGCTTCTGTGCTATTATCTCTATTTCGCCAACACTCAATAGTTTGTGCGATTTTTGATTTGGTTTTTGAAGGCATCGCCGTTTTCTCTTGTAACTTTCAAATGAATCGCTGTCGTATAATTGATCTTCTTCTGATGGTGAGGGTGAATACATGATGGGAATTTAGGATGAAAATTTTCTAAATTCTGTATCATTCCTTCTATTTTTAAAAAAAATATAATAAAGATCTGGCAGGAATAGAATCGTCTGGCCACCTTGTCTAATATGAACATTTAAGCGCCATCGAAAATTACATCATCTTAACGAAAATTCTAGAATACTACTATCTTAAAACCATGAAATAACCATATTTTTCGCCACCTACAGGTAAGTTTGATGAGAAATGCGTGGACTGGAGTACATTTAAATATTGTAGTAGTAAAAAGTCACACGCTTTTTAGAGATATCTAAATAGATATTTCAATATTATTAAAAAGATAATATATAGATTTTGTCTTGGAATTAATAGATTTATTAACGATTAAACAACAATTACAGAAAAAGACTGATAAATAGTTCACAGATAAATGAATTGTTATTAGTTTACGACTTACAATACGGTTTAAATCGACGGAGACATTTTTCAAAGACAACGTCTAAATATAATAGTTTATTTGTGTAAAGACTTGGAATTCTTGGTCTCAATAGAGTACAGATATACAATATATATATATACTGTATATATATTCAATAAGTATTTGTAGTACCAGTCACTTCCATAACATGAACGATATTTCTTGTAAAGAACCTTTTAAACTTTCTATAGAATATCTTATTTAAGAAGGCGAATAGAAAGAAGTTGGCAGCTGAATTAAGACAAGTTAAATTGTACGTAATCGATGTAAAATAGAAGAAAAAATGCCCGCAAGTTATCATTTTTTCAACGTATAATCCTGATATTACTAATCTAAAAATTTCGAATAAGAATGTACAAATAAATAATATATTAACAGCCATTAGAGATCTCGTAATATATTTTGCATTTACGCTAAGATGGCTTTGAATTTCTAGTACCTTTCTCGTAAGTGTTCTCAACGTGAAAATCGTTAAAATTACAATTATTGTGAAAGGTAATAAGATAACAATCAAATTTTGTAACACTATTCTATATAAGATACCGTACATTGTATTGTTCTTTTTCAAGCTTGTAGGCTTAAGCTTATAGTAGGAATCTCTTTGATCGAAATAAATGTCGTATTCATAGGCCCGTGGTATTGAGAAACTAATACCAAATATGGCTAAAAATACAACTGCTATAGTAACTCTTCCAGGTTTGAAATATTTGGCTTTATAAGGCCAACAAATTGCAAAATATCTTTCTATAGAAATAAAGACTATAATCCAATTTGATGTTATTCTAGCAAAATTCTCTATTGGTAGGATACGAGCCACAGCTTTAGATCTGAAGGAGGCATACACTTTAAAAAAACTTTTATCAACATAACCAATAAAGATATGAAGGCTTTGAAAGATAAGAAAAAATATTAAAATTAAACTATCGGATATTTCCAAACAAACAACAAGAATTGTAGTAGCATTGATCTTAGAATTATTCATTGTTAACCAAATAATAGCCGCCACAGTATTAAATATTGTTCCAAAAGTCGTAATAAATGTTAAACAAACGCCAGATAGTATAAAATTCCAAAATTCACAATTGAATAATTGTTTTTGAATCGAATTCGTGGTATTCATCGTGTATTAAAGATTATTAAACTTCACCTAAGATTTGTTCACGAGTGTTTGTCGCAATTCTATGAAAATATAATCTATTAAACATAAATTATTATTTTGTACTTATGAATATTCATGAAATTATTATTTTGTAAAGGATAACAAAAAACAAAAAGATGGGTTTATTTAAATGATTTATCATATTATGAATATTAAATAGGTAAATTATATATAATAGTCTCCCTTTTTTTAATTTTCGAATCTTTCCTCCTTTGAAGATCTTGTAACGTATTTAAAATCTCTTTTTATACATTTGCCTATTTCCTGTAATAGTCCTATGCACATACAGCATATTTTTTTATAGGTAAAAGCGAAAAATAAATTAAGCCTATGTATGGTTTTATTAGCGCTCAAATAAAAATTCCTAATCGTCTAAGTTGCGTTTTTCGCCTTCTATGGTTTTTTTCAAATTTCGTGGTTGTCCTTAAAATGTGGCTCCTGCTTCCCGTCACAAAAAACGATTGGTATTATTGTAATAGATTATTGTGTCCTCAAATCTCGAAAGGTCTCATTGTCGACTTTTCATTCAAACAAGAGCGCTTGAAGTAGTCAGACAGAGAGTATATATTTACTTGAAATTTTATAATAAATTTTTTATTTGGCATAATGGATGAATTTGAAGAAGATAGTTTCTATGGTTCTTTTAATCAGAGTATTGATCAAATATCCGATTCAGAACCGGATATGTTCAGCAATCGATATACGCAAGAATGGATGGAAAGAGAAGCTGAACATTTGTTAGCAAAATCTGAAATACCACGTTTTCGAACACACGTTTTTATCTCTTGGTTAACAACTCGACCGAATATTTTGGAATATTTTGTGCCTCTTCGATCTCAAAATTTCTTTATACTGTTAGAAAATCCGAATTATTGCGGATGTTTCCAACATTGCTGTATGGTCGAAATAAATATTCGTGACAGATCGTGGTCGTACATCGATTCGATGCATAATCATGAGAAACTAGAACGAATACGTAAAGCGTTTTGGCCAATAATTGATATGTTCTCGCTAGAGTATCAACCAACTAGATGCCATCAACAAAACAATTTATCGAGCAAATGTTCAATAATGCTACTGAAAACTCTTGAGAGAAAGCTTGTTGAAATAAAAAGCGTTTTGGAGGAGTTCTATGATGAACTTCCAGCGAATGAGATATCAATTGAATTTCAGTAGAAAATTTACCAAAATGTATTCAAGTATTAGTCGTATTTGAAAAATATTCGAAATTCCTACTTGACTTTTTTTGCTGTCTGCTGTCAGCTCGAAAAATGACATTCTTGAAGAAGAATATATGATAGAGCTTTACCTTCTGTACCTATACATACATATGTGTCTAAACAAGTGCCATCATGGTGTTATCATAATGACATTCTTTGAGGACCTTTATGGAAGTCTATTATGTTACATCCACATGGGGAGAAGAATTTGAAGAAATATTTGGATGATTTTTTTTATTCCTCCAAATGCAAATACTTATGGAATGTGTACGCTCTTGTACTATACATTTCATTTATACGATTTATATTGCTCATATAATAGTAGTTAATATAAAATATTATTAATACATATTCTAATTACAATATTTCGAGTTTATTGAACAAATATTAAAAAACAATAATAATCTATTCTACGGGCGGGACTAAACAGCAGAGTCGTAGGCCTTAAATTTTCAAATATGCCTTCTCTCTTTAAATGTATGATTGATTCTTTCGCAATGATTAGTAATTCGACAGGCACATTTTAAGGCTAGCAAGAATTAATCTGGAAAATATTATCTTTATTGATTTATGAAGTGTAGCAATACTCAATATTTAATAACTGAGTAGGGTGATAAGTACAAGTGTTAATTCAGCACTCGGTGATTAAAGCGCCATCTGTAATACAAAAAAAACAGACCTTATGTAATTACCGGTTTATGTTGTTGAAATCTCCTTTCAATTTCTCTCCTACTTCCGTAGTTCGAAGGTAAAATGCCATACGATGTCAAGGTTGATTGTGATGAAAGTGATGTTTGCATAAGATTTAATGAAGAGCAATTAATCTGTACTATTTGCTCTTCCACTTGGTTGAATAAGAAACCGCGTTGCTTGCCTTGTGAAGTCAGCCATATTTTCTGTTCAGATTGTTTAGAGCAATTTGCATCAAAAAATAGACTTAAAACAGGAGAAAAATTCGGTTGTCCAAATTGTCGAAAACAATATATTTGGCCAAAAAACGGAGTTAAATCTTTTGTATTACTTATGCCTTTTGTTAGCACTTCCGACTATCGATCGAATGTGGAAATGGAAATGGGCGAAAATGATACGCAACCTTTTTCCGTTCTTAGCGAAGACGAGAAGTTCAGAGAAGAGGAATCGAAGGACTTTGAATCAGAAATCATGAACGCCCTCGAATCTTTAAGCGAAGAGCGTCTAAGTGAATCAAAAACCCTACAGAGGGAAGCTCGCAGTCTAGCTGCAATGATTTATAAGAAACAGTCGGCTTTGCAAGATGAATTGGATGTATATTTTGCGGAAAAAGAGTCAAACTTAAGGTTTTTATTAAAGAATGTTAAAACATATCAATTATTCCTGAATCGAGCGGGAGTAATGTTTGAACATAATGCAGTCGAGATGAGAAACAAACTGCTAAAGGAAATGAATAAAGTTTTTCAAACAACGATAAGATTCAAGAGTCTTGTGTCAATTGAGGATTTTGAATTAGGTGAATCAGCTTGCGAAGAATTCGAGCCAACGTATTTTCAAACGGAACTTGATATTGAAGGAACTATACATAGTATATCCTGCCTCGATAAGCGGCTTTACGTTCTTACTAAAGATAGAAGAGATAAGAGAAAAATTGAGTTTAAAATTTTTAGAATTGAAAATGAAGCGGAAGACTTTTTGTTCCACTTAGAGACTAATATTGACTCACATTTCAAGATGGTTATCAAAGATAACGTTTACTTGTTGGAAACTGGTGGAGATAACAATACTTTTCTCAAACTTGAAGTTAATCCTAGTAGAGGACTTTATCATCAATCTCGGTATCAATTGACAGAGGTCGACTATTTCGCAAAACAATTTAATCATAATCCATGGACACACGTTTGCTCTTCATACAAGATTTTAATGCTATTTAACGATTATGTACTGGAAGTATATAGCTTTGATCCTAAGATGTCTAAATACGAGAGACTAAAGGTGCTTGAACTTCCCTCATCTACTGGTTTAAGAGATGTTAGAAGTACTGGAAATTATATTTTTATGCTATTTAATAATGGTTGCCTCTATACGGCTGATATAAAAGACTACGATGAGTTTTCTAAAATTAAAATTTCGGAGAGAGCTAGTTGTATTTCATTTTACGGAAATATTATTGATCCCTTAAAGAATGGTTGTGTTCTACTCTCCAACGGTAAACGTGTTTATATTGTCAATCTAGCAACGAAATGTGCAATATCGTATCCTCTTCTAAGCATTGTTAAAGATTGCAGGATGATAGACTACGAATTAATTGATAATGACATAATATTTTATTTTGTCATCGGTGCTGATATAATAATCAAAAAACGTTATATTTTATAAGAAACACTAAAGAGTATTAAAGTTTTTGACAGTGAAAAAAGAAACGACGATTTTTTTTCATTAAAAAGAAAAAAAAACAAAACATTCTTGATTGAAAAAAGTTAAATATTAATATTTTTTTTCTATTCTTTTTTTAAATATTCATATTTTTTTTGTAAAAAAAAAAAAAGAAAAAAAACAAAAATTGTCCAAAAAACTTTTTTTTTGGTAATTATTGATTTCATCTTTCTTTAGTTTAAAGTTCGTTTGCTATTACTTTCTTTTTAAAAGTTTTATTTTTCAATAAAAGTTTTATTAGTTTCATTGAAAGTGATTTTTAAATAAGATACTATTTGACAATAAAAGGACTTTGATTCTAGTACGCTACATAAATCAATTTAAGTCTTGTTATGTAAAAATAGTAAGGAACAATGAAATATCGGATTTCCCATTAGCGATATATGTTAAAAGTAGAAGGATATTAGAATTAGCTTTTGTTTAGATATAGCTTTGATGGATGGTGTAATGTCCTCGGAGGTTGATCAACTTTGTGGTATTTGCAAACTTCCATGGAATGATCGCAATCCTCGAGTTTTACCCTGCGACAGGAGACATATTTTCTGTTCTAACTGCTTAGATGAGTTGATAAAAAAGTTCTGCCTTAAAGTTGGTGATTATCTTATCTGTCCGAATTGTGGAACAAAGCATATGCTCACCGAAAAGAAGACTGAAGAATTTATACGTCTTTGCCCTTTTAGGGGATTTCTAGGTAAAATGGATAATGTATCCTTAAAATTTCGAGAGTTTTTGAACAACTACGAGTCAAGATTATTAAGCATTCATCATTCTTTGGAAGATGCTGAACAGAGGCAATTAAGTCTATTGAATAAGGAAATAAATAAAGTGCAACTTTTTCTAGATTCAGAAAAATTTACGCTAACCAAAGAAATAGAAACATTTAAAAAAGGAAAACAATTGATAGCGAAGGAAATGTTGGATAAAATCAAAACGTTAGAGAATATGAAAGCTTATGAATTTAATATTTCTGATTTTGAAAACATAATTTTTGATCTGGAATGTAAATTTAATAGAATCGATAATGTACAAATTCGATTTAAAACGTCACCAATTCTCGATCTATGTCGATTTGGGCAAATAATATTTGAAGATGATGGATTAGTTACACCTATATTATCTTTAACACGCGTTTTCACTTTCGAAGGGAGTTTTCAAGATTCTTACGCAACTAGTAGCGGATTCTACATTCTTACTAAGAATTTAACGGATGAATTTTCATATTATTTTAATCTTTATAAAGTTGATAAGGAAAAAAGCTTTTCATGTGTCTGTAGCTGGAAGAGAAGAGAGAATATGTCCTACAGAATGTCCGTAAAATCATCTGTATTTTTACTACAGATGACTAATGAGGGAGAAATCAGTAGATTTAATGAAACAGACACTCAAGTAAAAATAGTACCTGTCGACTGTATGAATTGTCCTGCAGGATATTGGAAGAGTATATGGTGTTTAGAGAAAGCCAATATATTCTTCAACAAATCAGCTATGGAGATATACATTAATCCAGTACTGGCAGTCAGGTTTGCTAAAGTTAATCTACCAAATGAGACAGATATTTTGGATTTAAAGTATATAAAGCCTCGCATATTTATTTTGACAGAAGACTCTCTTGTCTATACGCTCAATCTTATGCAATTTCCATTAGCTTTCGATTTCGTTCACATAAAAGAACAAGTTAAATATAATATAAACTACGTAGATATTGCTAGAATGTTGGCAAAAGGTTACACGCTTTTAAGTAACCAGGACAAGATATTCTGTATCAATACAGAACAATGTAAAGGAACGTCGTATAGTCTTAAAGAAACATTCGGGGATTGTAAGAAATTGGAATATTATTTATCATGGCAGGAAGTGCGATTATATTTAGTGAATAAGTCAAATAAAGTTATTGTTAAATGCTTTCATCGATTTTCAGATGTTAATAAATGAATTAAAAATCCTTTAAATCAAGTTAAATAAATAATTTCGTTATAATACAAAACTAACAAAAAAATTTTATTAAAAATTGAGTACGATCCTATTACTTAAAAAAAAAAGCTAATAGAGACTAAAAGCGCCATCTTCCTTTGTTTTATAACATATTTGTACCTTCTACCGGTTTCTACTACTAAGAACATTCTCAAGATCAGACATTACATGGTCACGGGGAAAATTTGACATATTTCAAAAAGGACGTTCAGCTATCGAATTAACTTCAAAGTATTTCAATAATAACCAGGAAATTCTATTCATAAAAGTAAGTTTATTATCAAATTTGGAACATTCTTGCAATAAAAAGTTAGATAATATAAATTAAAAGTATTAATTTTTTATTGCAATGAGTAATTAATCATGGAAACTGAAGTTTTTGTCAAAGCTAAATTGAGTAAGAATTAGATAAAAAGTATTAATTCATTATTACAAATATAAATATACTGTATATTATCTATTGACATATATTATAACTATTAGACCTTGATTACCATATTTTTCAAGGTGAAGGAACTTATTTTTGGAAAGTTTTTTTGACAAAATTTTACTAGAGTAGAACTCTATAAAGTCATTTCTTTTACTTCTCTTTTCCTCAGGCAAATGTTTTATTGTTACATATATTTTCGATAGGGAATATGGCAGAGTTTAGCAGAACTTTTGAAGAACTTCACGAAGTTAACGTCTTCTTCAATGAAAATGATGTATTGTGTGGTATATGTAGAGCCCCATGGATTACCAAATATCCTCGATGTCTTCCTTGCGAAACTTCACACATATTCTGTTCAAAATGCTTGGATAGATTGATAAATGCCAGCTTACTAAAAGGATATTTATTATGTCCGATATGTCGAAAAGAGTATCCTCTGACCGATAAAGGAGTGAAAGCATTTTCCCTTCTATCACCCTTCGTCAACTGCTCACTTGCTAGTGGTCGTGATTATCAGCCATTGTACAAAAGCAATATAGAGATTTGTGACGATAATCCAATTAGTCAAATTCCGTCGGTTTCGGATGACTTCTCAATTCGTGATGATACATTCCAGAGATTTAGAAGTCAGGCTTCTATAAAATTTTTACGATTCGAAAGCAGAGTGAATCACATGTATTGTTTAAATGGGATTCCTTATTGCCTAACTGAAGCTAGAAAGGCTGGACGATTCAAATATACAATTCTTCGACTTTTAAACGATAATCGTGCCGCGGAGAAGGTCGCTTCTTGGACATCAGCTACTGCTTGCCAACGCATTGCTCCAAACAAAGATATCTACCTTTTAACTGGATTTGGCTCACGAAGAAGGATAAAGCGTTTAAAGTTAAAAGAAGAGGGGGGTGACAGAAGTAATTCAGACAACAGTTCATTGGAATTAAAAGACGTGGAGACTATATGTCCTCGTTTGTCACATCTTACCCCGTGCGCTGATGGTTTTGTTCTTATTCATGATAAGTATTTGGAATTTTATACGATACGACCATTGCGCCTTTCAAGAAAAATCCCATTACCTACATTAAGAAGAGTGGTAACTGTAAAATATGCCAAATCACAAGTGTTTGTTCTATTTGATAGAGGTCAACTTTTCTCAATCGATATTAAAACGAAACCATCCGAATTTCAACCTGTGAACCTTACCTTTTTAGAGAATGTCACACATTTCCAAAATGAAGTTTTCAACAGTATGAAACACGGTAAAATACTGATGACTGATAGAAAGTGGATATTCGTCATAACTCTAGAAACAAAGACAGCTGTATGCTTGCCTCATCAGCCAATTTTTGGTAGTTTTACACTACTGGAATACTTTATAACTAAGAATGAAATTGTCTTTTATGTGGTTGCAAAGGAAGGTTTAATAGCCATAAGATATTTTGATTTTACACAGTAATTTAAGAAGGAAAAAAGCTATTTGTCATTTATAACTTTAAGATACTTTATACGATTTTTTTTTCAACAAACTGAAATAATCTTCATTTAAATCCTAATCTGCAGCATAAATCTTATTAAAAGAAAAGTTATTATTTTTATCAATCTACTTTAAAAGTAAATGCATATATATACATGAAAACTTTTCAATTATGTATAATGAATAGTGGCTTCTATCATCTTCTAAAATGAGTTAAAATTTATTTCCATAATTTCCTTTGAAATTCAATAAATTTTTATATTTTTTAAATGAAAACTTTGCATTTGAATACAAGTCAACTTTGTATGATAAAAAAATAGAAGAGCATTAACACTTTTGCTAAAACAATCTTATTGGCGCCATCTTGAACTGTATTGAGAATACTCACCAATTGTAGACCAATTATGTCAGTAGTGTCCTGAGTTTGAATACTTTTTTATCGTTCCAATTACAAAATTAATCCTGATTAACGAATTGTTCTAAGGTAAGACACCCATTATAAGGAATATAATGGATATAGATTAGCGCTCCTAGCGTTGGAATTAGAATTCTTTATTGACTTCATTCACGACAGGTTCATCGGTCGAAAAGCTAACGAGTGAAAAGAGGGAAAAATGAGTAACGACAGCCGCAGAAGCGAGAATGAAATGGATATAAGCTTTCACGTTGCCGATGACCAATTCGTTTGCAGCTTATGTTCCGATTCTTGGTTGAATAATATTCCACGATGTCTACCTTGCGAAAATAATCACATCTTCTGCTCTGATTGTCTATTGGAATTTGCAAACTCAAATAATATAAAGAATGGCGATAATTTCTTTTGTCCAGTATGCAATGAAAAACATACTTGGCCGGAAGATGGTGTTGAAGCTTTCGGAATTGTAAATAACGATACGAAAAATTCACAGAGCGAGTCGGATTCGTCTTTTATGCAGGATTCGTTAAAGTGCGATACAGTAGAGGTTTTGGGTAAATCTTTTTCGTTGAGATCCAGTCATAAAGATTCCAGATCGTTTCGAGAGAGAATCTTAGCAGCTTTAGAAAAGCTTCAGGAAGAAAGGGAGAAAGAATATAAAGAATTAGAAAATGAAAGTAAAAATTTGCATCTATTGATAAATAGTAAACAGCAAAGTTTGCAGAGCATCATTAATAGATTTTATATGAATAAGGAGGATAAGCTTAGGCATTTACTGCAACAATTCTCGGATGATGATGATCAAGAAGTCGAAGAAGAGATAGCCGACACCGAAATAGAACATAAAAGAGATTTAATAAATAGGATGAAAACTGTATTTAGAAGTACAATTAAATTTTCAAGACCTAATCTTATCGACAATTTCAATATGGGCGAAGTTTTTTTAATAAACAACGAAGATGGCGAAAGTGATGATTGTCTTTTTCAATCAACAAGTGAAATTCTAACTATTACGTCATCAAAGCAAGCATTTTACGTTTTAACAGAACAAAGCCTACAAAATACGTTCATTTATAGAATTTTTATGTTACCTATCGCAGGAAGTAAATTTGTTTTAATAAAATCTTGGACAAGCGATGAGAAATTTCATTACAAAATGGCAGCTAATAAAGATTTATACCTACTAGAAGTTGGATCATCAGCTGGCCTGATGAGATTAAGAGTTAATGGTAATAAGGATTTATGTCCGGAAACAGAATTCGAAAGATTTAAGATTACTGTTCACAAGCCTTCTCCTCTATTAAGGAAGATCTATTCGAAGACGTATTCAACAAACCTTGCCTGTTCAGATACAACATTGGTTTTAGTAAATAGCAACGGTGTTCTTGAAAAATATTCAACTGAACCATTGGAGAAAATTAGAAGTATGAGACTACCTGCCAAAAGTGCCGTCGCTGATATACGATGCTCTAATCTTTATATCATAGTATTATTTCAAGGTGGTAGTGTATGTTACACATATATAAACTCTTTGAAAACTAATTTCGAATATCTAAGAAAAATGAATCTTTCAAGTATATTCGATATAGAAGGATTTATCATTCCACCACTAAAAGATGATGGCTTTATTATGTCGGACAAATCAAATGTTTACAATGTAAATCCATCAAAGTCAATGGTTGAATATTGTTCATTCACCAGAGTTTTTAAGGACGTCATGAGATTTGATTATAATGTAACAGAAAATCATATTTTTCTATATACAATAACAGACTCAAATGCCGTTATCGTAAATCGTTTTAAATTGTAACAATACTATTAAAGCTAAAACGAAAGAGTAACAGTTTTGTAGATTCGATTTTACTATTAAAAGTAATTATAATATTTAAATATTCATTTCCAAGTATTCAGCTGGAAAAAAAAAACTTTTTACTGATTTCTTCTATCTATTACTCTCCATCTTAGTATTTGAGTTCACAGTGAATAAAACGAACTCTATTTCATTTTTTTTATACTTTGCTCTACTTCCGATATTTTATTCAACCAGTGTCAGTTTAAAGGAAGATAAATAGATTTAAAAAGGAAGGAATACAGTTTTCATGGCTTTTTGTTTAAAATCTTTGTTATCATATTATTCAAAAAGAAATACAAATATCTATATAAGACGTATTTCGAAGAATACTAAAATTCTGCGTCTAAATATCCTTTTCCTCGTCTCTCGTCTCCATCACTCTGTCAGCAGATAGTCGGAAACTTTTAATCAAATTTAGTTTTCTAGATTATTATATACGCTGTTCTCTCATTCTCCTCGTTTCCCCATTCCTTTAGCTATCTCTTTTATATATCTTTCTCCCTTTGTGTTCCCTGTCTATGATCTGGAACAAATTTTCATTGTTTCCCTATTTTATTATATCTCTATCTAAAATTGTAATTCTCTTTTAGTTCTATTGAACGTAATATTTTTAGAAAAAGAGAAAAAAACCTCTATTTTAAATTTAATCTACCTTTTCCTGGAAATAAATTAAGAATATAAAATTAGCTTAATAACGCCATTTTCCTTTCATTTAGACTATAAAAGTATACTTGTCTTTCGAAGTGTTCACATAGCAACTTTTTTAATGAGGCTATAATAATATTTTCTCTTTGTTACAATTACAATGATAGCTGATAAACTCCGTGACCGCTTGAATATAGTTTTTACACAATACGTATTGGAGTTAATGTACCAGTGGAAAAAATTTCTTAAAGTATAATAGACAATCCCTTAAGATGAAATATACATTCAAGTTGAAAAAAGATAATATCATAACGAAAAAGTGTGTAGTTTGTTTAGAGTAAATGAATACGATATTATCAGTTATTAAAGAGTGCATAGTGTAAGAAAAGCGTTTAAACAATCTAACACAATCGTGATTTATCTATAATTATTGCTGGATAATTTTCTTGTAAGGAAAGACTTCTTTTTTTATCTGGTTCTTTGAAAAATAAATATAACACTTTCGTCGGATAGAATATAACTATCGAGTCACGTGATCAAATCCAATATTGCACTTATTGTTTTTATGTTATCAGCGTTGGCACTGCTCAATACAAGTAATATAGTATTGAAATTTCTAAATTGCAATAATTTTAACAAATTTTTCTTTTTAACTAATTTATACAAATGAATTACGAAGGCAGTATGTTTGAGAACAGAATCAATATTACGTTCACAGAAGGACAGCTATTATGCGCAATTTGTACAAGACCCTGGCTAAACAACTCTCCGAGATGTTTGCCATGCGAAATAAGCCATATATTCTGTTCGGAATGCATAGAAGAGTATGGAAGAATCAATCTATTGGAAGAAGGAAGTACTTTCTCATGTCCAGTTTGTCGAGCTAAACACTATTGGCCAAGAAAAGGTGTACAGTCCTTTATTCTTTTGACTCCATTTGTTGATTGTTGTACTACATCTTTCGCAAATGAAGAATCCGAATCGACTAGTCATTTTCAGCAAAAAACTGCTCATAAAACAAAGTCAAATACTAATGAAAAAGATATACAAGATATACAAGAATTAAGGATAAAAATAAGCAAGACTTTAGAACAATTAGAAAAAAGGAGGGACATAGAATGGAAGCTTTTAGATGATGAAATAAAAAATATCACTCAATTAATAGAACAGAGAAGATTAATCCTTCGAGATCAATTAAATATATTCTATAAAGAAAAGGAATCAAAGTTAAGAGACTTATTGAACGACGCTAAAATTTTGCAATCATTTAGAATAACAGCAAGTGATAGATTTAAAAAATGCTACGAAGAAATGAGACAAAGACTCTTTAAAGAAACTATTGAAATATTTAATAGCTATGCCGTCTTTAGTAAATCTTATGATAAAAGTGCATTAAATTTAGGCGAAATTATTAAAAATTCAATGGATATTTAGCCATAAAAACACGCACAACGGTATTAAAATTTAAAATTAAAGAATGAAGAAAAAATGGCTCCGTTTCCAATTGAATTTTAATAAAGACATGTGGTAAACTGTTAAAACTATATTTCTTTTAAAAGCATACTTTTATATGATTTTATTATCGTATGTAGTACTGAAAGAAGTCTTTTTAATTATATGCAACCAACTATACTTGTGGAATAAAATTCAATGAATAGAATGTTTCGTTTGCTCTTTTTTTCTTCTATGGAACGCTCTACAACAGGAAGTTGGAAGTAAAGCGCACCCTAGTATTCATTTATTGTAAGGTTTCAGAGCTAAAAATTCTCTAATCATTATAATAATTAACTGTATACTCTTTCATCAAATAATTTATTTGAGAAGATAGAAGAGAGAGAGACAGACAGACGGACGGAGAGTGAGAGAGAGTCAAGTGGAAACTGAAAATTCGGTAAGTAAAGATAACAATAGTTGCATACATTTACTTTACTTTATTTTTATAGTACTTTAGTTCTCCCTAAAAGAAAGGTAAAACAACGGAAATGAACGAGAATAATACGGATAAAAATCAATCAGAAAGTCCTCATGACGATTGCACAATAGCACCTATCATTTTACGTAAAGAACACAACATAGTAAAACACTGTTTGGCTGATTGTACAATCATTTCAACGGTTTCTTCTGTATGTAACATCTACTTTTGGATTGTTAAAAATAATAGAAATTCAATTGTTGAAGTTCAATGTAATTCGTCTTATGGATATCATTTATATCATGATAATGAAATTTCAATTATTGATATATCCGTTGATAAAGATTTATACGTTTTGGAAAGACTTTTGGATCATACGAATATTAGACGATTGGAATGTGTTCAGGCTAATTATCAACTAAGCTTTATTGGAAAAGTTGAAGCTAATAATCCAGTATCTTTTACATGTATCAATGATGGATTCTTGATACTATGCAATCGAACTATTTATAAATTCTCCCGTAATCCCTTTGAGAAACTCTGGTTAACGCAATTACCTTTCGAAGGCAATGTTACAAGCTTGAAATGTGAAAAGTTTAACTTATTCGTTCTTTGCGAAGATGGTCATATTTTTTACGCAAACATTCTTACTCCAAACGAAAATTTTTTTCAAATATCACTTAATTTCTCACCGTTTTTCTATCCAAACTCCTCTAATCCCACACTTCCCCTACTTGACTCGAAAGAGTTTATTTATAATCAAAGCGTTATTTATGTTATAGATCCAGATAGGCAAGAAGCGGATTGCTATAGTGTGTTGAAACTTTATAAATCATTTAAGATATTTGGATGTGCCAGATTTGAGAGAATTTCTTTGTTCTACATTGTTCAAGAAGATGATGATATACGAACAATTTTAACCGTGTCTTATTAACTATCTCCGCCTTACTCTTCGTGATGTTTTGTTATGGGTGTATAATCTTTAAAAATATGTTTACATATATACTGTATATATACAGTGCATAAAAGTAGCCTTGTACTAGTTTGCTACTGCTTTATTTATATAAATTAGTTCATTATGTGGTGAGTGGCTTAAATATAAAGTAAGTAAAGTTTGAGGACTATATTTTCAAATTTTGGCGGTTTTAAAACAAAATATTCAACTAACTAACTATTAGCGTCATCTATATAATTACCTACTTAAAATTGTTTTATTCTTCACACCTCTTTTAGATTACTCAGTCCGACTTCCTTTCGAAATATTTTCTAATGGCTTCCCAGAGAATAGAGGAAGAAGTTAATGTTAAATTTCAAGTTCAACAGGTTAAATGTCCAATATGCAGATCTGCGTGGCTAGATAGACAACCTAGATGTTTACCTTGTAAAGTTATGCACATATTTTGTTCAGAATGCCTGGAGGAAGTCGGACACCAATACGAATTAAAATTCGGTGATAAATTTCCTTGTCCAATTTGCAGAAAGGAGCATACTTGGCCGGAAGATGGGGTAAACTCTTTTTCTGTTCTCACTCCTTTCGTTCAATGTAAAACTGTTTACGATAACAAGAAAGAAGGACCGAGTTTAATAGAATTGAATACTAGCAGTACTGCAGAAAACGATTATAAACATCTGGAAAAACAGATTTTAGCTGAATTGGAAGAATTAGATAAAGATAGAAAGAGAGAATTCGATTCATTAAATAATCAAACGAAAAACCTATCAATATTAATTCAAAGTAGAAAAGATTATCTTCAAAATGAGTTAGATGATTTTTTTACAAATAAGGAAACGAAACTTAAGAGTTTATTAAAGGATATTAGTAATTTTGAAATGTTTCAATATCAAGCGGGTAAAATGTTTGAAAGTAACCTAAAGGAAATGAAATCAAAGCTATTGAAAGAGATAAAGAGAATTTTAAAGAGTAAGGCTCAATTTCAAAAATGGGATCACTTAAATTTTAAATTAGGTGAAATAGTTTACAATAAGGAAGAAGTTATTAGTCTAGAGGATACATTTAATATCGAGGGAAATATTTATAGAATAGCTTGCGGAGATAAATCTTTGTATATATTAACAAAGGACAATTCAAAGGGTTATAACATATATACAATTCTCTCTTTGGGACAAGATCAAAAATCGATTAATAAGTTGTATACATGGAAAACTAACAGTAACGAAAATTATAGAATGTCGGCTAATAAGGAACTATATCTGGTAGAGATTGAACCTTCATACGCACTGTTACGTTTAACAACGCATGGAGATAGTTTCAAATTAAAGGCTCTCCATAAACTTATCCAAAAAAATGGTGGCTTTTCCGATCCGTATTGGACAAATATCGCTTCTACTGAGGATGGTATTATAGTTGTTAGTGCTAATTGGATTGAAAAATACTCAATACAGCCTCTCAAGAGAGTTTGGTCAATGTCTGCTCCCACTGAATTTGCAGTCAATGATCTCAGGTGCGACGAAGAACATTTATATATTCTATTTTCCAATTCGACGATATATCGCATAAATCTCAACAATAAGAACGTTGATACTCTTCCTATCGAAAATATTGATAGAGATTTGCTATTTAATGATGATATCATTAATAATTTGGTAAGGGGAGGTTGTCTCCTCTCAAACAAAAGAAATATTTACGTCATCGACGCCTCGAAGAGAGTAGTTTATTGTCATAAGTTAATTAAAGTTTTCGGAAGTTGTGCTTTAATGGATTATCGCCTAGACGAAGAAAATATCGTTTTTTATACAGTTGATAAATCCAATATTTTAACAGTAAAGCAATTTAATAGACAAAGTGTCAAGAGGGACGAGTAGAGTTAGAGGTGGATACTCAATCTCCTTTTTTCTTTCTGAAAAAAAAAATTTCAGTTTTTTAGCACTCAAAGATTTCACTTTTGAGCGACAATCGGATGTTTTTTTTTTCTTTTTTTATTTACAAAGTTTATTCTACTTTTAGACAATTTTTTTCGATCACAGTTATCTTTATTTTAGAAATTTGGATATTTTTTTTAAAATACATGACTTAGCATTTAAAAAGATCTTATTCGTTATATATTTATGCAATATGGCGTACAGAAGACAAAGACAGTAAACAATGAGTACTTTTATATTACAATTGAGTAACAATATTAAGAATAATAGCTGTAAAGTATCTATTGAAAATACGCCATCTACTGTCTGAAAATGGAAAGAATAATTACCTTTTATATCATAAACCAATGGTAAATAATTAGTAGAATAACAGAAATATATTATTTAATATAGGTCAAATTTGAAGAAAAGATTGAAAGACATTTTTGATTATATTAGAAAAGCAGATGGGAATAAAGTTGTAAACCATCCAGTAATTGATAAGAATAGAGAAGAGAGAAAGAGAGAGAAAGATTAATATCTAACCCAATAAAGAAGATATATTTTAAGTAATATATTTAATTATACAATTTGAAAAGGATAAGGAAACGAAGGAAAATACGAATGAATTGAAGCGTTAAACTCTTATGCGGAGAGAGAGAGAGAGAGGGGGAGGGAGAGAGACAGAGATTGACAGAGACAGAGAGAAAGAAAGAAAGTAGGCAAGGAAAGAAAAGCAGGAATATATATATATATATATATATATATTTCCTCCTATATTGTATGAAAAGGTTTTATATATTCTATTCAATGTCAATTTTTTTACTACGTACTTCTTCGTATTTAAGTATTGAACAGCTTGCTATATTGCAAATTAACTACATACAGTCTATAAATATATATATATATATATATATATGTAGAATAATGAAAATACAGTTAGAAATTGGAAAAAGTGAAAACCAATCAAAATCTTTATATTGTGTTTTTTTAAAAGATATTCAATCTTATTAAGATTCTACTCTTTCCTATTATTCAAGTGTTATCTTACAATCTTTTACCCTTAAATTGCCGTTGATATAGTAATACGAGTGTCATTCTTATTAGTTAAATGACATCATTAATTAGATCTGATATAATTAGAAAACAAATTGTAACTTTGAAAATAAAACAAGAAGGATAACGAAAAGAACAAATAGAATATAAACGTGAAAGCATTTTATCTTTATAGATTTAAGACTGACGGAGCGAATGATGCGTCTTAATTTATAATTAATGACAATAATCTATTATCATTAATTAAAGAATACTTGGCTCGTGTCGTTTATTTATAAAGGATACATTATATTTGTAAGACAGTGTCAAAATATAAAAGGATGAGGAAAGGCACTTCAACTTCATCTTCCTTTACATATTCTATTTTTATCCAATTATCTAATCGTATTGAAAAAGAGTGTGTTTTTTACGTAACCCACTTGAAAATACTCGACACTATAACATCAAGTAAAAATCGAAGTCGGTCGAGTTGGTTTTAATTAAAATCTGAACATCGGGCATAGCGTGATCTTGGACGTACGTTGCCGTATTATACATATATATATATATATATACATGCGAAATGCATAATCCACAAAGAAAAATATTTACGTTTCTTTCGTTCCAGGTGCGTTAAACGAGTAAATGATTAGTTTGAAATCACGTGACCGACTTTTTTCTAGATAACGACTTGATGTAAAGTTGTAAAATAATAAGAATATGTATTAAAAGAAAAATAACTTCCTAACTTAGATCATCCGTATAAATAGCCTATATAGTAAGATTTATTACCTTTAACACTAATACGTTTATAATAAGAAGTAGTATTTTATAAATTATTAACTAATTAGTAATTAGTAATTAATTGATCAATTTCTATAAATTTTATTAATTTTCTCCTCAATCTCTCTATCGCAGCATCGTTCTTCTTTCTCCCTTTGAAAAAAAAATGATCGTTATAAGGGAAAGAATAAAAGGTAGCCTGATGCGTAAAATAATTTTAAATACAGAACACGCGACTCCTATAAGCGATCAGAGTTATTGTTAGTCGATATATCGCTCTTGACGTTGGCAGGTTTTTAATATGTTGTCAATTGTTCTTTATTATATTGTTTTCTTCATATTTTTCGCCTAGTGACACGTTTAATGCTCTAATTTACCATCGGTTGCTGTCTAAAATATTCCAGTTGTTTTTTTATTTACTATTTTATTACGACACCTTAATTACATATAAAATGAAGGCAACGCCACCTCTTTTCCCCCATCATTCCCCTCCCCCACCTTTCCTCTCCCCTCTATACATTCCCTTCAGAGATTGCCCTATTCCAGATTCCAATTAACATTTAAAATATAATAATTCATAAGCCAACATAAAAAATTTTGAAAATTAAAAATGGCGTCGTTCAGTTAAGAAAAAGAAATAATCGGTAAATTTATAGGCTTTTTTTTGTTACCAGCAAGGTAAAAATTTATTTTTGCAATAAAAAATATCAATAATTTAAGAGAAATAAAGCGACTTGTACATTTAAACATTGATTTTATATATATGCATATAATAAACAGAATTACCATAACCGAGTTTTAAGTTAAACATTTAAAAAAAATACTTGTTACGTATACGTATATACGGCAAGATACTAGGCCTATACAATTGATTAAGTAGGAATGCAGCAGAAAAAAATTGTTCACTGAATAATTCAAACAAATAGATTCATTGCATAGAAACAAAGAGACAAAATTTAAATGTTTTAATTAATTTCATTAACAAGACATTTTAAGTCATTTTTATTTTACGTATGCTTTTTCAAGTATTTTCCTTTGGGCGCTTGATAGAACGACATTCTCAGCGTCCTGGCCATCGATAACAGCCGTCATGAATGCTATGTAGGTTATAGCCAGTCGAAGGGTTTCAATTCTTGATAAACGTTTCTCGTAGGCGAAAGTAGGAACACGTTTTCTCAAAGTGTCAAAAGCTTCGTTGAGATTAAACATTCTCCGTCTTTCCCTGATATTAGCTGCTCTTCTCTGAGCTTGAGTAGGCACTCTCTTTCTCTTCTTTTCGGGTCCGAAATTCTGAGTGGGATAGTAATTTTGCCATGGTTCACACTGCCAGTATACATCAGGATATCTTTCATTCATATTTCCTTATTAATGATTTTGGTTTTTCAATTGGAAGAAAAGTGTTCAAATTTCTCAATTTGGCGTTAAATATACGTATAAATATTTACAGATAAATATAGATATAAGTATATCGGTATATAACTTATTAAATTCGGTAGGTTTTCTATAAATAATGATAATTATTTCCCTCCTTCCAGGATAGAATACAGCGGGAAATGACGTGAACTTTTCGCGGACGGCCGACTTTATAAGATGTGCAGTCTTTTGTCATTTTAATCCATTCACCGACTGCCGCCAATAAGAGCGTTTACATTTGCGACCGGTCGGCAGCTGCCGGTTTTTATCGAAATACGAACATTTTCTGGTCATTTTCTTTATTATTGTTTATTTGCGCACGTGCTAGAAGAAATACTATAGAACGGAATGGTTTTTTCGCCCTTCTAAGTTTGCATAGGGAGCTTGGAACTTTTAATTCTTTAAATTTAATATTCTTTTATAACATTTAAGCATTATATAATTATTCTTTCTGCAAACAAACAAATATAAGAAGAGAATAATTTTCCTTGTTCGCTTTATACCCGAAAATTTCTATTCCGTTGATTGTCCAATTAACTCGTTCAAATGTTTGAATCTACAAGCATATAATAGAATATAATAAAAAATCTTCTGTGTAGTGAGAGAACACTGCGCGGACTATGAATTGATTTTTTTTTTTTAAACACGCAAAACATTTTATCTATGCTTTACCGATTTTGTAAGAAATAAATTACCTATCAATTGAATTGACCCAATTCTGGACTAACTGTAAAAGAAACTTGATTTTTATAATGTGAATATCTCAACTTTAAGGATATTCCCATCGGCAGATAAAAATGCCGCTGGCAAGATACAAATATATTCAAGATTTTCTTTCACCGCCTACGCCATCTATAAATTCTCTTATTTTATGGTTTTTAATGGCTATAATAAATCAATATACAAAGTTTTATTCTTATTCTCTATCTGTTGTTACGCAACTGTGATGTTAAGATGAATGTAGGTTACTCACACTAAAATTCATTAATTAGAGTTGAGTCATTACATTCTTTCTTGGAAAATCCACATCTCATTATAAGATGGTCGAAAGTAATTGTTTTTCAGAAGATGAACGTTCGTATCAGTGTTTAGGAACTGCTGCCATTGTTAAATAAATGAGTGTACTTTTAGTCCTAATGAAAATTCTATTGGGCATTTGGCAGTGATAAATAAAAACCTAATCGTTTGCGTATCTCTGTATAATTGCTGCGAAAGTTTAATATTTCAAAGGCTAGTATCTCGTTCTGATGGGTGCATGTCTGAGTGTGTAGCTGTATGCGTGGGTCTATAAAATGTTAAAGAGTATAAAACTTTTCATGTATTCTTGAATCCTGTGGCACCAGCTAAAAAAAGTAGCACTCATACATGCTATCATATTATCTATAAATCGTCAGAACAAAACAGTAAAAACTGGAGAAACTTTTTCTCAAAAATAAACGAACAATATACATCTTCATTTACTATTTCGAGTAATAACGAGATGACCCTTTAGTTCATTCGCAAACGAAAACAAATATCAAAGTCTCTCTCAGTCAGAGATTATATTAATTTAAAAATGTCAATTTTTAACTATATATATATTTATATATATATATGAGCCGGGAACCACGGAGAAGAAAAGCAAGTAAAGGAGTTTCGTTCTGCTTCTTATTGAACTCTAACGGGAAGAGCAGGGAAGTCGTCCTCATTTCTGACATTAGGTGCCCTTACTTTTTTGCCTGGACCACCTCGTCCGCCACTTCCAAAAGATCTTCCCGGTCTTCCGCCTGCTCCCGATCCTGCTCCGACTTCTCTTCTACCACGGTCACCTGGTCCTCTACCTCGTCCTCTGCCTCCACGTCTATCATCCCGGTACGTAATTTCAATATTTAGTGTTTTCTTTTTCTTTCCTTCCTCTTCCTAAAATAAAAACATTGGCATGGTAAATAAAAGGTATATAGAAATTATCGAATAGTAGGATTAGCGCTAAATGACTCATAAAAGTTCTTATAACTTCAAAAAAGCGCCATCTGAACGCAGAAATATTAAGTATTTTACGAAGATCAGATCACATGTGCCAGAACATTCTTTAGATTTTCTGACCGGACGACCTTCAGGTAGAAAATTTGCTATCGATAAGATATACTGGCCTCATCGTAATCTTCATCGTCCTCGTCGTCTTCTTCGCCATCCTTTTTGTCGTCTTTCTTCTTCGCTAATTGAAATGTATCTTTCCATTGTCTTTCGTCAACACCTTCGCCAGCCTTGCGGATGTTGAAGTCCTTTTTCGGTTGTTTGTCCTTTTGCATTTTCCTATATTCGTCCAGTGTCATTTGTTTAACTTCAGGTTCAGTCGGTACCGATTCGTCTTTGATTTCTTCCTTCGAGACATTTGGGTCCTGATTTTCGGGTTCATCGGTTGAAGTATTCATTTCCTGTTTCTCTTCTGTTAAAGATGCATCGATTTGATCATTTGTACTTCCCCAGTTGGCTCGTCCACCGCCTTGTTTCTTGTCCTGATGTTTAATACCGGTCTTGTCTGATCCAGAATGTCGGTCAAAAACCCGCTTTCCTTCTCTTCCAGCAAAAGTACCTCTGGTACCTCTGCCTCTTCCTCTTGCAGGTCGAGACTTATTTTCGTGATCGTTAGCTTGTTTTTCGCCAAATACTTCAAATTTTCCGCCAAATCCATCGTCCTTGTTTCTTACAGGACCGCCTCCTCGTCTTGGCCGATTTGCCATGTCTGTTCCACGTGTTTTTCCCGCTGAAAATTTATTCTCTTTTGGAGAACGATTCTCACGAGAAATCTTTTCGTTTTCATCTCTGGCCTTCTTCGGACGATTTTCGTCACGATTTGCCAATTCTTTTTCTAGAATAAGAAAGATTATTAATTTATGTCTTATCCAGAAATATTTGTATGATTTGGATGTTAATCTCAAATATCTAACTATGTGTATTCATATGAAACATGCGTTCCTTCCCAAACTATTGAAAGTTTCGCGAAGCAACATTTGTTGACCAGTATACAGAGAACCCAGCATTGTTATAACTTTTCTATTACACGTAATTTAAGCTTTATATTGTGTTCTGAAATGTACCATTAACCATTTATCGATCTATAAAGCAGAATGGATGGAAAATGCTAATTAACTTAATACTCGTCTGTAATAAATTAAAGTTGGCAGATAAAGCGCTATCTCTATTCAAAGACATACGCTTTTGAGCACGTGTAGAGTCGTGCGTAAATTATGTTCTTAACTTAGGAGTTTTATTGTAATGCCTTTTCGTGCATGTTTTCAAGCCAAAAGTTTTCTAAGATAGACACTGGCTGATTAATATATATTCATATTGAACCAAGTAGAAAACACGTGAAACGTGAAATTAAGCTCTAGTGGTGAATTTTCGAAAAGATGTTTATATAAACGATTGTCTTTGTTCAACACATGCTATTTCTTTAAGAAAATGTGTTAAGAAGCCGAATTTGAGGACACGAGGCACTCCTCGCCTTACCGCCAAAATTGTCACATGGCAACGAAATGAACACGTGAATTTTTATAATTACCCGAAGTTTTCTCTTTTCTTTCTTCGCCTGTCTTGTTCTTTTGATTAGTAGTTACCTCTGTCGATTTTTTGGCCGTCTTTGGCCTCTCGACTTTGGTATTAGTCTTCGGAACCTTTTTTGCCTCCTTCTCTGCTTTATTTTTACATTCTACTTGTTTTAGTAGCTCGCTTGGATCCGCCTCCTCATTATCCTCAAACGACGCGTACCTATTGTTAATTTGCACGCCGTATATGCTGTTCATGTTAATGAAATTACTAGATATCCATGGATATCAACTGACTCTACAAAATGCAATCAAACCGTGCAAGAAAATGGCGGATTAGTGGTGCATCCTGGGAAGAGCTATGTCTAACTACTGGAAAAAATGTAATTTAATAAATTTATTTTCCGAAACTATTTTTAAGAATTTTGTACATAAAATTATGCTTTTGTTGTTATTTTGGATGTTTTGATATTTATAAAAGATTTCGTATTTTATGTGAAAAAAAATGTTAGTGTATTTTATAGCTCAAAAGAAACAGTTTTGCTAAAAACTTATGCTATCAGAAAGAATAATGCTTTCTATATGCAATTTATTTAATTTAAAAATAATATACTTAATAAATACTCATGATCAAAGTAAGAGCCTTATATTTTAAAAGTTATAACATTTAGCCCCATAGTTTTAATTTCAACCATATAATTTGAATTAAATAAAGTATTTTCACTTTTTGAACCTAACTCCAGAGGAAATTATTTGAGTACATGTTATATTGTGGCATATATTTAAGCAGTACTCTTATTTTCTTTTAATTATTGAGCAATAGTATTAAAAATTACAAATTTATTCGTTACTCTACGTGGCATTTAGTAGTACTCTTTTAATGCGCGCTCTCTAATCGTTGATTAATCCACTAGAAGGCATTACCAACGTATTTTCAAGATGTCGGATCTTCGTCAAATTTAGGTAATTTTTTGTAGTTATTCTCTTTTCAAAGCCATATATTGACGATTTGACCTCTAAAATTTTATTTTTTGAACTGATCATGTTTTTTATCCATACGATTCTTAAATTTGTAGACTTCAGCTTTATTTGAAATAGCTATTTTTGTGCTCTCTCCATTAAAGTTAATAATTTATTATAACATTCGCCTTTTAGACAATGAATAACTCCGCACCAACTTCAGCAGACGCCTGCCTCTCGATCGTGCATAGTCTAATGTGCCATCGACAGGGGGGCGAAACCGAATCATTTTCAAAAAGAGCTATAGAAAGTCTAGTAAAAAAATTAAAAGAAAAGCGAGAAGAATTGGACAATCTGATAACTGCTATCACAACTAGTGGCGCACACCCAACAAAATGTGTCACCATTCAGAGAACATTAGATGGAAGACTGCAGGTATGTTGAGCTCTTTTTATTTGCTCAAGTTGTGGTTGTACACCCGCCAAATCTCCATCATTTACCCCCCGTGAGTTAATTAATCTTAGGATTTGTTCGAGAGTAAGTGTTTAAAATGAGAAGAACATTCCTCAAATATTAGGTCAATTCAGAAAAGAAAGAAAAGTATATATAACCAAATTTTTCTGCATAAAGGCCTGAATGTAATCTTATATTCACTTTTGATAAAAATGTGAGCATCTAAGTTTTTTATGGTATCGTTGTTTCGACAACAACAGAAGAAATATATAATATTTCTATACTGGTCATAAATTTGAGCTATAATTAATAGAATTTATTCGAAATTGTCGATTTGGTTCTTGAAAAAATCCATTTGTCAACAAGATACAAGATAAACTACCTGAAGTATGTTGACACACAAAGCTCAGTTGCCTTTCGTGACTTTTAACTTTTCCTATTTCATTTCTAAATACTTTATTCCTTCGTAATTTAAACATAAAAAAGTAGTAAAAGTAGTTTATATAGAATATATATATATATACTTTATATATCTCTATTGAAGGATTTTATATTTCCTGGAAATGAAATTTAGATGAAAATGTACTCTGTCGAAGGGCATTTTCTCAGGTGAAAAATAGAGCTATAAGGAAAGTCTCAACTTCAATAAACTCAAGATAATAGCATAATACTTCTTTCTATACTTTTAAGTAATTTTCTTAACATGAGTATTATATTAAAAAGTATTGCATATTGACTTATCGTCCAGGAATAGTGCAGGTTGTATCGCAGTTTTTTCCAATTTTATTTCTTTTATTCTTAGAATCTTCTTTTGATATTAGTATATCTTGTTCTGACGTCTGTAGTTTAATATTTTCTTTTGCCGGTTTACTTGGTATACAACCCATTTTCTAGCGAGAAAATTATTTTGTTTTATTTAAAATTTCAAAATTTAAACTTCAAATGAAGGATGATGCGTAAAAGAAATTGTTAGTGTTCGATATGATTTATGTCATTTAGATCTATATTTAGTTTTTCTATATAATTGCTATTGTCTTACGTAAAATTTTTACGTTATTACTTTCTTGTCTTATACATTAAGTAAGAGCTATTTGTACAATTTTTCCGTATTATACATAACTACTACTTCTAAATTAGTTTCTTACCCGTGGTTCGTTTCTTTCAAGAAATTAACTATTATAGCTAAAAACCTTTTGACAAATTTGGGTCTCAAGACGATAATTATTATGATTATATCTTAACAACCGAGAGATTACTTATGCTAATAGTAAATTCTACTTGCAGAACTATCTGCATAAATACACAAACAGTAGTTTGTTGGTAACTCGCCATTAGATTCATTAGACTCTCGTTACCGTTGCAATTATTACCTTTTTAGATGAATAATTTGAAACGTCCATGTTGGACGATTTCTAAAACGTTTATGACTCCTTTCTCGTGTTCAAGAATTGGCAGTCTTCCCAAATGAATTCTAGTCTTTGATCTTAAAATAATTAGAAAAGAAAAGATGACAATAAGATAATTTTACAAAGGATAGTTTGACTACACTCAATGTTTAAAAAAAAAACATTACATCTGGCAGTGATATGTTGTCGTGAATAGACCTTATATAACTTAACTAATGGTAATAAAATATAGATTTATATTCTAAATGCAATAACCTCTAGCCTAAGTGATTATATGTATCTCTAGTTGAAAATAGTTAATTCTAATCGATTATTATAAATTAATGACGATATTTAGATTTAATAATTTTAATCTTAAGTAAACAGAATTCCTATTATATTTAATATATATTATTTATTATATATACATTTATTTATAGAAGGTATCCTTTTCAAATGTCTTTGAGCCTATTTAGACTATTAAAAAGAGAGTGCTCTAGTAATCACTAAATCTTCCCAGAGAGCTGTTTGCCTCTATACATTATAAGTTATTTTAGTTTTAATAAATATTTTATATTTTAATCTCTTAATTAATTTGTCTTTTTCAAACTCTCAGGTGGCAGGCAGAAAAGGTTTCCCTCACGTAATCTATGCTCGAATATGGCGATGGCCCGATTTACACAAGAATGAATTAAAACACAGCAATTTTTGTCAATTTGCTTTCGATTTAAAGCAAGACAGTGTATGTGTTAACCCTTACCACTATGAAAGAGTTGTGTCTCCTGGGATCGGTATGAAATTCATATTTTATCATTTTCACTGTAGAATTTTCTTCTTTATTTGACAAGATCGCTTGATATTTTCTATTGTACTGCAGAAAGTAAAAAGAGAAAAAAAACAATTATCCATTCAAACTTTTTACCGTTAAAATTGCAGGCAATCGTTAAAACTTTCTGAAGGTCTTTGATGAAACAATTAGTTGTTAAAAATATGCTTTATAGTAACTATTTTTGAATTATAAGCAAAAACAAGCGTTTTTTATAACTTTTTTAATGTATTGGTATAATAAGTCAGTACTAAGACTTGCAAAAGATTTTTAAACCTATTTCTATTATCGACTGCCTCATCCTATATAATTCTATTGGGTATTTTATGTAAATTTATCTCTTACAACTAGGTAAATGATGCGCAAAGAATTGCCATCAGCTCAAATCCAGCAGTTACTCTGAGATAGATTGTACGTAATATTAGCTAGCAATATAAATCATGATGCTATTAAAAGTGTTTATATATTTTTCTGGTCTTGTTTCACTCTGTCGATTATATGACACACCTGTTACAAACGCTAAAAAGGCTATATAGAAGGTACTAGAAAGGGAAGCAATATTTTACAACATTCTGTTTTTACTTTTAAGAAAGATCTAATCACATTTGGTCTTTCAATATATAGTTTTAGTTTTAATTTTATAAAAAAAAATCTCAATTTATTTATCTCAACAAGCTTTTTTGTGTATTGAGCTAATATGCAAAAATTGATAATCGTTGCTATCAAATTCTTAGTTGTCTTACGAAAATCGTTTTAATCTGAATGATAAAAATTCTTGAGCGTTATATTAATATTACATTTATTTTGCCTTAATCAAACAGATGAATATACTACTTTTTTGAAGTAATAGAAATCTGATAGTATATAATTTGTAGATAAACGAAAGTGAATCTATTATGCATTTTTTTATTATAATACTATTCGCGTGTACATGATTTTGTTTTTTAAACAGATCTTTCAGGACTTTCTCTCCAGCAACAAAATAATAATTCTCCAGGACATCCCGTAAGCCTTAAGCAACGACTAGCGGAGACACCTGTTGCAGTAACTGTCGCTGAGCAGTCAAATAATGCTCTGAGGCCTATAGATTGCAGTCCAATTGGTAACCAAAAAATTTAACTTTGAAAACTCTATTCAGTAAAACATTTTGGTGTTTAGACCACGCCTCTCCTCCTCCCACCCAAGCCACCGTACAGCATCAAATGCCGATGGCGTCGCCACAAGCTGCCCCACCTGGTGGCTACACACAGAACCATTCTCCTCTGCATTCTATTACTAGTCCAGGTCCTCTATCACCGTCGCTATCGTCTTCTAGTAGTCATATGGGAGCTCTTTGTAAGTTGTTTTTTTCTTTTTAATCTTGTAATATTTTTGGGGACGGCAATACAGCTCATGGCATATCGAATTCGGGGCCTATTCAAATTTCGCAATATAATACTTGTAAGTTTTTTAAGTATCTGAAGGTGCTCTCCCTTTTAATTTATCTTATTAACAAGAAAAAAAACCAAGATCTTCATAATGTTTTAATTTTTATATATATATATATATATACGTTCTCCCTTAATACTCTTAAAAATCCATTTCTAATATTTATTTTGAAAGTATTTTGATAGATAGGTTCTTATTTATTGAATAAGAACTAAGCGTAAAATAAGCAAGAATCTCTTTTAAGCTATAGTAATTCTTAAAAGTAAGAGAAATAAAATGTTCAGATGAGGAATCTTGTTTTTTTCATGAATGCTTTAGCAAACAGCATAATGGTAAGAGCACCAATTTATCTTTAAGCTTACTTTTTTTTTGCTTTTTTCTGCATACCAAACTCATGATTATCTTTGTTAATCAGAGATTTCAATCACTGATTCCCTTAATCTGACATCTATAATTCAGAGTCTAAATCATTAAAAAAAAAATATTTAAATGATTTCCTGACACAGCTAAACTTTCTTAGTTGTTTTTTATTTGCAAATGGTGATTGATACTGACTTTTCCTTTATGATTCGCAAATTCGAGGAGTTTCTCTGAAGCGAAATTAATCACTGACTATTTAAACAGGTGGTCCAACAACGTGGGGTATGGCTAATGGGCAAAATGTTTCGACAGAGAACCATTACTGTAAGTTGCTACTAAATTTTTAATTGAATTCTTTTATTTTAATAATTTTCAAACAGGGTCTCCTTCAGCTCAAATTATACCTCCATTAACAAATTTGCCTTGTAAGTGTTTGCCCAGTTTCCATGTATATTGAATGAAGCTCTTGTTAATATCTCTTATAAAGGGATAATAGCTTGATATGTATAAATTATTATACAAGAGTCTCACCATTTAAGATTAAACATTTTCCATTTACTGAAATTAATTTCAATAACTTATTTTTTATAATCTTTTTAGTTCCTGAGTACTGGTGCACTGTTTCATACTTTGAATTAGATCATTCCGTCGGAGAGTCTTTTAAAGTATCTTGCAACAATAGATCCTTTACAATAGACGGCTATACAGATCCTTCAAGCTTAGATAGATTTTGCCTTGGACAGTTATCAAATGTGCACAGGACGGAAGCATCCGAAAGAGCTAGATTACACATCGGCAAGGGTGTTCAACTTGAACTACAAAATGAAGGAGACGTATGGATCAAGTGTCAGAGCGATCATAGCGTCTTTGTTTCCAGCTATTATCTTGATGCCGAAGCTGGTCGATCACCTGGTGACGCAGTTCATAAGATATATCCAAGGGCCTACATAAAAGTGTTCGATTTAAGGCAATGTTTTGTTGAAATTAATAAGCAGGTAAAGAAAAATTGAAAGTTTATTTCCAAAAGCATATGTTTGTTGTAACCATTTGTGCGTAAATTTGAAAAAAGAAACCCGTTAAAATAGCATGAGGAAGATTTTCAAGTATTTTGATTGAAAGAGTATCGTTTGATTTACACGAACACTTTAATGACTTCTCTCATATTTCAGGTGGAAAGTGCCGCTCAACAGGCAAGAGCACAAGCAGCGGCTGTAGCCGGTTCAAATGTACCTCTAGCCCAGCATATGAACATGTCTACTCTGGGTGGTCTTGGTGTGGATGACTTGAGACGTCTATGTATACTTCGTTTGTCATTCGTGAAAGGTTGGGGACCCGACTATCCAAGAAAAACTATAAAAGAAACACCTTGTTGGGTAGAGATACAGTTGCACAGGCCTCTTCAACTATTAGATGATGTTTTGCAAGGACATACAAGTAATCAAAGGCAACCACCTATGATGTTACCGTGAAATTGAAATATGTTTAAAGTTCTATCGCCTTTGCATTTTCTATGCATTTTTTATGTTTGAGGTTAAAGCAAATCAGGTTACTTTCGTTTCTTTTAACGACAAGGTTCGTGAATTTTCGTGTTGTTTTATTGAATAACTTAGCCAAGCTTTAATATCTTGCATAAGCTATGGTAGAGTTTTTTTTATTAAGATTCCAAGAAATCACTTTTGCCAGCTTAAAGATATGTGTATGATTGATATGTACACTATTTTTTATAATCTTTTTTTGTTTCGCTTATTATTATTCGAAAGAAAAGAAAGAAAAATCGCGCTAGTACTTTAATCAGTTCGTGAGTATAGCCAAATTATTCATCCAAACAGGTCTGTCATTATGAAAGAAATTTATTCTTTTTTTTTATTTTATTTATACCTGACTCTGTTTGGCTGCAGCTCTTTAAAAAAGTGAAGTAGCATATAAGTTACGATTGTCCAAAAGAAATGATAAAAAAAGAATTGTAATTTTTTCAAAATCATTATTATAAACAGTTTACAACATGTTTCATGAATAAAAAATTTAGGATATACATTAAATACAAAGAATTTACTATTGTATCTAAGGGGCTCTATTAACCTTCCTAAGTAAATATTACCTTAAAGGAAAAAAGCTGCGAAAAGCACGAACACTTTCTTTGAAATGAATGTGCCATTAATATTCACGTCTCTCAGGAACTGTTCAGTTGCTTCTAAAAGTTTTGACTTTTTGCAAGTAACTTTTCATTTATTAAAATTAACACATAATCACACAACAACTCACTTCCGATCATTATTGTTTAATGTTCGTCTTCCATGGTATTATTTCTTTTTAACCATCAGTAAAAAAAACATTTTAATTGTGTAACATGTAACGGTGCTCTGAACGGCTTTGTTTGGAAAGAAATATAACTGGCAATGAAATATGCAAACTATAAGATTTGTCAAATATGCTGATTCAAATTTATATATATATATATATATATATATATATATTGTTTATACACGTAGATGCTTTGATTGTTTGTTGCTTTTTTTTTATAAGCGAATAAAATCGACATTTTTTTTATATTTATCTAATGGAAAGTAAATACTTGACATTTAAAAATAGTTACATTGTCAAAAAATATATTACCTCTTCTCACCACTTCTCTTGCCTCAACGATGATCATTCTCTCTTCGTAAATTTAATCTGACCTTTTCAACATTCTTTTTTTAAAATTTTGGAAAAGTTCTATAGTTCAATTGCGAATAGAAATTCGAGTTTAATCTCTTTTCCCTGTTCTTTTCATTGGAGTGTATATAGTGTGTTAATATCTCTTCTGGATCATTTGAGGATAAATTATCTAAAACATTTGAGATATAAAAATTTGAGGAATTCTAAGTAACTAAATAAAAAAACCTTCTTTCATTGATTTAAGCTTTTGCTCTCTTTCTCGATTCTTTTTGGCAAAATATCCGGCGCTTAGTCTTGGTTGATTTCTTACAGGAGAGAACTTTCAGATTGGAGGGGAAAGAGATAACCGGAAATGATTAAATGATCTGATAGTCTGCTTAAATTGTATAAAAAAGGTATTACTTCTGGTCTATACCAATCTTGGTCCATAGAGCGAATAAGTCCTAATCTGTTTGGTCTTGTAATAGGCAGATAATCCTTTCTAGAGCTGGTTGGAGAAAGTGAATTGAATGACGACGCAGAAAAAGACTTGTCACTTGAACATGGGCCTAGCGCCTCTGATATAATTTTTTCGTAGTCGTCTGTATTGTCCTGATCACTTGGAAGAATAAAGACAGAAGCACCAGGTTCTGATTCAATATCGATAAAATCTGAAGAAGATTCCAGTACTGAGCATTCAACCATCTTGTTTATTCTGTTCCATTGTAAACATTTTCAAACTACTATAGCAAATGTACAAATAAACTGTCGTTATAGCCAACAGTCGTATTAATACAAGTCAAATTTCTACGTTAGCTACTGTGTATTTGCTCAATCATACAATATGCGGTGTTCAATAATTTCCAGTACATTATTCATACTCCTTTCTTCCTTTCTGTCAACGTAACTTTTCACTTATTAAATTGTTTTCAACACACAAATTAATCTTAATTAAAGCTATGTATGAACTATAATTAAACAAATTAGAATGATGTAACAATTTATCGCTCGGGGGTATACTGTATATCTTAAAATGACAAGTTTTTATACACTCTGACGTATGTTTACATAATGTACTATTTATTTAAATTAATAGATTAGACTGAATGAAAAAAAATATATTTCAATAATTAGTATATATAAGAAAAGAAGAGAAAAACTAAGATTTCTCCTTTCTAATATATGGTTTTCTATTTTCGTTTTCATTAGTTATTCAAGCCAATTTTATTATATAAAATCTATCATCATTAAGTCAAAGCAGAGAGAGAGAGAGAGAGAGAGAGAGAAAACAAACCATATAGTCTACTTCTTTCTCATAAATCTTATAAGGAAATTTTACTGTTTATATATCTAGCAGAATAAATCCTACAATTGATACAATTATGCTTAAGCCATTTACTATAGCTTGATTGAACTTATTATTATTAGAATTTAAATAAAAACCTCTGGAAGAGAAGCTGTACTCTTCTAAAAACGAAGAGGAAGAAGAAGATGGAGAAGGAAAATATGCAATTTATAATGAAAAATTTGTTAAGTATTACTACTATTTATGTTTCAACATCCTCAAGGACAAGGACTAATACAGAGTATTACTAGTTTCTTATTTACACGAATTTAGGTTAATTCCTGATTTATTAATAAATATTAGAATGAATAGGATAATACTCCATGGGAATTTTTGTAACAAAGGAAATGGTTAAGACTATTAGGTAGTATCGGGATAATAAATTTTTTTCTTTTTTACGTCGTTAATATCTTTATTATCAAAAATGAAAAGACTATACATTGACTGAACGATTAAAAAGTATATTAAATATCCGTCAGATGTCGCTATAATTCTATATAAGATTGATGATTAAATTAAATAAAAAATGACAAAGAAATGATATTCTGTTAGGTTAATAAAAGAATATCTATTGTTGTGTTTTTTCTCTCTATCTCTAGTCGTATCAGCTTATCCTGTATTATTTTCTAATTCTTTTATTCTTTTCTGTCTCCTTCCTTCTCCTTTTTTTGTCCAAGCATATAAAACAATAGACATTTAATTTGAAGGAAATTATCTAAGAGATAATTTCCTAATGATTATTAGTTATTTATATATAATAAATAAATTTTTTATAAATGTGATAAAACGCCATCTGTCGGTTCTAATTAAGGTGTAAGGGGCGTCTAAATATCTTCAAAGAGAGAACCGTAAGTGAGTTTAAAGAAGGACTAGGGGGCAGAATGGTGGAAATCAGTAGCGCAGAATGACGGTTAATGGTCGAGTTAGCTATTGTTACAAAGAAAGCGTATATAAGCCTATAGCAAATAAAGTAATTCCGACAGAGTTCAAAATGAAGCGCTACACGCGCCGTTGAACGCTCGAACGAACAACATCTGAACACCACTTGGCACCGTGCGGTGTACTTCTCTTTCGGTCGCTCGCGCTTGTAATCTTTTACGTTCGTAATTGCAAAGGGCCGCCTTTTTAGCCGAGGGCGTAACGCGCCCGTTGTTTGTGTATAAACCCTACTGTTCTCGAGATGAGTGCTTTTTCTTTCCGAATTTAAATCTTCACCGAATGAACAAAGAGATTGGTAACGCCCGTCTCTGGGAAAAAAGGGAAAATGCACCTGCAGCAGATGATTATTGTCCCACGCAGAGAGGACAAGATCACCTGCGGAACATGGCCGTTTTAACAAAACGAAAAACAAATAAGAAGTCGGTAGAAAGTAAACTAAAGCAACTTTCTTCTTACGATGTCAGATTCGTCTTTTCTTTTCAAAAGTAGCCGAAAAGGCGGGAAGTGAACGAGTCTCAATTACTTCTATTAGTAGGCCTATCAATCTCTATTCGAAAAGAAGACAGATTTATCTTTCGTCTCTTTTCGACCGTTTCATCTGTTAATTTCCATTTTAATTAAAAAGGAAGTAGCTTATAACAACCTGCGGCGTCAGGCTTGCGCCGAGTAATTAACTCCTATCGAAAGGGGCGGTATAGATGAAAAGGCATTAAAATCCCCTATAAAATCGGCTCATTCACAAGACGTTTGATGTGTTAGTTTTTTGCCACAATTTGTCATACTAGTCTGGAATCGGATAGGGGCCTAGGTCTTTTGGGGGTCGTAGGGTGGAAATTGCAGGGGTTCCGTTCTGACATATTGTAATTACGACATTAAGAGCTTAAGAGGCCGACCCATTTCACATTTTTTTTATAACATTTAGTATTATAAATCATTGTATATCCCTACTATGTGGGCTTTCATTTCAATTCAACTTTCAATGCCTCGAAACGCCTATTTAATATTTAACGGTCATCAAATTATCAACATTTTTTTTCTTTCATTCTTACAATGATTTATGGTTACTCGTTAAATAACTGTAAAAGCTTGTACATCATTTCACATTGGGGAAAACTAGGGCTATCGTTGGAATGATATATCAAATTAATGAATAATACGTCACGTATTGATTAAAGATTGCGCCGCTAATTAAAAAGACGGTGATTATTAGTATGCAGTGCGTGTGCAAATTCGACAATTATTAATTGTATAATAAGCAATGGAAAGAAAGGAGGATGGGAATAGTTAGGGGGGAAAATAATCTTCTACAGTCCTATACAATAGGATTAATTTTTTTGCAGTATATTTACAAGAATATTGCAGTAGCTCGAATTGTTGAATTAGTTATTCTAAAGAGTGAAAATTCAATATATACTATGTACATATTTTATTGTTTATAATATTTATTTATTGATAAACTATATTCATCATCGTGAATGAATTTAAAAACGATAAGCTGTTGTTGTTTTTCTATTCCACATTATGTAGGAGAAATTGTATTATTGCAGTAGT